TAGAGTAGACATACAGACTTTACAAACATTAGAGCAAGCTGTAGAGGAGACATACATACAGACTTTACAAGGCAAAGCGGGACAGTGCACAGGATGAATCAGTCCCTTCTGTGTTTCACATTTTCCTGTCCCCTGTAAACTAACCAAATATTTGTATTACTCAGTTAGACGCTATTTTATTATGGTTCACTTAAATAATAATCAAAGATTTTTAAATCATCCAGGACACTGTATCTAAAATTATGCAAGCAAAGGGAAAGTTGCTTGGTTAAGAATACATTTGTGTAAAATATACTGCATGTTTAAATCAAGATTAGTTTCTCAGTGAAATCTCGGTTTTGATTGGCGTTATCAGTCCCCTACAATTTTAAATCATTAATTACGCAAAAAAGTATTTTCCAAAATCTAAACTAAATCTAAAAGTTATTGTCATTTTTTCATTTCAGAGAAATAATAAGTTTAAATATATTTTCCAAGGTTGCAAGCCACCATCCCTCCTGTACACATTACTTCTTTGTTTCCTATTAAAGGGTTCTGTAGATCGTCTAGTCTGATATACACACCCTGCCTTCCTATCTGATCTCCAGGTTTAGTCTTCATTAAACAGATTTAAAAATATTTTGTCATGTAGTATTCTAATAGAGTGTAATTGGGTACTTTTACCCTGTCACACAGAAATTAAAGGGGGTGGGAGCCAAATGATAACATAGAATATAAAAGATATATATTTTGCAGGTGTTTANTTTATTGCCATTCCTTGATTTGATTGATCTTTGTTGCCAAGTTGTTCATATTTTCTGTTTAGCCATCTTCATGTGTATGCAGTCATCTTTGTAGCCCACTGTGTCACTATTAAAAGACTGTGCTATGTATACCCTCTATATAGTCTAAAACCTTATCTTATTTTGTGATAAAACCCATGATATATATATTCAATTATCTTATGAGAATGTTAATCATATTATAATATGTATTATTATCTTGATTTATCTCTAATAAATCTTACTTACTTACTTACTATATAGTCAGTCATATTACTCTAAGTGGTCCTCTGAATAGTCCCCTTAAGAACCATCATTAGTCTTCTCATTCCTCCATATTCTCTGCTCTCAGTCAACGTGGATTTCTGTGGTCTCCATGGAAAGGGCATCGACCATCATTTTGAGGTCCATTTTCATACATTTACAGTGGTTTGGCTGCAGATGTGCACTAAAATAATCTAAGAATGTTTAACACAATACAAAATCCTATTTCTTTTATCATTGTATGTTCAGCTAAATATCTCCGTTCTAACCGTAGTCTTAATATTCTTACAAATAATATGTAACAAATCATGAGAATTTTATGTGATTTAGTTCAAATTTGTTTTATTCTAACCCAGTTTCCTTTTTCTCATTAGAACTCACAGTCTCACTTACAAGCTTGTATGCATAATATACAGTATATACAACACACGAGCGCAAAGATAATTATTTTGTGGATTGAGTGCGCGTTCCATATGTGTGGCCGGAACAATAAATCTTATCTTCAGCCATAAAGTTGTTACCCTGCAACCAGACATTTTTTGCTCTGCAACCAGATAGTTTCTGTTCTGCAACCAGACAGTTTATACTCTGCAACCAGACAGTTTATATTGTGCAATCAGATAGTCTATACTCTGCAACCAGACAGTTTCTGTTCTGCAACCAGATACTGTGCAATCTGCAGATAATCTATACTCTGCAACCAGACAGTTTATACTGTGCAATCAGATAGTCTATACTCTGCAACCAGACAGTTTCTGTTCTGCAACCAGATAGTTTATACTGTGCAATCTGCAGATAATCTATACTCTGCAACCAGACAGTTTATACTCTGCAATCAGATAGTCTATACTCTGCAACCAGACAGTTTATGCTCTGTAACCAGACAGTTTCTGCTCTGCAAACAGATAGTTTCTGTTCTGCAACCAGACAGTTTATACTGTGCAATCAGATAGTCTATACTCTGCAACCAGACAGTTTATACTCTGCAACCAGACAGTTTCTGCTCTGCAACCAGATAGTTTCTGTTCTGCAACCAGACAGTTTATACTTTGCAACCAGACAGTTTCTGTTCTGCAACCAGATAGTTTATACTGTGCAATCAGATGGTCTCTACTCTGAAACCAGACAGTTTATACTCTGCAACCAGACAGTTTATATTGTGCAATCAGATAGTCTATACTCTGCAACCAGACAGTTTCTGTTCTGCAACCAGACAGTTTATACTGTGCAATCAGATAGTCTATACTCTGCAACCAGACAGTTTATACTCTGTAGCCAGACAGTTTCTGTTTTGCAAGCAGACAGTTTATACTCTGCAATCAGATAGTCTATACTCAACCAGTTTCTGCTCTAAAACAAGACAGTTTCAACTCTGCAACCAACCAGTTTCTGCTCTACAACAATACAGTTCCTGCTCTGCAACCAGAAAGTTCCTGCTCTACAACAATACAGTTCCTGTTCTACAACAATACAGTTCCTGCTCTACAACAATACAGTTCCTGCTCTGCAACCAGAAAGTTCCTGCTCTACAACAATACAGTTCCTGCTCTGCAACAGTACAGTTCCTGCTCTGCAACAATACAGTTCCTGCTCTACAACAATAAAGTTCCTGCTCTGCAACAATACAGTTACTGCTCTACAACAATACAGTTCCTGCTCTGCAACCAGACAGTTCCTGCTCTACAACAATACAGTTCCTGCTCTGAAACAAGAAAGTTTCTGCTATACAACAATACAGTTCCCGCTCTACAACCAGACAGTTCTTGCTCTACAACAATACAGTTCCTGCTCTTTAACAATGCAGTTCCTGCTCTGCAACCAGAAAGTTCCTGCTCTACAACAATACAGTTCCTGCTCTGCAACAATAAAGTTCTTGCTCTACAACAATACAGTTCCTGTTCTGCAACCAGAAAGTTCCTGCTCTACAACAATACAGATCCTGCTCTACCACAATACAGTTCCTGCTCTACAACCAGAAAGTTCCTGCTCTACAACAATACAGTTCCTACTCTGCGACCAGTCCTTTCCTACTCTACAACAATAAAGTGTCTACTTTGCAACCAGACAGTTCTTGCTCTGCAATCAACCAGTTTTTGCTCTGCAACCAGACAGTTTCTGCTCTGTGCTCTGTAACCAGACAGTTAGCACTCCGCAACAAGAAAATTTCTACTCTGCAACCAGCCAGTTTCTCCTCTGCAACCAGCCAGTTCATCCTCCACAGCAAAATAGTGTCAACTCAGCAACCAGAACATTTTTGCTCTACAACCAGACAGTTCCTGCTCTACAACAATAAAGTTTCTACTCTGCAACCAGCCAGTTTCTCCTCTGCAACCAGCCTTGGTTCATCCTCCACAGCAAAATAGTGTCAACTCAGCAACCAGACAATTTCTGCTCTGTAACCAGACATTTTCTGCTCTGCAACCAACCAGTTTCTTCTCTGCATCCAGCCATTTTATACTCTGCAACCAGAAAATTCCTACATAGCAACCAGCCAGTTCCTGCTCTACAACAATACAGATTCCTACTCTGCTATTAGAAAGTTCCTGCTCTACAACCAGCCAGTTTCTGCTCTGCAACCAGACAGTTCCCGCTCTACAACAATACAGTTTTTACTTTGCAACAAGACAGTCTGCTCTGCAAACAGACAGTTCCCGCTCTACAACAATTGACAGAATTAACCTACTCTACAAAATACAGTTTCTACTCTGCAACCAGACAGTTTCTGCCCTACAACAATATTGTTTCTACTCTGCAACCAGACACTTTCATCTCTACAACAATTTACAGTAATTCTTGTTTCAAGTGTCGTCTTAGATCCTTGTCCACTCACCATATTCCAATAATTGGTGTGCATTGCTGAATTGCACATTTTATTAGAATGTAATTTTAAAAATTTTAAATATAAAAGACGGCCTTTTTGGATAAAAATGCTTCATATTTCTACCAAAAATCAAAATGCATATTTATAAGTGAATTGGAGGCTGAACTTAGAAGACGACATTTAGAACAGTTGTTGTTTTAAAGAATTTGTTTAAAGCCTGTAGAAATGTAAAACGTCAACATGATTATAGTGAATAATTAACTGTAATTGATTAAATCTTATTCTTAAAAAAAAATTTCGAAGGTTTTAGATTGTTGATTATTTCCCTCGATATTCAGGGGGAGGTAAATTTTTAGGCCCCCGAAAGAAAGTTGCCAAATGAAGGGGGGGGGCTGGCCTCCAGGGGGGATATCAGACTATCAGTCTCAATAGCTTAACCTCTGTGTTCCCAGGGAAGCGCGTGTCTGAAATTTGCATATTGGCCTTGTACGCCCCTGATGTTTAACAAAAGAAAAGATACGAATTAGAGGGGGACGTACGTATCAGCTCTTCATAAAAAAGGGAGGNAACCATTGTATCTCCCAATTTAAGATTATAAAGTCTGCCGCATCATAATTCTTAACATATTACAAAATGCAAGCCAATGTCGTAAGTGAAAATGCGCGCACAACGCGACAAAGATTTTTGTAAAATTCCATGGTAATAACATAAACGGGACTTTAAGAATAGTTTTCCCCGGCCAACACTTTATTATATCTGCAACAGTTGTGCCCATAACTTTTCAAGTGAGGGGGGTAAACCCCCATTCCCCCCCTGTAAGCCGCCTCTGAATGGTTGGACGACTAATTCGACCTTGAAGTTGGAGCCTTCTGCAATCCTGAGAAACCCCGGTCTTTGTAAAACCTTTTGCCGCTTTAGCATCATTTTTCACTTAAATATTAACAAAGTCAATTTAATTCTACAAATACTACAAAATCATGGGATTGTTTGACAGCAACAAACTATTTGTTAATATTCATCCCTGAATTTGTGAAATGCGTCAGTTGCATAATTAAATCACCTGATTTGTAAAGACGACATTTAACAATAATATACTTTTGTTTCATATGTTCATTGTCCTAAAAAAGAAATCAATACTCGGGAGCATCTAAATTAACAGCCATCTACATCTTATTCATGGTTTAGGGTAAAACAAATGTCGTTCTCTATATTAAAATATGTTTATGGAATGAAATAGATATGTAGATAGTGAGTGGTGTAGAAAGCAAGAGGAAGTACAGAATTCCAGTTTTAGTAGTTCAGTATACTGCAGTGTAGGCCCAGTGTTGCTGTAGACGTTAAGAATAGTGGAGGCCCTGCTTTCCTTGTACAGGCTTGAATAGCAGTGTACTCTTACGTAATACAACAGCGTTTCATCCAGATAGAGAAATAATTCTCTTAAGAAAGGTAAAAATTATGTCGAAGCATGTATCTTAAAATTATGTTTAAAAATATTTATGAAGTATAATCATAACCATTAGAAATTATATAATGTGATAAAATCCATCACATTCACAATTCACAATTTATAATTTTGATGCCATTAAACAAAGTACTTAACATTTTTTTACAATTCAGTTAGGATTAACATGGAAAACCATCAAAATCCATCTTAAACAGTGTTATCAACTTAAAAAAGGGAATCAAATTATAAAGGGAAACAAAACGAAACCCTGGTTTATGATTTGCAAATATTAACTTTTTAGTTTATTTTTTATCCTTCTTCAACGTTTTTAAAAAGTTGTCAGCTCGTACATACGTCTCTATATGCAGGGTGTCCCACGAAACATGACAGGAAGTGAATGGTTTAAAATGTGTCTTTTTTCATAATTTGATTGATACCAAAATGAATAATAAAAAATATTGTAAGAGAATCACCTTACAGTAAAACTGATTTCAAAGTATAATATATTTGAGTAAAAATTTTTTTAAACTAAATAAACTTCAAAAAGTCTTTAATGAAAGAAGACATTCAAAACTATTCAGAAGGCCAACTGTCATGTTTCGTGGGACGGAGATAGTTTGGGTTCGTCCTAGTATATTATTTATTTTGTATTATTTTAGGCTTAGGGCATGCCTTCCTTTTAATTAGGCCAGGGGAGGCCCTGCCCCCCCCTCCCCTAGTTGTGTGCCTGGCCACATGTCCCAATTATATCCATGTATTACATATGATTCCCATGTGTGGGGGGGGGGGGAATCGTGTACTATGAAATTATCGATAGTTAGTCGTACAATGTACATTTTATGTAATATTTTATAATTTCAACAAAATAACTAAATAAAGTTGAAGCTCAATTCGCCATTAAGGATCATAAGTCTAAATTGCTAAAATCGGAGGCAAAAGTTGTGAACGCCTTAAATTTGCCGGCTAACGATTTTACCATAGACGCTATGAACACTTTTTTTGTATTATTTATATATGAAAGTTGTAATCTCTGTTTGTCTGTTTGTCCGATTATAACTCAGAAACCCCTTGACCGATTTGCCTCAAATTTGTATTCGGAACTTCGGTAGGACCACAGGAATGTTCTGAGCTTTTGAGATTCTAAGTTGAGTGGTTCTACTTTTATTAGAAAATAGCTAAAATCGTAATTTACGACAAATTTTTTTAATAATTATCTCGTAGAATCCAATTTTTCCATGATAAAAACTGAGTCCTGAACTAAAAAGTCTGAAACTCTTAATTTTTAATATTTTTTATTACCTATTTATTTTTCGACGTAAAAATATTTTTCATTGCTTTTCCTGTCGCCCTATCGGTGTCCTAAATGATTTGACCTAGTAGAATGTAGAAACTGGCGAAGATAAAACTTGAAATATCTAGATTCAGCGCAAATAAAATAAAGCGTACATTATAGGCGTACGTAAATAAACTTGACGTGACTGTTTTGTTCTTCTTTTATAATCAGTGTTAATATATGAAACTGATCACCATACATGTGCATATAGTTCAAAGGGCAGTTAAGAGACAAGAGTTGACTTTGATCATAGGTCAAAGTAATGCATGTATTAAAGAAAGCATAGGCTTCTCAGTAGGTACAGAGTATGTACAGTACACTTTTTAAATTAACTTATGGAAATTTTTCTGGTGAAACATTATGTAAAGCTATATATTGAGAGCTATAAGATCAAAGACGTCGTCGTCGTTGGTCGTTCCGTAGGACAGCCTGTATATTGTATAATAAACCCAGAGGCCGTTCCTTCCATAAACTACATTGGTCGACAACTTGACGTCTCCAGACTCCTATTTTGGTCGTGAAATATACGGAGAAATATCTATCTATCAGATAAGAATTTAGCACGAGACATCTAGCGGCCAACATATCGTCCCCCAAAGTACGTGAAATACACGACCACTTTCAATGGAGAGAATGGGCTCTGGATAAGAAAAAACATTCAGTATGTTGCCAGTTTAAAAACTTTAGCTTATTTTTTTGTGGGTCAAATTGTTGAAATATTGAATTGAAACTCCAAATTCCTTGAATAGTTGTGCCTCTTAATATTTTTTTAAAAATTGTTGTAATACTATTTTTTTCAGGATTAGCAAATAGAAACGTAAAGAAGAACCTTCAATCAATTTTTATACAAGTTATGATGTGCCCACTGATCCTGATGAATAAGTGCACTTGAGTGAGACTTGATAAGTGACAAGTCACTACAAGACCTGAATAAAAGGTTAACAGAAGAGGAGTGCCAATGAGTCCTCGTACTCAGATCTGTCTGTTAATTGGAACCCCCCGTGGATTTACTAGGTAATGCATGTTTATCCATCCTTTCCGTCTTACTCAGAACCTAGACCTAGAAATACTATATTAGGGATGTTTTGTAGGCAAAATTTAATTTCCGGAAAAAGTAGTTGTATACAATTTTAACGTCTTTTGAGATGAAAAATGCGCCAATTAGTTAACAAAATCTTCGCAGAGCGGGTCCTTATTTTACTTGATTGTCCCAAGGGACGTTAAGTAACTTGACATCCCTCTGTTGGGGGAATCATACATCGGTAATTTTAGTCAATATAATATTTGTTTGTTTCTTCTAAATTCTTTTCTCCATATAAATGATGTTTTATTTTAATATTTAAAAAACTGAGGGACTAATTCTATTTAAGTAAAATCTCCAAATGGGAATGAAGAAACGATTGTGATTTTCGCATTTTAAACGTTGCCTATTTATCCAAATTTCATGATCAAAATCTATCAACGGTTTATTATCAAATAAATTTTCTTTACGAAAAGATATATCGTGTAAAAAATCTAAATTTATTTAATTCAGTTCTTAGTCATATTATTCTTATCTTCTACATATTGTCAAGGACAGAAAACATTGTTCAAATAACCCATTTAATTCTAAGCAAACAATCTTCAAAATTGATATTTGTAATGCGGATAACGTTTTTTTCTCTAAAATTATTGATTTTATATATTTTCTAGATGAAATGTAGTAAAGGTGCTTGTTTCTCTTAGCATTTAACTTATGTTATATTTTTTTACATTATTCTTACTCGTTGACTGATATCAGCTAATTTTAAGCGCCAAATTTAGAAAAAGATGGCCATTGTGCAGCGTGCACTGTTCACTGCAGTTCCTAAAATCCGGATCCACGGGGCGAAATATCAACCAAAATCTGAAAAAAACTTTCTGCTCTTAAACCCCCAACCTGAACTGTTAATAAAAGAGATAATATTATTTTTAAAAATTTATCTCTGAATGGTTGAGCAAAAAAGAGAAATAATTTAATAATTCTGCTTTTGTTAAAAAAATTTATAAATCTTAAAGAAATGTTCGTGACCTGGATCCGGATCCATTTTTCCCGGGTTGATCCTGGATCCGGATCTGCATCAAAATCAAAGTGAACCTAAACACTGCAGTTAACTCACTGTTCAGGACTTCCTGAAGGATATATTTCAAAACCTTACAAAATAAATATTTTTTATGAAACACATTTTTAGTTCAAGCATTTCAATCTTCCGGACTGCGTGGAATTTTGAACCGATTTCTGTCCTAAAATTTTTATTTTTTTTGAACTGATGAGAGAGCTGCTTAAATTCTTTTGTGACAGCAAAAAAAGTAAAGATCTGCAGTCTGCACCTTTTTTATGTACGTCCTGGGCCTCATTTTAGTAATCTCATGGCAGGCTGGGCCCTGTTCACTGTTCAGGGGTGAAGTTTAAAGACACTTATTTTGACATTTTGTTAAGAAGAAGAATAGTCTTAATGGAGGGAAACACAGTTTTGTAATCTTGTGAATAAGTAGTTACTGTTCATGGATTTGTAGTTTGTACTATGTGCATAAAAACTATACAGTTATTTAGTGTGATGTATAAAACAATTTTTCTGTGCCTATAGGTCCATGAGCTGTAATAAAACAACTACAAATGATAAATTTTTATCTTATTTCTATTGTTGCAAAATATTTGATACAAATTTTAACCACAAATTTTTTTTTTCGTCTAAAAAATGTTAAAACTAAATCCTGATTTGAAATACCATTAAATTCATATTTTTTATCACAGATATGGATTTATTTGTTCACTTCAACTACTTCATGAACCTATTAGTTGTTTTCATCTTAAATTTATTTTCATTTTAAGTTTCTATTTTGTTATTTTAGATCAGTATTAGAAGGGCTATTAAAGCGTGGAAGCCGAGTAATCTTGGCTTGCCCAGATCCAAGCCTAGGACTTGCTGAACATAAACGACTCAGGCATATTTCAAGCATCAGAAATGAATAATGATAATTAAATTCCTATTTAACATGTTGAATTTATAATGAAATTTGTTATCTTATATCACAGATTCTTGTGAAATTTATATAATTTCTAACATAAGAAAACACACGATCAAGCATTCTTTAATCGTACGATCTTAAAAAGTAATTTTTTCGCTTTAATTAAGTTCGTTCTGATTGTATAACGTTAAAATAAGAAGAGGTTTTTTAAATTCAAAATAGTCTTGAAATATACAATATTAAAGTTAATTATAATGTAACTGAACTATTTCTATCTAATGCATAATATGGATCCAGTGGTCTTTATGGACCTGCGCAGATCAGCCTTAGTCTTGTCAAGCCCGCGCACGCGCGATCCTTGGAGTCCATCTTTGTTCGTGCACTTGATACTCATGGAGGAGTTACGTGCATCATCAATTCAACAGCTGATGACAAGCTGCAAGTTACAGAGTAATTATTTTTATTGCTTACTTTTGTTTTATTTTAAAGAACAGTTTGATCACACCTCTTCTAATTGTTCTGCTATTTTATTTACGTCCATTAGGCTGATTTGATTTCTGAACCAGTGATTTTATTATCAAAAGAAAACTAATTTAGATAAACTTCATTTGAAGAAGTTGGATAATGCATAAACATTTTCCCGTGTATTAATATCCCGAACTTGATTTCCAAATAATGCTTTACCCAATATGTCTTAGCCTCAGCGCTCGACCCAGTATCCTAACCTTAAACTGTAGGAATCGACGATCATTAATATCAATTGATATTAAAAAAATGCCTTTCAGAAATAGATTTTGAAAAACCATTCGAGAAATGACTTTACAGGTTGGAAATGCCCTATTCTATCCAAAAAATTGCTTTACACTATTGTCATTGATTCTCTACTTACTAAAGCAATATACAAAAATACAATTTAACAAGCTTAACGTTTTTCCATAGATCATTTTTTTTTATCATATAATCAAAATATTATTATTTAATCAACATTATCATTTGTTTAGGTCGGAGCTAAGGGGGAGCAGAGATTATGTAGAAAAATATTTAAACTTTAAACAGCAAAGACATGACGTAGATTCCATTAAAAGAATTAGTCGCCTAGCAGGTAAATGATAAGTTGTAATAAATAAAGGTAGTGACAAGTTTTAAGTGGTGTAAATTTTTAAGAATTACCTTCTGCACATCCAGGGGAGGGGGGGGGGATAAAAAAGGAACTAAAAAAGTTTACCCTTTATCTGATCCTCCCTACACAAAAAAATGATTTTCCAACAACTTAATATTTAATCAAAATATAAAAAAATATATTCTCCTTTTTTACTTCTTTTCTATTGTTGAAAGCATTCATGAAAGTTCCTGTATTTTTGAAGCATGCTCTAGACATTGTTCTTTCTGTCCTGTTTTGCTTCCTGCGTTCTTAGTATACGGCGTCAGACTTTAGATTTTTGGACGTCGGCCAGATTTTTTAGGTCTAGAACAAGAAAAAATAATGTGTGGGGGGTGACTCTGGGCGATGAGAGACGATTTTTCCTACCTAAAATTTATATTAACACAAATTAGAATTACTAAATTAATTTTTTTTAAAGGGATAAGTGTTTTTTTTGGCGAACTATGATGGTCCCTTCGGGCTTATTACGTTTTTTTTATTTTATAGAAAAATGTAGAAACATTTTAAAGTTACTTATATCAATGTTAGCATTGTAAACCTACTCTTCGAAATAAAATTGGGCATTTTAAGATTAAAGTAGAATTTTTTTTATATTTTGGGCGTAGTTGAGTAGGAAGGCGAAATTATTATACAGTACTAATAGTGTACAATGTACACTTCACAGCTTATGTACTATGTACACTGTGTAGTGTGTACACTTAATACTTTATTGTGACGCAATGTCTGAAGCTCTTAGGCAGACTTTGGCCTTTGTCAGGGTCGTTTAATTTCAAGTTTAAACTTGATGCACTTCTTGGCCTTCCTATAGGGTTATTCATTACACTTCTTATCCGGATATTTTTAGTTACATAACTTTGTCTAGTAGGTTCAAGACTTTTAAAACAGGCACGTATAAATTCATTACGGAATAAAAACAAACTTCAAGGGAGTGATGCACGTCTTTTCCAGGGTCAGGTTTTTAGACATGCTTGGACTTGATTCAAGGTGTTCTACAGTTATGCAACCAAGGTTGCAACGCAAATCATGCTCGCAATTTCTCCTTGGGCCTATATATGTTATATGTACTTGTAAATTTTCTAATTGTAATTTTTATCCTGTCTTTAAACATCGTTTTTTAGCTTTGTTATCATTAAGAAATCCTTTCAAAAGAGAGAAAATAGGGAAATTTTTGAGATGATTAAACTGCGTATTTAAGTAGGATTGAAGTCATCACCAATTCAAGATGTTTTCCTAAATAAATCTAAAATCAAATTTAGAAATTTTACGGGCAACGCCGGGTACTTGAGCTAAAATCATGATTAAGTAAACGGCGAAAGTGACTATGACTATGGATAAAACTAAAAAATTGGGCAACGCCGAGCACTCCGCTAGTGTTTGATAATGTTGAAGTTTACAACCTATTTTATATATTGTCTATTGCAGTGAAGTACCTGGGGAAACAGAACGGGTTCCAGGGTGGTAATCTCCTAAACCTATCCAGCAGTACAGAACTATTTCATAAAACAACAAATATACAATCACCGTCCAGTAATACTCTCAAACCTAGCAGTGTGTCTAGATGTGAGGAGGGAGCTGAAACCTGTTCAGTTCTTGGAACTACCAGAGGTCTGGGGGTTGCTAAGAATGTTGATGTTCATGGAGTAAAGATATTTACAGTGTACCAACCGTCCATAGATTATCCAGAGCTGAGTGTTGCTGCTCAAATAACAGATGACGAGCACTCACCATACTATCAGTGGAATAGGTAACATTTATTCATCAATTGAAATGATTAATAACACTATGGTCAAACTTCCAAACAGTTGCATTTATTCAATTTATGATAAAGCACTTTGTATAAATAGGATCCATTTTCTTAAATATCTAGGTTTTAGGAAATACCATAATGGCCAAACATAGAACTGATTTAGGTTACGTTGATTCTATTCTTGGGAGACTTCATTATCAGCATGTTTTATTCTTTTAGTCATTGATGAAACTTAAGAAACATTGTTCAAGTGCAGCCTGAGGTTTTCATGATATACAGTGAGAACCATAATTAGAATAGGAAGTCGACTTTTAGACTCAATTTATGACTTTAAACAGGCCAGTGAACATGCGGAACAGCAATTGTGCAGTGTTACCAGAACAATTAATAAGTGATAACTTAGTAAAAAAAGCATTAGAGTTGTATCAACATTAAATACACTTCAGTATTGCTTTAATGTCGTCTTCCTATTCTACAGATTTTTGGTGATCACTGTATTTGTTATTAGCTTGGTATCAAGGTGTTGTTTGTATTTAGGTACAGTGCGTATTGTAGAGAGTATACTGGATACATGGCTCTACATGTAGCTGATACTGCATCTCCAGGAACAGCTTGGAGATTTAACTCAGAACTCAGGTCTCTTCTCGAAATTATATTTTGTATAGAACTGGATTTTTAAATTTTCTTACTCGCCAAATTGAAATTCTTAATTTTTGTCTTTTTGATATCCTTCGAGGTTTTTGTTTTAATTCTTTTGTTTGTCTTTAATTTTACTGAGTCTTTATCTTGCTCTAGTACTTGATATTTCTGCACACTGCGCTTTTTGGTGACTTTGACCTGAACCTGAACGAGGGGAGGAAGCCCAGAAACAACAATTCCTTGTCAGAGCCACAATCTAGCCACGTTAGGGCATAAAACATGGCTAGACTAAAGTTTGCAATGATTTTATAATGTTGGAATCTTCAAAGTTATGAGAATGATGTCGAACTTTATTTAGATTACAACTTAAACCTCTTCTGCCTCCAAAATGGCTAACTTTCATAATTCAAAAATTATATCAAGATTAACTTGAACATGGTCTATAATTTTTCCATTTCAACCCTTTAAAAAAAAAATCATAATTTCTGATATATTTACAAATAAATCAAGTTTTTTTGCCCGTACCAAGTCACTTCTGCCTTTCAAACGATTATATCCAAGGAGAAAATAATGTTAAATTTAAATTATTTAAATTATTTCCTACAATTGACCGTCACAAGCCTATGAATTCAAACAGTATCTAAATCATTAATGAGATGTGGGTGAAAATTGAGTGTATGAATAGAAACAGTTGTTTTGATTCAATTTCATAATAATTTGCAGCATTCTACGCAAAAAAGGCTACTGCAGACAGATGCTTATTTATAGACCATCGTTTTGGGAGCAAATTTTTTAGTAAATTTAAAATTTGTAAGAGAATCTATATTTTATTTATTCCCTAGCGCGGACAGATTTTCAAAAAATATTCTTATCATCAAGGATTGGGACACTTAAAAAAAATTTGTTGAAAGGACGAGGATTTCGAGGTGGCTCGGACGAGAAAATGAGGATAATGTGGCTCGGAATAGGAATTGTTGTGGTTGGCCTTCCTCCCCTCCCTGAATTGTATAATTTCATTTTACAGCAAATGTTAACGTTTTCAAGAATTTTTTTTAAAAATTGTATTAATTTCAAAATTATGTTCTAGATTGGAACAGGTTCAGCCTGAAATGCTTCCTTCTAGGTGTCGGGTAGCTAACAAGGTAATATTAATCTAGTTTTGTCGTTATTTTATACTCAACAAAAATGATATTATTAAATTTATTTTGGGGGAGGGGGGAGGTTTATTTAGTTTTTTCTAATTTCCCAAAAATCCTTTAGCCTCTGACTCCACTTGACCCTCCCAGAAACGAAACTCTAACATTGGTCTCATCTTAATTCTGCAAAAAATATTTTTTATTCAATGTGGAAATGAATTTTACTTAAAAATAATGTATTTTCGGTATTTTTTATAGATTTAATATTTGTACATTCTAGATGTGCTACTGGCTGGGCTGTCCTCACGTTCCTGAACTGGTTGGTGATCAAGTTGTTCAAGTAGGTCAGGGGGTTCAAGGAGATATCCCTGCTCAAGGAGTGTCCTTGCCTTCTCATACAGGATTTCCCAACCTTGCTCAACCCATGGAACAGCTGACAGAACTAGGAGAGGAGTAACAGGAGCCAACTTTTAACAAGTTATATATCGAGTGCTGCAGCTAGTCCCAATACAATTGATATATATTGAAGATTAAACAACATTGGATAAATTCTAACAGAAGTGTACCCATATTGTTCCAGGACTAACTGACCAACATGGAGTACCAGGACGAACAGATCCTCATGGAGTACAAGGAAAACAAGTCTGGAGTACCGAGCCAAAAAAGGACTATTCAATAGTCATGGAATACCAGGACAAACAGACCTACATGGCATACCAGGACAAACAGACCTACATGGAGTACCAAAACTATTTTTTTCATGACTAGAACACCTACATCCTGCTACAGCACTTTACACTTCCATCTAATCAAAATATTGAAATTTAATTGTCAGCCACGTTGCCTCCAACGCCTTATCCGAATCCTTTTTTTGCGATAAGTAGAATTCTTTAACGAAATGTGTCTAAATTCTATGACAAACTTAGGATTTTTATTCGTAACACAAGCCAACGAATGTAATCGTATTATGCCTTATAAACATTGTACCCGTGAACAAGCATTATCATGTAATCTAAATTGATTATTTTAAATTATGACAGAATTAAAAACCCGCCTAAATGCTGACTAAGATACAACTATGTTATTCTTTAGTTATTTACTGTTATCATTGCTTGTTGAAGTTTAAAATATATATTTGACAGAAATTAAATAAGATGTGTAATGTGTACGTCTGTTGATAACAGTAGCGATTGATTTCTTTTATCTATATGTACTGCAGTGCATAGGATCTATTTAATTTTCATCCGCATCAAGGTTAGGTACATTTCTTCACTGACTTTTTAAAAATTGAAAAGTTTTTAATTATTTTCTTCCTTTTATTCATTGATTCTTGATAAACTATTCAGATATTAGAGGAATTTTTTTTATAATTGCAATTTTTTCAAAAGTTGAGATTTAGAGCAAAAAGTTTGTTATCAGGATTTGGTTGATATTTTTCATTTTTTTTGCGGATCTGGATCCAGGAAGCTAAAATGTTCTGTTTGCTTGAATCCAAAACATGGATGAACCGGTTGGGCCAATATTTTTGAGAATAAAAGATGAAAAATTGAACAATTTAAACAAGAGAATCTCTGAAGTTTTTTAATTGGAGAATTATGAATAAATTTGTGACTTAGAAGCAAGTGTTGAAGGCTGTAATTATAGTACATATATACTTCAACCTGCTTCATACTTGAAGAAAAGGGCTAAGAAGTATTTAATCGAATATTAACGACGTCATACTCATATATAGGTACACTTATTTTAAAGTTAATATCCTAATTTTACCTACTCGTCTTTTAATCTCATTTTTTCTCTGTGTACGATGGAAGGAATGGAAGACACTTTGAGGTGGCGTGTTTTTGTACAAACTACAGTGAAACCCTTAATAACGAATTGATCAAATGTCGTATTCTTCACTTTCTGATAATGGAATGTTGCAGAATTTTAGTTTTTTTTTGAATGAATATATGGAGCTCTTTAAAACTATTCCCGCATATTCATGGCTATTTGTTTATTTTCACAAATTCTGAATTTTACGTAATATATTATAAAACTCATTGAAATATTGTCAAGACGACATTTGATAAATTCTTCCGATGTATTCGTTATTAAGGGTTTCACCGTAATAAATTTGAGGACAACATTCAAAAATCATTATAAGTGGTGCCACCGCCTTAGCAAGTTAACATCCTTTTCAAATATTTCGCCGTGTGTTCTCGATTTTACCTGAGCATTATCCAATTGCTTTTTTTCAGATGTTTAGTTTAGAAATTAAGTCGCTTTTTAATTAAGAGATAATAATTTTTCTCTTTACACACAAATAAAATACAAGGTGTCCCACCAAACATGACAGTAGCAACTCCACTTCAAATAAAATACAAGGTGTCCCACGAAACATGACAGTCGCAACTCGACTTCAAATACTGAAAGTATTTATTCGTAAATCAAATTTTAGATGCCTGCAGTTTTTTGTGCTTTCAATATTACCAGAGATATGAAGAATTTTGATCAGATTTTGACAATTTTGGCTTTATTTAATAAAATTGCAATCGGAACGAAATTCTCGACATTTCCGATAATAGAGACAGCATAAAATTTTGGAAATCCCAGGAATAGGATAATTTCGTGTTTTTTGTTTCAAGAATCATAAATGTGAAAGGAGGGGAAAAAAAATTAATGACAAAAAAATATTCTTGATGCTCTTAATTTTTTTTTGGGGGGGGAGGGGTCTTTAATTGAAAGAAAACTGACAAGAATCCCTTAAAACCTCAGAAAAAAAGGAAAACTGTCAAAAAGATAATTTTTCAGTTCGGTCCCTAATCCTTATCCTAGCAAGCTGTGACTTTACATCACAAATTGATCTATAAAGTATAAAATATTTTTTCCGCCTTATTTATAAATATAAATATAAATATTTTGTCGGCGTATTCATTTTTAATAAAAAAATATAAAGTATTAAAGTATGAAGTATAGATATAAAATATATAGTTTAAAGATTGTTGAATTATAGAGACCAAAACACGATTGAATTCAATCAATCATCAGCTAATCCGAACGCTTCTCGTTAGCACTTTTCATCTTATAACAAATAAACGATCAACTTATAATTTAAAACTTATAAAAAACGATTTATTTCTCTTCTAAAATTTTTTTTCGACTTCCAGTTTTAATGGGTTAATTAACCTTACAATGACAGTCACATACATGTCAAGGGAAAACAAATAAATGCAGACATTGCTGAGTCGAATGAATAAATGTCGTCATTTATGTAAATATTGATTCAATATGTCGTTAAAAGAAAGATTTTTAACAAATTTATTAATAACCATTGTTATATTAATATATGAATATTTAATATACGAAAAAATCTGTCTCCCAAAGCTTCCAAAAATGGAAATTATACATAAATACATAACGCTTGACTAGCATTTACAAAAAGACAAGAATAACAAAATGAGTGAAATGGACGGTTTGAAAAATGGTATTTAGAAAAAAAGTTCGAGAAAAAAATATTCATAGCTTTAAATAAGAATACAATTCATATAAATAACTACAACATGTGAGATTCCGTTAGGACTGAATATAATCAATTATTTAAATTTTTAAGAAGTATAAATTTACGAAAGATAAATCAGTCATAATTTTTGTATAACTAGAAGCACTCTTTAAATAAAACTAGCACGAGAAAAACTGGATTTTGTCTGCCGAGTTGGAAAATATTCTTGATGTCGTCTTTATATCTTGTTTAGCAGAATACGAATTTATGCTTGGCCACCTGAAGCTATGAATCCAAACCATTATTGTTCAGTCGAAAAGTTATAATAACAAGAACATAAGTTGTAAGCCTAGCAGAGTAATATATATTTACACTAATCAAATGTGTTAAATTAAAGACGACATTATAAATAATCTCCCCAAACTAAAATCCAGATTATCTCTATATAACCAAGATACTTTATTTCCTGGGACTGTTAACAGACCCGACCGTCCCGTCCGGTAGTTTAAACTCCAGGATAGGATTGTTGTAGAAGAAATGATCTTCAAGATTTCGAGCTTCCTGCAAATAGAAGTCAGAGTAAAATAAAATAAGCAACATAATTATACTTGCCTGCCCACAAAGAATAAGACTTGGCAGATTTTTCATCATTTTGGTTTTAAATAATCCTTGCAACAATATACTTGTTTCATTCTTTTTCAAGTAATTAAAGAATTTCCTTAAGAAAACTTTTTCAAGGCACACAAGAGAAGATTTAACCGTTAGAAGATTTATGAATAATCTAAAGCTAAAGCTAGATTTGGTTCCGTATCAATTAGATTCATGAAGATTTCAAGAGTTCTAAGAATGTTTGCATTTTTATCTAAAACAATAAACTCTAAATCGTGAATCATGAAGCACATTTAAAAACTCGTTAAAATAATGGAAATCTCAATTTTGGAAGTGCCATAAAAAAATAGAAAACATAATAATACCTTGTTAGTTTTCCTGAAATCAGATTGTTGGCTATCCACCATATTATCAATATGCTCCTCTGCAAACTCATCCAGGTTCAACTCCGTCTTCAACACCTCGTTCTGCAGATACCCCTGGGATCCGGAGACACGGTTCATCTCCTGGTTCTCCGAGTAACCCTGGGATCCAGGTACTATCCCGGAGACACGGTTCAACTCAGCCATGATCGCGGCTTTTCCTTCGTACGGAAAGACTGCTGGGAAATTATTCTCATGTTTATATTCTTTTTTATGTTTCAGTTCTTCCAGTTTGTTCTCCTTGGACATACGATGGTTGCCAAGTCTAGCCTGAGGAGAGTTGTGGGTTGGACCAGGGCCTAAATATACATATACACATTTTACCATCGGAGTATGGAAATTAAACAGAAATGACCTCTTGTTATATTATATCATCACTGTTTTTTATGTAAAAAAAATCAATGTTATTTGATTTTAATTATTGGCTTTTGGTATAGATACAAAACTAGGGTCACAACAAAGGATGAGACCGTAAAGACGACCTATAGCTCTTTAATCCTGACGATCCTAAGGGTAAATTTAGTCTTCGGCCTTAGTCTTTTAATGGCTCATTTATTGATTTGGGTAAAAACATTACAGTTGCTGGGAAGTATAAATTCTATGAAAAGACTTTAAAAATCCCATACAGTTGTCTCTTAAGTATCATCCAATGTGAGTAAATCGCTATGTTGTAGATATAGTGAAAAACAAAACAAATACTATCTGCTATTATTTAACTATAATAATAAAAAACAAGCAAAATCATAAAAAATTTAAATATTCTAACCTGAATGTTTCTTAGAAGACGATTTTCGTCTGTCAGATGACATTTCTAATTGTTTTGAAACACGCATGGACTCTAAAATCTGCTCTGGAACGTTGTAGCACTTGCAGAGGCAGAATGAGGGAAACCTAAAAAATATAATAATTAAGTATAATATAGATATATGGTAGATATAATAATCAAAGGTAAACTATCAATGAATCCCCCAAAGATAGTGCTTAAAAGTTGCAAAAACATAACAGTTCCATAAACTGAACCTAAAACTTTAAATTTCCTTGGATTGTATAGTTTTTTTTTTAAAACATGCAATTTAAAAAAAATGAATGTAGGTTGTAGTGTAGAACAAAGATAATTAACATCATTAAATACTTTCATGTTTGTAACCTAAATAAGTCTAAAAACTAGACAGATCTTTGATCATCTAATTGATAAAAAATATCTACAATTGGGTGAATTGGGTTGACCCTGTTAATCTTGTTTTACCTGAACCAGTCGGAGAAAATACCGCGGCATTCATTACTAGGATCGAAGGCTAGAAGCCTATGAAGTCTGTACTGTTGCTCGCACCTAAATAAACATATTTTTTACAGTGATATAATTACGTTTTAGCGTACAGGTTCATGCTATGTATTGATTGATTTTATATTTTACTAGCTTGAGAACCCATGCGTTAACCAGTTACTCCGACCCACCGTTTACACGCACATGGTCGTAATTTTAAGCTATTTACTTCCCACACAACTCTATTTCCTATGAATATTATCGACAATGCCCATGTTTTCCTTTTTTTCCTCCTCTTTACTAACTATATTTTTAATTCTCTCAGTTTTGTTTACATAGAATCTGGAAACAACCACGATAAGCAATCACGGAACCGAATAACCCAAGAAAATTCTCCTTAATTCCAACCAGTCGATACAGAACAAAAATTACGCCTCCTTAGTTTATCAAATCTTCGTCTACTTTTATGCCGAAGTACTACTTTACTGATATTCAAAACATTCTCTTCTTAAATGGTAAAAAAAAATAAAATCAATTACCTACAACCAGGTCTACAGAGCATCTCCTCTCCCTCGTATTTACATTTCTCTATATGAATATACTGCTCGAATGGATACAGGTTCAACAGGGCCAACACCTAGCAAGCAAATGCACGCAATATGAACTAAAATACGTCCATTATGACGCAATTTTGACGCAAATATAAAGTAGGTTTTAAAGGGACTTTAAGCGTAATTTCAACTGACCCTCCATGCAAAAATGACAATGAAAATACACCCATTCACAAAAGTATCTTTAAAAGCTACGACTGATCAAGTATGTAGTAGATATCAATGTTTGTAATTTTTAAAATTGATTATTTTAATTGTGGGTTGACAAAAGTGACTTGCACATTTGTACTGCTTAGCAACATATAAGAATAATCAGAACTAAACACTTTTAACCCTAGAAAAATGACAATATTTTCCCTATTATTATCAGATAAAAATTTTAATGGTACTATTGTGAATCGGGCATTGTCATCTAATTTTAAGTTTCTTTAAAACTGAAACTAAAAACGAAACATTTTACAGTTTAATTTTTTCTACCGTTTACTCGGGTTTAAGCTTTCAAAATCTTATCTCTAAACTACACAAACTTTATTTTATCTGACCTGATTTCTTGTATTATTTGCCCAATAGGGGGCTTTTACTTCCTCATAAACCGGACAGGCATTTCTACAAACATTTTTAATTATTATAGAAGAAACATAATTATGAATTTAAAAAAAGTATGTGCAGTGATAATGCAATACAAAACATGCCGCTAAATATTAACCAGCTTTTTGAGTTTTAGCAGTTTTTCCCCATTTTCATGTTTATGATTATTTTTTAAACTCTTTTTCTCCAAATTAAAAATACATCAGTTTTTCGGTGCACAGTGCACATGCACTACACAGTGTATAGAATATAAGATACATGGTTGGAATGAAACTAGTAGTTTATGAGACGCTTATCACGATAGTGAAAAGATACCTATCACGAATTCAGGGAAACTATCGAGCGCGTAGATCATATTTCAACCAACTTTCATTTTAAATCCCATTTAAATTCTTTTTTTAATATCTTTGATTCATTAAACATTGGTTTAGGTCCATGCTTGGTTTCAAACAGAATGAAACAGATTGGTTTACACAGCTTTTTTTTATTTGAATACCTTTCGGAGTTATATTCGCATAAGCCTGAGACATACTATATACATAGAGAATAGAATATATAGAGAGGAATTAAAAGAATCTCTCGGTATGAATTTTTTCAGTCCCTTTCAGCCTGAAAGGGAGTTCAAAGTGTACAAATCATGTAAATGTTCACAAATTATACAGTATGTTCCCTAGACTATCCATTTCAATTTCGAATTTTTTAAACTGTTGAATAAACTTTATAATGAATTAGGTGAATAAAAACATCATTTGATTTATAGTTATAACGGAAAATCATCGTAAATGGAAGGCATGAAGTGGAAGGCATAGAGTCTATGTGAAATGATCATAGGTCAATTATGAAACCAGCCTATTTCATAATTTGGTTTTCTTTTTAACAATAATTTTAGATTTTCTATAAAATGATATTCCAGGGCCCAACAGGTTATATAGCATAAATATGTGAAGTACACCTGCAGTATGGAAACAGTACAACAAAATGGCCGTTTTACACTTTTTTCTAGTTAATTCCTCTCTATATACTCTATTCTCTATGACTATATAGTACATGGCAAAAAAATCCTAGATTGTCTATAAGGTATTTTGCAAAATCTGTTTTTCTTTAAAACTCCTTAATAATATTAATAATTATAATATAATATAATATAATAATAATATAATAATAATATGAAGATATTATTATACTTACACGCTGTCTCCCGTATATTTATTTTCAAGTGGAAAATCATCTTCTTCTGTTTCAGAAAGTTCTTCTTCCAGATTATCTTCTAGATCTTCATCTTCTTCTGTCAGATCATCTTCAAAATCCTGATCAGTTTCTTCTTCATCAATCTCGAGGTCATGAGCTAATGCTTGTTCAATGATCTCTCCTGCCTGATATATATATTGTTAGGGAAATAATCCCTCCTCTCAATCCAAAAATTTCTAATTCCTCAAGAAATTGAATCTTTGCCACCAACTCTGATTTGCTTATCCCAATATCTTTGCAACCCAATTTTAGATATTTTAAACTATGAATTCTGTTAGATCAAACAGTCAAAGTTTGAGAAATCAAAGGTTTACACTACCAGGTTGCAAAGATATTGGATTAAGAAAATTTGAGTGAGTGGCAAAGACTCAATTCCTTTTTCAACCTGAGGCTTACATCTCAGTACTTAAAGGGAGTGGTCCGACATGTCGAGTGACTTATCACTAAAGACCAATAATGACTTTTCATTATTAATAAATAATAATGTAAACCTTTAATATTTCAAACTCTGACTATTTGATCCAGCGATTCCAGCAGAATTAATAGTTTGAAATATCAAAGGTTTACGACATCAGAATGCAAAGATATAAGGATTTGAAAATTAGAGTTTGGGGCGAGAAAACTCATTAATACATTAAAGAATATAATCAATTCAAGCATATTTACGCAGTGCAGAGGGCCTGGTGAGGGACAATTACCTGTGAGATAGTTATATCCTCTTGAGTGTGAGGTTGAAGGTTGTTGAGGACAGCCTCTAAAGAATCTGTTATGTCTGTGGTAGATGGATAATCGTCTTCAATATAATCCTAGATATAAACAGAGATTAATAGATTGATTTTAAGTTAATCGTTCTGTGTAACGTATTGTTAAAGCTGATTATCGCTAATTCTTCTCGAAATCTTTGAAATGTCCCTTGTTTCTTGATTTTATCCAAATCAAGTAAATAATGCAGTCTTTGACGAAGTAATTTTTTTGCTCTGAAATATTTATTTTATTTTTAATTATGTTGATATGTTTAAAAGTTTTTAATATAAATATTCAAAAGGAGTTGAGTTTTTGCCACAAACTCCAATTTTCTAATCAATTGCAACCGGATGCTGTAAACCTTAAACTTATAATATTTGATCAGTCAGAAATTTTAGTTTGAAATGTCAAAGGTCTACAAGAAGATTTTGCAGAGATACTCGGATCAAAAAGTCTGAATCTGTGGCAAACACTCAACTCCTTTGAATATAAGTATTGTTATCTGATTTTAAAGCTGGAGTATCATTAAATTTTGTATTGTAATTTTAATAGGTTCATTGATAAAGTTTAGTTCCGAAAACTCCAGTTTAAAATATTAACCTGACTCTGATCAACCTCTTCAAACTGATCCTGACCATCCTGATCAGCAGGCTCAACCTCATCCTGGAGTAGAACACCAGGATCCGTCCCACCCTCCCTGAGCTCTGCATCAGCAGAAGGCGTGTCAGGGTTAAAGGGCAGGGTTGACATATCCTCACTGTAAGGATAAAACTAGATAAACAAACTGCAAAAATATTGGGATCAGGAAGATTTGAGTTTGTGGCAAAAACTCAATTCCTTTAGTTGAATTACTTGTTCACCGGTTAAATTTGGAAATAAGTGATCCTACGTAGTTCAACTACTTCTCGACATTCATTAAGTTTGATCCGAGACAAACTACACCTTTCATGTTACTAGTGCTACAATACATTTAAACCCTAAAATAATATTATTTTCAAAACTGTATTTAATGGTGCCGGGATAGAGGCTTAAAGTCAGACTGGTAAGACCGCACGATTTATAGAGTCAGTTTTAAACTCGAAGAAGAATTAACTTTTTAAAAGATGATAATGTTCATGGTTTCCGTATCATAATATGAAAACATATATTTTTAAAAGATGATAATGTTCATGGTTTCCTATCATAATATGAAAACTTATATTTTTAAAAGATGATAATGTTCATGGTTTCCTATCATAATATGAAAACATATATTTTTAAAAGATGATAATGTTCATGGTTTCCGTATCATAATATGAAAACATATATTTTTAAAAGATGATAATGTTCATGGTTTTCGTATCATAATATGAAAACATATATTTGATTTAGTTAATCTGGGACCGGAAGTTCAAACTTTTGTGTTGTTAATCTTGGGATAAGCATTGATCTTCATCTCATGCATAGACCTGCGGATTAAATTCCTCTTTGATACCCCCCCCCCGTGGCGGTTTAACCCTTACAGTGATAAATTTACTTCAGGGTTCAAGAAATTATCTTTACTTTAATAAGTGTACAAATTGGATATCAAGATCAAGTTTTTAAGATTAACGATATCCACACAATGATCCGATCTCTGATTTCATATATACGACAGAGAAGTCGCTGAACTATCAAACGGCGGATCAACTAGTTCTATAGAACTGACAGGATCAAATCCTAAATCACTAATTCAAAGTTCAAGTTAAATTATGCCTCTGAAGGAATTTATCTTTTGATCTAGTGAAATGCCTGACAGTGAAGAAGGTTGTTTGTGGTTGCTCAGTTGTTGTTGCAATACTTTCAGCAGAATCTGCTGTAGTGGGTTGTATTGTCTGCTGCTGTACAGTTTGTAGCGGTTGTTGTATTGCTGGCTGTACAGTTTGGATCTGTACAGGTACAGTTTCTTGTGTTGAGGGTACATCTGTTGTAGCAGAATAGTGAGTTGTTGCAACCCTAGAAACCAATTTAAACATTTGATCATGTGAAAATTAATTTCTTTGGCAAATAAAATTTAATTTTAATTAATGAGACATGCCCTTGATAATGCTTTTTTCTGTCCGTTATCAACCTTACGTGTGTAGAGCCATTTTTGTAACTTTTAATTTCAAACATATGAATAAAAACAAACGAAAAATATTATGGAAAGTAAGAGACGACTTTTGATTACAATTGTATTTATATAAACGCGGACTACCATATTTAAATACTAAATGTTCCTATACCTGGATGTTGTATAGCTTGTACTGGATTCCACTGTTACAACTGTCCTCTGTGTTGTTTGTCTTGTTGTCCTAGATCTAGTCCTTGTCCTGTTAAACGGGTGAATAATTGTTTTTCAAAATTTTTAAATTCTTATTTTTTAAAATACATGTAAAAGGACTACGTCATCGTTATTTGTAATAAACCTTCATTTAAAGAGCTATTTCATACCCAGGCCTGTATAAGATTAACATGTAGATATTCTTTATTTTATATTTGGATAAGAGATAATTCTTTCAAAGTCACTTTTATAGAAAATCCAGAATTGAAAATTACGAATTTTCGGAGAGAAAACTTTTGATAAGAAAAAGGGTTCGTTACAAATTTAAATGAAGATTCACTTAGATTCCATCGAGAGCCCTTTACTGATATATAATGTTATTTTCCGCCTTCCTTGTTTCAGGTTTTCGTTTTCCAATATCTTCTATTTTAGCATTCTTTATCATTGCTAAACCGGACCCAACCCTAATTTTAAACAAAATTAATAATAAAAATAATCATTATAATAATAATAAAATAATAATAATAACAATGATAACAATAATGATAATAATGATAAATAAATGTATATAAAGATTAATAAATATTTTTAAAACTGTGACAATAGCAGTAATAATGATAAAATATTTATTTTGGGGAAAAATTAAACTAATGATAATATTGAATGTATGTATTTAATACCGTATGTTATACTGGAGATCGTTAAACATATTCTCACTGAAGGGCAGCATATTAACTGCGTAGCTTGACGATCTATCCTCTCTGTCAGTTAGTTCTTGTTTTTCTACAGAAGATTCGTCCTTCTTTGTCCCCCATCGTCCTTTCTTGGAGAAATCGTCGCCGAATAAATCATTACTTCTCATCTCCCTTTTCAATTCATTGATTTTTATTAAAGCAGAATGAATAATTCGGAGGAAATCCTTTAAAAATTACATTTTTGTCCTTTCTTTTATTGTGTGAAAGTTTAAGAACTTATTAGATTGAGTATTTTCGATTCTATTTTCGTTGAAACTAAATGCTGTTGTTAAATCTTAGGCAAATTCTTATGCTTTCTAGATTATTATAAATTTTCACGAGTATTACTTCAAAATATTGCTAAAATGTTTAAATTTTTGTGGTTCAGACGAAAATAAGATATTAAGATAGAGTATCAAATAATTTCGAGATTGTTACAAGAACATTCTGAAACTCTTGGTGTCATAGAAAACAAATAAATACACGTGAGCTGTTGCCTTCATTAATTAAGAAATCCAGAGAAACCCTAAAATTTCAAAACCTCAAAAGTTTATAAACTTTGCCTTCGACAAAAGACATGATCATACTTTGTTTTTTTTTGTCTCAGTATAGAAAGAAAAATAAAGCTTTCACTTGGGATGTAAAATATCTTTCTGCACTTCGCAAATAATCAGTCTATTCCTGTAAACTTCTGTAGAATCTACATCTCCGTATAATCTACGCATCAGAGCTTTATTCTCCTCTTTAAACCTCCAGATAGCATTCCTGAAGTACAGTAGGTAAACGGGATTGTTTATTTTATTACAATAAAGTAAATAGTACTCCAATTTATTTCAAATTAGGAATATATCACATTAAAACAAATTTATAGCAATTTCCTTAATCTAATCTAATCTACATTTTTCTCCTCTCATAGAACATTAGACCAAGGATCTGTGCTAAAATTAGTCATACCAAGAAAACTTAAAAAACAAAAAAAAATTATTAAAATGTTTTGATAGCTTATAGATGGAGCAGGAGTATTTTCAAAGTGGTTTCCATCGTTTATTTCTGGTTTGTCTCAACCTTCCACAACTATATTTTCAATCAGTTTTGGCTTATCTTGAAAAATCCATTTATTTGAAGAAAAAAAAAATTTAATTTTTAACAAAAAGGTAAAAGTTTACAATAAGAATAGTTAAAATCAAACATATTATCAATTACAATAGTTAGCAACAGAGAAACGAACCGATTATACATCGACGTCAAGATAACAAGGAAAACCAAATTTCTCACATTATTCGACATTTTTTTCAAGATTATATAAAAAACGTAAAACAGAAAATAAAGAACACATAAAACTGTACTTATTTTACTGTAAGATAAGCACTTTATTCTAAAATTGTCAGTATTATTAATAATTTTGTCGGACACAGTACTGAGTTGACACTTATAATGTAAGAATACAGCTGTACTGAGAGTGTACACATTCTACGTTGCCATCTATTGTACTATCTAATTTATTCGGTGAAAATTTCCTAAAATATAAATATTTCCTAAAATATTAATATTTCATCAATGACAAACAACTGGAGGCAAAAAGTATTATTAACCAAAAATATAGCTTACTCTGGGTATGCAGAACCTTTGAATTCACAGAATGTATTTTTCGTCATATCACAGGGTACATGGTCCAGGATACCTCGGGCAGTTCTACATTTATTTTACAGTCTTTGATGTACAACAAGGAGAGATTTATTAATGGGATTTTAGATGTAATTTCAAGAGACCTTTATTTTTTTCAAGATTTTAAAGGGTTTAAATTAAATAGGATAATTTCTTCCGTGCGCTTTAAAAGCCGAAATGCGCAACTCACGAAAATAACTTATCGGACTTTATAAATGAAGAGTCATTAAGACATACCGATGTACAAACTATAGTATCAGTATAGAAGCAAGGTACTAATGCAAGGAAAGTTATTTCAGAGGTGTACGCATCTTTTGTACTGCAGTGTACTGTCTTTGGGCGGTAATGTAAACACAAGACAGATGTTGAAGCCTGACATGGGATCCATCTTTCACATAAAATACCAATGAAATATTCTGATCACAGGAAACTATTATGTGAATTATCAAACTTATCCAAATTAAATGCTCGATACTAAACGAACACTGATGCATCTATTGTTGTTTACAAATTCCGCCAAGAGAGAACTGGTTTCAATATGTACGCAGAGTATACGCGACCGCAATTAACTTTCCTTGCATTAGTACCTTGAGTAGAAGTAAATATTTCCATTTATTGATTGCGCCGGTTAAAGGATTGGATAATGAGATAGATAGAAAGATAGATGTTACAGCCATACTATTTCTATTGGTTCAGAAACACATGACTGAACCCTGATTGGATCAGGCGCTAATGGAATCGGCATACAAAGTCCCTTTTTTACACCAAGATTAAATAACTTTTGACAAAATATTGCCATTTACAATTATGTACGCGGTGCACTGTGGTTTAAAGAAATAAAACTTTAAAGCAAATATCTATGAGAATTTTGCCTGTTTCTTCTTAAAAACCAAAGCTAACAACTACTGTTCTATAGTGTAAAATGTACATGTACTAGGCTATAGAAAAGACAGAGAATGAGTTAGAGCGGTAAAATCAAAGCCCAAGGCGTTGCGGAATTTCAAAGTCGACCCTGACTTTAAATTATTGATGAGACTGTTTATAAGAGACTTAATCAATGTGGGTACATGTCCTGGCTTATTATATCTATTTAATTAGACGTAATGTCATGTAAGACTTGAATATAACTTAAAGACTGGATTTGTTCCTTGTTTGGAAGAGTCGATCACAGGTTAGGAACTCATCATAGCTTCCCAGGCTTATGCATACCTGAAATCATAAAAAAAATTTATCTAATTAATTAAGACTCGACATTCATATACATGTTCCCGATAGCCGGCTAAACAGCTGGACCGAATGGGCTGACATTTTTTGTGGACACTCATGGGTCTGGAAGTGTCTTACGCTAAAAAATTCGACTTTTTCAGAATTTTTTTAATTTTTTAAAAATATTTTTTTTTTCCAGGGGCAACACCGGGCCCTCCAGCTTGTAATCTATATAATAAAACAAGCCATTAGTGTGTCTATAGCCGGCAAAACGGTTGGATCGAATGGGCTGAACTTTTTTGTGGACATTTGTGGAATTTTTAAAAAATATTTTTTTTTCTTCCAAGGCAACTTTGGGCAAGCTTAAGCTAATTAGTAAATGATGATAATGATGATGATAATAATAATAAATGTAAAAAAAAATAATAATGATAATTATGACAATGATGATAAAAATAAAAATCTCCCCCACCTCCAACATAATCTTTTTTATATCATATCAGCACAAAATGCACCTCAACACTCAGACACTAATGCATTTATGTTAATTCCTGCAAGTGCATTTGCGTAGTGCGACTGCGTACTAAATTAATTCTAGATCAGATAAGGAGAGAGAGCAAAGTTTTCTCCAAGGCTAGATATAGAGGAATCAATTTGAGATATTTAGGCGAGGACTTTCAGTGTCAATCTATTTTAAGAGGGGCATAACAGATTCACAATGGTACTCTAAACCCTTCGTCTGAGGAAACATTATGAAATATTCTGGTTTTATTTACGGATATACAAAGATAAGTACCATCATAATTGAATGTAAACATTTGTCTCATCAGCTCTTGTCAATATTTAAAATAGCGCATAAACTGTCAAGTTCCATGATTTGTGACGCTCTGTGTTCCCAAAAAAACATTGCAGTGATAGCTGAATCCTTAATTTTGGAACGATATTGACGATTTTGAAATATTTTTAATTTCCATTGAAAACTTTGGATCAAACTAGCGCCTACATAATTCTTGTGGTAAATTTTATTCAAGTTTGAAGGTTTGGAATTCCTCTCACGAACAAAATTTGTTTAAAGAAAAAATTTCTATCGCAAACAATAAACTATTATTACTGTCAGAATTTAATTTTGTATTAATGTGTAAAAAATTAAAATTATTTTCATTTCTATTAAACTTATAACTATTTTGCATCAGAGGAATTCCAAAACTTCATGCTTTGCTACGAGAATGTAGATATATAGGAAGAAAGGTTCCATTTAATGATTAAAAAACTTGAAGTGTAAAACAAACCAATGGAATATCGAAACCCCTTTTAAAAATCGAATAATTAATAAATAGAGAAATTAAAAGAAATAATTTAAATAGTTTAATAAACTGGTAGAGAAACAAAAACCAGACAATGGAATTAAGAAAAAGGCCTGAAAATAAACTAAAGATTTTAGGAACAAACTTGTAATAAGACGAACTTTTAGATAGATAAACAGATTGATAGATAAAAAAAGATGGACGGTATAGATATGTATAGGTAGGTGAACTAGAATATATGTAATATGTATAGATAGTTAGAAATATAGATACTAAATATTTTTGGGTAGATAGATATATGTTAGATAGATAGAAAGATATATAGATAGAAAGATAGACAGATAAAGATATATATAGATAAAGAAATAGAGAAAAAGATAGATAGATATAGAAAGATCGGGTAGGAACGAAATGAGTCAACCAGCAACCTAATTTCACTTTCCATTGCAAGGTCAACACCACCCCACTCTTTCCATTCCCCTTTACCCCCCTTCCTCTTTCCCCCCCCCCTCTCCCTCCTTCCGCTTCGCCCATCAAGTGACCAGGAAACCAGAAACAAATATTTGGAAATAACACAATAAACACAAGAAAAACAAAGAACTGAGGCCGAATTTTAAGAATTTGAGCCGCAACTTAAATTTAAGACGCGGATCAAATATGGTTGTTCCACTTAAAATTGTATTCAATGTTTCAAGATTATGGTCGGCGCTCAATGAAACCTTTTTTTGGCGGATTTGAGACGCGGCTCAAATTCATAAAATTCAGACTGTAAATTTAAAGATATGTCCATAGAAAAGCTTTTAGGAATATGCCTGCGTACTGGAAAACATGTTTTTTTTAACATTCAAGGTGAGATATTATGCATCTTTTAGTTGCAGAGAAATCTTAGAGTAGGGTTAAAATATAGGTTCAGGTTTCTGTAGTTTGCCATGACCTTCATATATAGTCTGCAGATCCAGCTCAAACATAGATTTGAGCAGATCCAGCTCAAATATAGATCTGAGCAGATCCAGGTCAGATATAGATCTGAGCAGATCCCATTTACATAAAAATATAAGCAGATCCCATTTTTATAAAGATATAAGCAGATCCAATTTAGATAAAGATTTGAGCAGATCCATTTTATATAAAGATATAAGCAGATTTAATTTAAATAAAGATATGAGCAGATAAAATTTATGCAAAGATATAAGCAGATTCAATTTAGATAAAGATCTGAGCAGATAAAATTTATATAAAGATATAAGCAGATCCAATTTATGAAAAGATCTGAGCAGATCTTATTCAAATAAAGAACTGAGCAGAACCAATTTAGCTCAAGATCTAAGCAGAGTCAATGTATATAAAGATCTGAGCAGATCCAAATCATATAAAGATCTGAGCAACCTGAGCAGTTCCAATTGATATAAATATCTGAGCAGATCCAACATAGATGAAGATCATTGGGATTGTAGAAAACTGCTGTAGATAAAATACCGGACAAAAAGGTTCCTATGAACATGGTTTTAGAACTTATGACAAGACTCTAGTACTTGGGACAAGGTTCCGGAGGTTCCAGAACTAAGGACAAGGTTCAAGTATTACGGACAATGTTCTAGTATTAAGGACAAGGTTCAAGTATTAGGGACATGATTCCAGTACTAAGGCCATGGTTCCAATACTAAGGACAAGGTTCAAGTATTAAGGATATGGTTCCAGTACTCAGGATAAGGTTCCATTTCTAAGAACAAATTTCAAGTATTAAGACCATGGTTCCAGTACTAAGGATAAGGTTTCAGCTCTAATGACGTTATTTCAGTGCTAAGGACAAGATTCCAGTATTAAGGACAGAGTTCCAGTGCTCAGAACAAGATTCCAATATAACAATATAAAATATTAAGGACATGGTTCCAGTGCAAAGGACAAGATTCCAGTATGAAGGACAAGGTTCCAGTACTAAGAACAAGGTTCAATTAAGGACATGGTTCCGGTACTGAGGATAAGGTTCCAGTACTTAGGACAAGGTTCCAGTACAAAGGACAAGGTTCCAGTACTAAGGCCATTGTTCCAGTACTAATGCCAAAGGTTCAATGTACGAGTGTTAAGGACATGGCTCAGTACTTAGGACATGGTTCCAGTGCTAAGGACAAGATTCCAGTATTAAGGACAAGGTTCCAGTACTAAAGATAAGGTTCCAGTACTACAGATAAGGTTCCAGTACTAAGAACAAGGTTCAAGTATTAAGCGCATGGTTCCGGTACTGAGGATAAGATTCCAGTACTAAGAATAAGGTTCCGGCCTGTACTAAGGAAAAGGTTCCAGTATTAAGGACATAGTTCCAGTAATAAGGATAAGGTTTCAGTAATAACGACATTGTTCCAGTGCTAAAGACAAGATTCCAGTACGAAGAACAAGGTTCCAGTATTAATGACAAGGTTTCAGTATTAAGGACAAGGTTCCAGTGCTAAGGACTGGTTATAGTACTAGGGACATGGTTCCAGTGCTAAGGACAAGGTTCTAGTATTAAAAAAAAAGTTCCAGTACAAAGGAAATGGTTTCAGAAGGACAAGGTTCCAGTGTTAAGGACGTGGTTCTAGTACTAAGGACAGTGTTTTTAAGTCGTCAATGACAAGGGTTCAAGGGCCTTGGTGAAAGTTTGTTTACGCTCAATAGTTACAAACAATAAAAATAAATGAAAACACAAAATTAACAACAAAGCAAATTTTCATCAACAGTTATTTTGCGAGATACGTCAAGATCTTGTATAAAGAGTACTCAGAAAATCCCAATGTTGGAGAAGAATAATAATTCTCACAACATTTAGGTTCAACACGTTAATTTTAAGTTTGATTATCTGAGTTTGATTTTATTTTTTATTTATCTTGACCATTTTTGAGTTGCCATGCTCTATCAAGGTTTGACCCAATTCCATTGTGATATGATCATGGTTAATAATAGGTCGACCTTTACCAAGGACGTTTACTCCAGGGAACCCGGAGAAAAGGGCGTCAACTTTATATGGAGTTTCAAGCAAAATGCAATAAAAATATCAATGAGAAGAGAATTTAATATTTGCAATTTTAATATTTCCAATATTAAACTATGTACAGAATGAATTGATAACTTAAGGCAAATTTTTTTGTATATAAATTTTGTTTGTTTTGCATTTAGGTTAAGAATCAAAAGAACGCCAGAATATTGCGGATCCCGCGGATCTAACGATGGACTTTAAATCAACAATAGTACGTTTAAAGGACCGAGAAGCAACAAGGAGAGATTTAAAGGACGTAAAAGCAACAATTGGATATGTTTGAAGGACGGAGAAGCAATAAGGATATGTTTAAAGGATAAAGCATCCACAAGGATAGATTTTAAGGGTGGAGCAGGAACAAGGGTAGGTTTGAAGGACGGAGAAGCAAAAAGGATAGGTTTGAAGGACGGAGAAGCAACAAGGATAGGTTTGAAGGAAGGAGAAGCAACAAGGATAGGTTTGAAGGACGGAGAAGCAACAAGGATAGGTTTGAAGGAAGGAGAAGCAACAAGGATAGGTTTGAAGGACGGAGAAGCAACAAGGATAGGTTTGAAGGACGGAGAAGCAACAAGGATAGGTTTGAAGGACGGAGAAGCAACAAGGATAGGTTTGAACTGAAGTTGAACTGGGCCAAGGTCAACCTTGAGCCTGGACACCCAGATATCTTTAATGAGCTAGAAGAAAAGGAGTTTCCCAAACCTCTTCACGTGATTCAACCTTCGGTAGGAATTAAGGGGGAGGATGGAGACGATAGTACGCTTATTAAGACCTCCAAGTCTAAACAGTAACAAAGACTTCACTTTCGAACTTTTCTTCATCCATTAAATGTGTTTTTAGAACTATATTTGCATTTAAGTTTTTTTTTTAAATTTACTCTTTTTTAGGTTTACTTCTCTTAGTTTGAGATATCAGCTATTTCAATTAATACAGTCCGTAGTCCGTACATGTTTTAATCTAATTTGTTAAGCGTGTTATGATTGACCAGGGGACTGATTGTAAGGAAATTCCTAGTTATATTTCTTCAACATCACTAAATCTCTCGATAAGGAAAAAATGATATAAAGAAATTTTGAACTTTAAGCGCTAGAAATATATACATAAAACTTCTTGTTTTTCATTTTTGAAACTCTATATTGTGAAATAACGAGAAAGTCACACAGAACTGGAAATGGTATTAACCAATTATTTTATATAGTTTAAATATGATTGAAGACGTAACAAGCATTTATTAAAAAAATTGTAGAAACTCTGAATTGGAATTTAAGATATATTTAATTTGCTTCCGTCATATTAAATGCGCGCTAGGTATCTAAAAAACTTATCACTGAAAACAAACTCGTTTTATAATCTATAACACTTTATCAGCAAAGTACCATTTTAGTTGCATTGATCTTTGATCATTTTCAAACACTTTTTAATATTTAAAAATGAATGCAATTTACCGTAACAAATGAATGAAGTCTTTGCCAACAACTCAAATTTACTACTCCCTATATCTTTGCAATCATATGGCTCAAATCTTTTATTTTTCAAACTTATAATATTTTATCTGACAGAATTAATAGTTTAAAATATCTAAATTCTACCACGTTGAGTTGAAAAGATATAGAGATTAGAAAATCAGAGTTCTTGGCGCGGCAAGGACTCCAATCAATAAGTGCCTGACTTTTTAAAATATGAATAGGCTAAAGTAACATGGTGCAATTTAATCGCCTTTCTTCCTATTGTAAACGTATAAAACGTTTTATATCTTAATGAAAAATGTGAGTTTTGATATTTGTGGTTTAGATATACGTGCTGTTTATTACAAAACCTAGTTATAAACATTAACCAACTTTCTTAACTCTCAGACAAACTATTTTTGTAATTTCTGAACCTACCATTGTTATAACAATGAATATTAATTCGTCTATTCTCCACATTGTTTTCTAGTTTACCAATTCAACTAGAGAAAACAAGAGCGTAGGGAAGCCTCTCTAAGTCATATTTTTCAAAACTTTGCAACCGATTCAAGCATATATATATTCACTAGTAGTGTCATTCAAACACTAAAGATGTTTAATTATGATAATTCACAAGTCTATGTCTCACAAATAAATCTACATTTCAGTTTTTAGTTGATTAAACGTGGGGTTTCTCTGGCGTAAGTCTGGCAGTAACTGGCGTTGAAATCATTTTCACTCTCTCTTACACATCAGCTGATCATCATAAACCAACCAATCAGAGAACAGCTCACCAGATCCAACCAATAGACATGTAGACCACCGTTATTTTGATTAATTAAAGGTTAATTAACTGTTGAATAGTTTTACCCATGCATCAAATCAAAATGAAAGTTTGGGTTTTAGCGTGAGAATATAATAGTGGGTTGTTGTTTTTCATAGTTAAAGGCAAAGGCGGACACAGGGGGGTGGCGGGGGGACATTCGCCACCCCCTGACAGATTCAGGGAGGGGCGTAGCCCCCCCCTGAGATTTCGAGGCAAAAAATGTTCCCAATTTGATAAATCGTATGTGTTTTTCAATTTTTAACTATTTGATTATTTTTTATTTAATGGAAATATAATAATTAATATTTATTGAAAAATTGAATCATCAGAAGAGAAGGACGAAAAAAATATTTTTCTAGCTTGTTAAAAATAAATATAAGTTTTTAACCAATGATGTAAGTATACGACGACAGACATTGTGTTTACTTTTATTGGGACGCGGCACACTGCACATCTTGAGTCTTTTCTTCAGTTTAATTTAAAAATCAACGACAACAAGTAAATGTTATTGTTAACGATAAATTTAGAATTAGAAATTCGTAAGAAACTAGTAATTTCTTTTTGTTCTTAAATTGCTAATGTTCCTATTATTGTTCCTGTTCCTAATACTGTGTCCGACCCACCTAAAATCCCTGTCCTAATCCTATATTTTTGTTCCTTATTCCTGAACAATCTTATTGTTCCTAAATCCCTGTCCTAATCCTTTAATTTTGTTCCTAATTCCTGAGAAATCATTTTATTGTTCCTAAATCCCTGTCCTAATCCTATATTTTTGCTCCTTATTCCTGAACAATCTTTTTATTGTTCCTAAATCCCTGTCCTAATCCTTTAATTTTGTTCCTAATTATCAATTTTTTTGTTCCTAAAAAATCTTGCCACCCCCTCACTTAAATCCTGTGTCCGCCCCTGGTTAAAGGGAAAATCAAAATCAGAATTGAACTTCCTTCCTCTGACCACCTTACACACACAAATTATACTTTATCTCTATCTATTCTTGGCATTTAAAACGTGTTTCAAGTGTACTACAAGTATCTAACACATTCTATATACTATCAATTTGGACAAATTAGATGCTTTGAAGTGTAAATTTGGATACAATACAATACAATTCAGCTGTTAGAAAGCATCAAAAATGATCTTTGAAAATGGTAAAGCATCAAAACTGTCACTGCTGCAACAGATGCAAGACAATATATGTAAAATTCCAGCTTTTCCCTGATACAATTATTATTTTATTTTGGAATATAAAACCCTTTTGTATATCTTTAACATATTTTGTACTGAATAATGGGGTGGAAGTATAGGGGGGGGGGTCATTGATGACGGACACATATTCTTTGTCACAATTACATCAATGTTCTACTTTTGAGATCAAATTATGTCTGAGACACTTATACCTGAGTCACAATAGTAAGTAACAAAATATGTCTAAAAGTCATTTTAGTCACCATACTAAGAAAAATTCTTAATTTGGAGAAATGCTTTTGTCTAAGTCAATTAAGACAAAACCATACTTTTAAGACCAAATTATGTCTGAGAAGCTTTCTAAGTTACAACTTTGTCAAAGACTTATACCAATGCACGACTGTGACTAAGACTCATTCTAAGTCACCATTTAAAGACAAACTCATAAGACATCATTATGTCTAAACACTTTTCTAAGTTACACTTTAAAACATGTTCTAAGGGCCGATTCTATCTCAAACCCATGTCTAAGTCATGGTAAGACATATTCCAAATCACAATTCTTAGTCACAGTTAAATCAAAGGGCTCAGTAACATTTTGCCTAGAACAAGTTCGCCTAGTACACTTTAGCCTAGTACATGTTCGCCTAGTTCAAGTTCGCCTAGACAGCATTTTGCCTAAACACAGTTTTCCTAGACAACATTTCGCCTAGATAACATTAGAGAGTAATTTTCGCCTGGATTAACAGTCTTCAAATTGTATTTAACCAGCTTTTGGAACAAAAAAAATACGCAATTTTTACTGTAAAAATTTCACAATTATCGTTTTGGGTACTACTTTTCACAGACTTGGATTGAATTTGGAACCAGTACGGCACAGTTCTAGAGGATGGAATGGAAACAAACAATATGCTGGAATCCTTTAATCGTACCTGGAATTTATTGTCTGGGTACAGTCCAAATGTTTGGCACATTCAGGACCAATTTGTCAAACAAGATGCTGATGCAAAATGAGCATTTATTTCTAATTCAGTTGGCCAGGATATGGCTGATAATACAGGCAGAAAGCAGAGAGCCAAGGATGCAAAACAGAGGGTTAAACTGGTGGTAGAAGCTTTTGCTACAATGCCTAAAACTGATTATCTGAAAATGCTGGCTCATGATCTCCAGCAAGCAAGTGCACCTTTAAGAATAAATTTGTAAACATTATTATAAAACTTTTTTTTTGCTTTTAATTGAATTTCTTGAGGAAAAAGGGAACTTTAGAAATTTTTGAAAAAAAATTATTGAATTTACCTAGGCGAAAATTACCTTCTAATGTTATCTAGGCAAAATGTTATCTAGGCAAAATGTTATCTAGGCGAAATGTTGTCTAGGCAAACTGTGTTCAGGCAAAATGTTGTCTAGGCGAACATGTTTTAGGCGAACTTGTACTAGGCAAAATGTTACTGAGCCAATCGAAGTCATCCTTAATTCTGAGACCAAATTATGTCTAAGACACTATCTAAGTCACAATTCTAAGTCACAACTTTGTCAAGACTCATTCTAAGTCACAAAAAGAAAAACTCTTACTTTAAAGACATGCTTTTGCTTAAGACACTTTCTAAGACACCATCTAAGTCACAAATATGCCTTAGACACATTGTAAGACTCAGTTCTAACTCAAAACTATTTTCAGATCATGTTTTATTTTAGGCTTCATTGTGTTTAACGCCCATTCTAAGTCACAATTTTAAGTCTTAATAAGGTCTGAAACACCATTTCAGTCACACTTGTGTCTAATTTACAGTTGGCTGCCTTAATTATATTCAAAGCTCATTCCAAGCCACAGTTCTAAGTCGCAATAATTTTCAGATCAATTTGTGTCTAAGACACTTTCTTAGTCAACATTCTAAGTCACAGCTTTGTCTAAGACACTTTCTGAATCACAAAAACACATTCTCGAAGTCCCAATCGATTCTAAGTCACATTTTTGGGCTTAATTATGGTTAATTATGGTTAATTATGGTTAATTATTGTTAATTATGGTTAATTATGGTTAATTATTAATAACATTGTTTGTCACAGTTTTAAGTCGTAGTTACCTCACAGCCATACTTTTCAGACCTATAAATGTCCAAGGCACTTTCTAAACCATAACTCTACTAAACTATACCTAAACTATACCTGTCCTGTTTTTTAAGGCTTAACTATATTTAACACACATTCTCAGTCACTAGCAAAAGTCACAAATATGTCTAAGCCTGTTTTTGGAGACAAATTCACATTTACGACTCTTTCTAAGTCTCAAAATGTACGTTACTATCATTTCTAAGTCTCATTTTTCTGGTTCAATTTTGTTTAAGAGTACGACTTTGATACAATTGTGACTTTTAATATTTAAAGACATCATTGTAACCTGAGTTATTTAAGTCACAACACTAAGTCGCTATTCTTAGTCACAATGTTTGTTGAGGCCATTAACTATTTGCCATTTTCAGAAAACTATTAAGAAATTTGGCAGTTTGGATATCCTGAGCCATTATATTCAAAAAGGAGGGGGTATGGCATCTTCTTCCTCTCTTTACAAAACTTGCCCTTTCTAAGGTTTTTCTTAGAAGCATCAAAAGTTATTTTTGATCAGAAAAATGCAGGATTTCTTTCATCTTATTTTACAACAGATGAGGAAATATGTGTGGTATTAAAGCCAACTAAAACGCACAGGGAAAAGCAATGCTTCCTAATGCTTAGCTCATTTAGTCATAATTTGACTAGAAAGTTAATATTTTCTAAAAAAGAGTGAGTAAGGCATCAAATTCGATTTGCTTTTTACTTTCGATGCTTTCAAATGTTGAAATTGAAAGACTAACTTTTTGAACTAGGATGGAAAAAAAGGAGCAGTTGATTAATTGTCTGAAAATCTATATTTCTTACCATCTTTGCAACCTGACATCGTACTTCACGCAGATTTAAAAGTTAGGTCCTGGTCCTGGTGACTTTCAATCAGACTTTGACCAATTATACGTAGATTTTTCGCCTTTTCTGTTTCATACTTTTTGTTGCCGGATGCGTTTTAAAAAAGTTTGATAGGACAATTATAAAAGTTTGATAAGACAATTATAAAAGTTTGATAGGACAATTATAAAAGTTTGATAGGACAATTATAATTATATATTGAAGAAACTAAACGCACTGACTATTTAGCTCTGGTTAGTCTAGGTTAACCTAACCTTTGACTTATGAATTCAGCAAAATCAAATTTTCATCGATGAAAATTCTAAAGCTTTACATCATCAGGTTGTAAAATGTACGGTGGTAGGCGATAATATAAATATAATGAAGACGACTTTTAATTTATGTTTTAATTGTTAACAAGCTTTTCTAAAATTACAAGCTTACGAGTAATTAAAGAAAAGCTTTTTTAATTGACAGCTTCTCTTTGTTTCCATGTTTTTTAAAAGCTTGATATAAATTAAAATTTAAATCGAAAGTCGTCTTCATTATATTAATATAATCGCCTACCACCATAGGAATTACATTTGAGATTAAGAAGAACTGAAAGTTCTTAGAACTAGAGGTTATTTGTGTATTTTACAAATTAGTTTTTATTTTCACAGATTCCCTATAGCAATGAATGTAAGGCCTTACATTCTTGCCCTATAGTGGCTATTTTATCCTGAGGTATAATTACGATTTGGTCGAAATTCAACCACAACAAACAACACACAATACTATCAAAGTAATAATTGGTCGCAATTTGTTAAGTACTTTATTTTAATTTACAATTGGTATAATATTGATATTATAGCATTTACTTAATAAAATGAGCAACAACTTTGTTTTAAATTACAAGTTTAATTCTTTAGGATTGATCACCCCAAATAAAATCTCCGTTAAAATCTCTGAGAAGTTCAACGAATGCTGTATCACTCAAGCACCCCTGATATACAGAACATAGTATATAGTTAGAGCTGCAGACAAGTATATAGTTCACTGCAATCGAAGTTTTTAACGAGGCTTGAATTAGATACAATATATAGTATTGCAATATTACGTTAGTTCAATAATCTTACATTTAGCAGATATTGAAATTAGTTATTTAAGACTTAGTAAAAGTAACTTTGTTTTAATAGTTAGTTAGTGAATTAACTGGTTAGATTTTAGTTAGATAGTTAGTTAGTCAGATATTTAATTAGTATATTAGTTAGTTAGTTAGTTAATTAATTTGTTAGTTAGCAAGCTATAGTCAGTTACTTGGTTAATTTGTCTGTAAGATAATTAGTTAGTTAGTTAGTTAGATAGTTAGTTATTATTGTTAGTTAGTTAACTAATTAGTTATTTAGTTACTTAGTTTGTTAGTTAGTACATACGTTAGTCAATTAGTTCTTTAATTAATGAGTTTTTTTAGTTAATTCGGTTAGTAAGTTAACTAATTAGTTAGTTAGTTACTTAGTTTATTAATTAGTTAATAAATTAGTTAATTAGTTATTTGGTTAGTTAGTTAGTCTCTCTGTCAGTTAGTTAGTTATCTATTAATCAATAAGCACTATAACTATGTTTCCCTGAATGAATTCATCTTCAGTAAGAACACCGTTCCCGTCGTCATCAAGCGCATCAAACAGTTCCCGGGCACGCTTACCTAAGGACATATAGACAAAACAGTATAAGCATATAAGCACATATAAACAAAACAGTTTTAGAGTACGCTTTTATAAGCACATATAAACAGTTTTAGAGTACGCTTATATAAGCACATATAGACAAAACAGTTTTGGAGTACGCTTTTATAAGCACATAAAGACAAAAAAGTTTTAGAGTACGCTTTTATAAGCACATATAGACAAAACAGTTTTAGAGTACGCTTTTATAAGCACATATAGACAAAACAGTTTTAGAGTACGCTTATATAGGCACATATAGACAAATCAGTTTTAGAGTACGCTTTTATAAGCACATATAAACAAAACAGTTTTAGAGTACGCTTTTATAAGCACATATAAACAAAACAGTTTTAGAGTACGCTTTTATAAGCACATATAAACAAAACAGTTAATGAACAGTTAATAATAAGCACATATAAACAAAACAGTTTTAGAGTACGCTTTTATAATCACATATAGACAAAACAGTTTTAGAGTACGCTTATATAGGCACATATAGACAAAACAGTTTTAGAGTACGCTTATATAAGCACATATAGACAAAACAGTTTTAGAGTACGCTTTTATAAGCACATATAAACAAAACAGTTTTAGAGTACGCTTATATAGGCACATATAGACAAAACAGTTTTAGAGTACGCTTATATAAGCACATATAGACAAAACCGTTTTAGAGTACGCTTTTATAAGCATATATAGACAAAACAGTTTTACTGCATTCTTGCCTAAACTATTTATGACAGCTAAGCACGCTTTTCTAATCATTTTTGACACTTTCTATCCACTACTATTTTCTTTTTGTAAGCTAATCAAAAATAAATACAAAAATTTGGTATGTTAATCATTAGAGTAAAATTAAAGTTTATGCCATGTTAAATAATCTATCCTATTAGTCTGATTTTATGTGATTGTTAAGAACTTGCAGAACACGGATAATATGATAAAATGTATAGGATGAAAAATATAATTGAATTTAACAGTCACTTCTTTACAATATTGCAATTGTGCAATTGTATTTCCGGTGGAGCTTAATTTGTTGACGAAAGTGAAAATCATGAAGGATTGTCTAGAAATATATTTAAACAAGTTAGTTTGATTTAGCTGAGGGAGTTCAGTAGCTAGGTTCCTTGTCCCTCCATTTCAGAAAATATATTTTTTTGGTACATCGTTTTTGTTTCTCTTTTTGAAATGCTAATAACCAAAAAATTTAAATATTTTTTTCAGCTTAATAACCTGGATCAAAGTTTTTACAATCTCTGCTTGGATCCTTCAATTCATCCTTAATCACTCCCAGAACACCTACTTTCTCCTTCTCCTAGATCCAGAAATTAAATAATCTAAAGTAACCTTCCATTTAAGAAGTTGGCCGATTCACAATAGTACACTTTTCACCTTTTTCTGAGCATAAATGATGAAAATATCATATTTTTCTAACAGAAAAATTTGTTGTTTCTCAATGAATGTAACTAACGGATTGATGCAGCTGACGTTACGAAGTAACGGATTGATGCAGCTGATGGAACGAAGTAACTTTACAGAATTTACCTTTTTTCAAGAGAGAAAGACCACGGGCAGCCGTAGTACCTTTGAATTTCCGAGCCGGGTCAACCTTTTCGGTCCCAGTTTGTACTGTATCGCCGGAACATTGGGTAAATAAAGCAGACACTCAATAGGACTAGCTGGTGCAACAAGGTTGATCCGGTCAGACTTTAGGTTGAATTTACTTTTACTGAAGGGTCAGGGGTGTGCGTGGGACGGCAATGCATTTCAATTTATTACTCAGACAACGGTTAAAAGGGTACCGTTGCCAATCGGGCATGTTATTCTTGAAATAGGGGTCACTTTAAATCACGTAGACAGATGTGATTCAAAAATAATTAGATTTTATAAAATAAACCTTTGGTATCTCAGGTTCTGGTTGTTTTTGTTTCTTCAGTGTTGCTTTTTTAAACCTAACCGCTGCATTCAAACCTTTAAACGCAACCTTCTCCTCAATCCTGAAACAACAATTATCGAATTCTATCTTAAACAGAATGAAGAATGAACTGAATGTCGTCAATTTTAGGTCTGCATAGTTAGAAATGTCGTAAGATTTTTTATGTTTGTTATTGCAGAGATATATTAGTTCAGATTTAAAAATTCAGTAATAAATTTTCTTACAAATCTTAAGGTAGTTTTCATTAAAAAAAAAAATCTAAATACTGAATTTTGCCTGAACCTTTTCTTCTTCTCTGAAAGTAGGTCAACCTTAACATAAAGAAATAAACAAAATTAGATTAGCATTGTAGTAGATGTTTGTCGGTGTATGGACAATTAACTTGAAAACTTTATACTATTGTTTCTTCAGCAGAAACCACAATTAAAGAGAAAGATTTTCCAAGAGAAAAACATGGATATTTCGTGCAATATTACTAATCACCCAAATGTTTAAAGGTTACTGTTGTGAATTACTAATCAGCCAAATGTTTAAAGGTTACTGTTGTGAATTACTAATCAGGCAAATTTTTAAAGGTTACTGTTGTGAATTACTAATCAGGCAAATGTTTAAAGGTTACTGATGTGAATTACTAATCAGGCAAATGATTAAAGGTTACTGTTGTGAATTACTAATCAGCCAAATGTTTAAAGGTTACTGTTGTGAATTGAACATGTCACTATATAAATGAAGGTCACTTGAAATTACGTGAGCAGTCCCTTTAAGTATGTTTATTTATCATCCCTTTATATTTCTCCCCAGTAGTTTATCTTCTGCTTCTTGTTTAAATCTTCTCTCCTCCTAAAACAACAAGAAGAATTTAAATCAGAAAATCAAAAAATCCAAAAACATCTCATAGGTAAGCCATAAGAAACCATGTAGCATCCCTTTTTATAGACTATGAGATTGGGTTTTATTGGAAAGAACATTTCATGGAAAGTTTTTTTTTGGACAGAACATTTCATGGAAAGTTTTGTATTGGACAGAACATTTCATGGAAAGTTTTTCTTGGACAGAACATTTCATGGAAAGTTTTTTCTTGGAAAGAACATGTCATGGAAAATTTTTTCTTGGAATGAACATTTACTAGATGTCTATTCTACTAGACATTTCGGGCACTTTTTTTGAACAGATTATTTAAAAAGTTTTTTTCTTGGACACAATAGTCCCTTGAGGTTTTTTTTTGACAAACACATCATGAACGTTTTTTGGAACAGAACATTCCATTGAAAGTTGAAAGTTTTTTTGGGCAGAATATTGTATGGAAAGTTTTATGTATAGAAAATTTTATTTATGCATGATATTTTGCAATTTTGACAACTTGATCCAGCAAAACTCATAGTTTAATAAGTGAAACATGAAAGGTCTACGATATTAGTTAAATGAGTTTTATGAATGTATAAACAGAAAACAGTAGATCTAAAACCAAGCCTAAACCACATTTGAAATACTATTAGTTTCATAATATAATTCCGATCGAGAAATTGAAATATGAAACATTATCTCTTGAAATATTATCACTAGACATATCTTAATATGAAATACCATCATTTAAAATGTTATTATAACAACACCATTTGTAAATAGTTTAACAGTCTTAAGAAAATACAAAGTATTTAATAATTTATAATTTATAATTTTAGAACAGAGAGACTTTAACATACAAGTCTCTGAAATGAATTAATCTAGTTTTTACCTTTTCCTTTTCTTTTAGTATTCTCTTTTTCTCTCTCTCCTGTTCTTCTATATCTATTATTTTTTGGTCTTTCTCTATTCCTTCAGCAATCCTAACACGAAAAAACTCTAAGCTTTGCAGCTTAATGCTGCAAGGGTTTACACCTACACCATCAGATTTTAAAGATAAATGGATAAGGAATTTAGAGTTTATGGCTAATATTAAGTATTAGGTTTTTTATTAAATTGTTTCTTTTCGTAGTTGGAATGTCAAAAAAAACTTTAAAACATAAAATGGATGATACTTCATTATTTAAACAAAATAAAAAGTAGTTTTGATGAGGTCTAATCATCAATTTCTTATCAAAAATTAGATATTATACTTTAAATAATGTTAAGATTTTTTTGATGTGTAAATCGTGCTTTATTTATTATTTAAGAAAACTAGCAAATGCGTGAACATATTTGATCAAAATATGGTGTTTACTTGCAGAGTTTTCTAAAAATGTCTTCCATCTCATCTGGATCAATTTCTCCACTTCCATCCTTGTCATACAACTTGAAGGTCCAGTGTAACTTCTCCTCGACTTAAAAAGAACTTCTCTTAAAAAAAATGAAATTAACCAAATCATTATTTTTTTTTACATTTTTCAATCTTTCATAGATTACTTGTTTTTATTTCACATCTTGACATGATTGAAGTGTTTTCAAAAAACGAATCGAAAACGTGATCGAGTTATTAATCGATCCATCAATCCAGATAACTATGAACATTTTTTCAAGACCGGGTAGACTTTGAAGTGACACAAAGTCTTAACCTTTCTAACTGAATTACACTTTTTATAGCCTTCATATATGTAGATTAAACATCTTAAACCTAGCTTCAATTTCAAAGAATAATTGGCAAACTGATAGATTTTTGTGTTTAAGCATTAACATTTTGGTTCATATTTCGTCCATATTTTCATTAATGTATATCTGATGTATCTCTAAAATTGTATCTTGTATTTTTCTCTCCTCATATAGTTATGTTGACTTTAAAAGTCAGTATGATAAAATAAAAGAGATCTAAATGGATATTTCTAAAATTTATTTAATAAAAACGAAAAGTTTTGAAATAGTTTCCCAAGTGGGGTTAAAATTGGTTGGTTTAGAAATTAACAAAGGAATAAATGATGAATATTTGGGGGGGACTTCATGGGAGTGATGTAGAGCTTCATGTTGGTGGAGTAGATCTACAGGAACTGAAACACCAGGGCTTATCCAACCTAGTAGGCAGAGATCACGCTTTTATCATGGTCCTATTGAGCGATTATGTTGTCTCTGGAAAGCATGATCGCCTGGGAACTCTTCGGGTAAGCACGTCTGCTGCTAGCTGAGTATCTGCGCCATCATCATAAAGGAGTCAAGAGGCTCCCTGTGTCGGAGCTGTTACCAGCTCAACTCTCTAATCTTAACTGACTGCTGGGGTGAGGCGGGAGCTGGGATGAGCGGGGTTTGACATGTGGGCACTACATGAAGGAGATGGATAAACACGTCTTGTGAAAAGGCTACGGCATTTGAGTCGGTAAAATCGTCTTCCTTATATTTCGAATTTATGTTAACAAACTGATAAATCCATAGAGAATAGAATATATAGAGAGGAATTTACTGGAAAAAAGTGTAAAACGGCCATTTTGTTGTACTGTTTCCATACTGCAGGTGTACTTCAAATATTTATGCTATATAACCTGGTGGGCCCTGGAATATCATTATATAGAAAATCTAAAATTATTGTTAAAAGAAAACCAAATTATGAAATAGGCTGGTTTCATAATTGACCAATGATAATTTCACATAGACTCTATGCCTCTATAACTATAAATCAAATGATGTTTTTATTCACCTAATTCATTACAAAGTTTATTTAACAGTTTAAAAAATTCGAAATTGAAATGGATAGTCTAGGGAACATACTGTATTAATGTACTCTACTGCATATAATTTGTGAACATTTACATGATTTGTACACTTTGAACTCCCTTTCAGGCTGAAAGGGACTGAAAAAATTCATACCGAGAGATTCTTTTAATTCCTCTCTAATATTTATTCTATTCTCTATGGATAAATCTTCTCATATTCTAATTTACAATGCTCATTTCCTTTTAACCTGATCTCATAAACCTTTGATATTTGATACATTAAACTTTAAGATTAAATAGGTATAGGAGTATTCAAAGATATAGGGATCAAAAAACTATTATAGTTTGAGGCTACTCTTTATATATGATGAATACAATTCCCCTGCACAAACTGTCTATCATCATTCATATAATCTACCCTTTCTCCGGATGAATATTAATGCAAAGTTACCTGTTCCCTGCATCGCCATGGAAAATGCCATAAGAAGTTCATTCGGAACAACTTTGCCATTGTTATCATGATCAAACACCTAGAATAATATTCATCAAATTCTAGAACCAATTTTATAACTAAAATAACTAAATTAAATGAAATTATAGTAATAAGACATTATGAAATTGTAGATTGACAGTTTATACAGGGTTAAATTTAGACTATGTATTAATAATAATCTTTTTTGGGCTTAATTTATGTTTTGGAAAAGAGAGAAAAAAGTTTGCAGGGAATCATGACTAGAAGGAAAAGAAACAGTATATATTCTGGGTGACCATGTATTGTGTATATAGGACATTAGTTAAGCAGAATATTTCTCTTACTATTACATAACGTTAAAGGCAAGCTTTTCGTACATTTGCGCATGCATGCTTTTTATATTTAATATTTACCTTGAATAAATTGTCGATAACAATCTCTGAGTTACACCTATATATGAATCGAATATTGAAAATTTATAACTAAAATAACTAAATTAAATGAAATTATAGTGATAAGACATTATGAAATTGTAGATTGACAGTTTATACAGGGTTAAATTTAGACTATGTATTAATAATAATCTTTTTTGGGCTTATTCAATTTTCTTAAATTGTCATTCATTTTTCTTTTTAAAAGGCAAAGACGATATTTTCCCATCCAAGTTCTATTCTTATGTTAAAAAATTCAAATTTAATGTTTTCCAATCTACTCTGCAAATGCATAACTACAGTCGTGATTTCATGAATTCAAAATAATTTCAAAGTTTAAGTTAAATAAAAACAATTTGTCATTACTTAAATACATTATAGGGTTGTAAGGATTGTTCATTATACAGCGTTGGGCAGAATTTGTTACAAAATTTGAGTTGTAACGTACAAATTGAAGAAGAAAAATATTGTGTAGAATATAAACCTACCTAGGAAAAATATTGTGTAGAATATAAAATAAACCTACCTAGGAAAAATATTGTGTAGAATATAAAATAAACCTACCTAGGTAAAATATTGTGTAGAATATAAAATAAACCTACCTAGGTAAAAATTGTGTAGAATATAAAATAAACCTACCTAGGAAAAATAATGTGTATAATATAATATAAACCTACCTAGGAAAAATAATGTGTATAAAATAAACCTACCTAGGAAAAATATCCTTAACAAGCTGGTTCATCTGAGATCTATTAATTTCTCCTTCGGGAAAATCCTTTTTAAAACTGTTCCATAAAGACATTATTTCAAGCCCAGTAAACTTTTCTCCCTGAATAGAATAAGTATTTAATGCGCTATCATGCCACATGACATAAAGGGCAGTAAAAGATTTAAAAAGGCAACACCAACGATATGGAAACAAAATTGCTATTGTGTTTATTCATATCTATGCAAGGTATCTCACATAAAATATCAATGAAATATTCTGGTCATAGGAAACTATTATGTGAATTATCAAACTTATCCAAATTAAATGCTCGATACTAAACGAACACTGATGCATCTATTCTTGTTTACAAATTTCGCCAAGAGAGAACGGGTTTCAATATGTACGCAGAGTATGCGCGACCGCAATTAACTTTCCTTGCATTAGTACCTTGAGTAGAAGTAAATATTTCCATTTATTGATTGCGCCGATTAAAGGATTCATATCTCTGAATAATGAGATAGATAGAAAAATAGATGTTACCGCTATGCAATTTCTATTTGTTCAGAATAGGCACCAAACACATGACTGAACCCTGATTGGATCAGGCGCTAATGGGCTAGGCATACAAGAGTGCAAGCTAGGTAATAGAGTCAAATTTGGTCAAATGACCCTGCTACCTTGAAATTTTCTACCTTGTAAGAAAAATTCCTTTAGTATATCGTAGATATCATGTGCTTATTGTAAACATACGCTGAACTTCCAAAATAATCCACTTAAATAAAAAAACTTCGAGGAGTTCGGTTTTGTGCCGTGAAAATTAACTATGTAGCTTTTTTCCCTCAAAGTAATTCTCGTACGGGCAACTTGCCGACTGAATATATTTTTCCTACTTAATGGTGCCAACCTTTGATATTTAGAATTTGGCTTATTTCATCTACAAGACTTTGGATTGCAAAGATTTAGGGATTAGATTATCAGAGTTTGTGTCAAAGACTCAACTCCTTTACATTTCCCCAACTATTTCTCCATGGTATTTGCTCAACTTTTTGCCAAGAATTCAAATTTTCTCATCCCTGTAATTTGCAACATGGAGGTGTAGACCATTGAAATTCTTAGACTATTTGATCTAGCAGAATGTATAGTTTAAAATGGTAAATGTAATAATAAAGGGATTAGAAAATCAAAGTTTTTGGCAAAAACTGAATTCCTTTGGTTTGGGCTATATTGAAGGAAAGTCCGGGTTAAGACATATTTAAATCAGTTCTCTGCGCTAGGATATATATATATATATGGTGGGGATTTAAAAGCTGCAGCTAGGGCATATGGGATTTTTTAAACAGCATGCTGCCATACTAGACAGGACGCTTGCATGCTAAAATGTATACTTGCTGTATACCTGTGTTGCATACTAGTACTGAGCCGGAAATTTAAGTGAGTATCGTTGAACGAGACTCCCGAGTTTCCTTTTTCTGGTTTTAGCATTTGTGCAGATTTTATTTAAAGATTAGAAAACAAAAAGTAATGAAATCAAATAATATTTCTTAACAAAAATATTTGTATCTACAAAACTGGCTGACCCCATATATGAAACTGGGTTTCCGATACTGGGTTTCATTACGATACTTTGTCTTAAGTTTCGGGCTCTGGTTCATAAAATGTAAGCTGCCTATCTAATCCAAGAAAGATACACCAGAAACTCCATATCTTTAAAAAGTGTGCTATAGAATATGGATGGAATGTAAAACAAATACAATACACTTTTTTGCAAACAAATTGCAGCACATTTGTAAACAAAATTATGATAATTTTCAAAATGTGTCCTCTCTGATGTTATAAACCTTTTCTTGTTTAGGAGCTGGTTCTTCTAGAGCTGCTACTGCTGCACCTGCTGCTGGCCTTATCTTCTTCTCAGGTTCACCCCCTGACCCCATCGCAATCTGGGAGATAAAATCCCTGAAATATTAAATTTATTTATTCTCCTTATTTTGGTTATTATCGTAGTTAAATAGTCAAATGTGGTCTCGATCCTGAATTATCAGTTCAAACATTTTTCGTATTTTATTAAAATTTATGGATAATAATTGGCAGCAAAATCAACACCACTCTCATAGTTTGTTCATAGTACTAATGTCAGCTCTCAGAAAATGCAACATATGCTGTCTTTAATACTATTGTCAATTATTCAATAATAGGACTGTCCGCTATACTATAATATTGCTGTCAGCTATACTATAATACTACTGTCAAACTATACAAGTATATTGCTGGGCACTATTCTATAATATTGCTGGACATTATGCAATAATATTGCTGTCAGCTATACTATAATACTGCTATAAACTGTACTATAATACTGTTGCCAACTATACAAAAATATTGCTGGCAACTATACTATAATACTAGTACTACTGTAAACTATACTATAATATTGGGGTCAACTATACAATGATATTGTTGTCAACTATACTATAATACTGTTGCCAACTATACAAAAATATTGCCGGCAACTAAACTATAATTTTGCTGTCAACTATACCATAATACTGCTGTCAACTATACAATAATATTGCTGGCAATTATACTATAATATTGCTATCCACTATACTATAATATTGCTGTCAACTATACTATAATAATGCTATCCACTATACTATAATTTTTGCTAGCAACTATACTTTAATACTGCTGTCAGCTTTACTATAATATTGTTGGCAACTATTCTATAATTTGTTGGTATACTATAAGTTTTGCTATCAACTATATTATAATATTGCTATCAACTATACTAAAATACTGCTGATAACTATACTGCAACACTGCTGACAACTATGCTATAATACTCTTGACAACTATACTATAAAACTGCTGTCAACTATACTTTGATACTGCTGACAACTATAATATAATATTACTGTCAAATATACTATAAAACTGCTGTCAATTATACTTTTGATACTGCTGACAACTAGCCTATAATACTGCTGACAACTATACAATAATACTGCTGACAACTATACTATAATACTGCTGTCAACTATAGTATAATACTGCTGACAACTATACTATAATACTGCTGTCAACTATAGTATAATACTGCTGTCAACTATAGTATAATACTGCTAGCATGTCTGTTGTTTGAAAGCAGTCAACATAAAATAAAGATTTAATGGATTAGATTCGACAAATACTTTTAAGTCTACAATAAAGTTTATTAAAGCAGTTGTGCTAGTTGTAAATATCAAGGGAAATATAATAAACTTTAATTTTCTCATTTAATAATCCAGACAAAGGAAAATAGATTCTACCAAATTATATTTAAATGAATAGATTCTACAAAAATAGATGTAGATGAATAGATTAAACAAAATAAAGGTAAATGCATATTTCATACAAAAATATATGTTTTTTTTAATAGATTTTACAAAAGATCATTTATTTAAACAAATAAATTTTACAAAAAATGTAAATTTTACAAAAATAGATAAATAGATCACATCTAACTAAGCTTGTGGGTACGTCAGATAGACCTTTGATAGGCCGGATACCGTATGAAATAAGTAGATTATACGAAAATAGAATAAAAAATAGATTATGCAAAAAAATTAAATACACAGAAAAAGTGCAAAAAAATTAAATACACAAAAGATAAAATTGAATACTGAATAGATAATACGAAACTAAGAAAATAGATTTAAATGAATAGATTTCACGAAGATAAATTCAAATGAATAGACTGTACTAAAAAATGTAAAGAACGAGGTACTTTACGGATTTAAGATTATTTAAAAGGTAATTAAAATCCTTTGAAAAAAAATATATTGAGTAAATTAAACAAAAGTAGATTAAAATTATTAGATTACACAAATATATAGATGTGAATCAATAAACAAGTCAGAAACGCTGAAATCAGATTTGGATTGGGGGGGGGGGGGGGTGCAATTTGTCAAATATTTGTTTTTTGAAGGAAGTATTTATAGATGATCGAAATCTTTTAGTAAAAAAGTTAAACCTGAGTTCTGTTGGTATATCATCTTCTCGCTTTGACTCCGGTTGTTTTTTCTTCCTTCTAATAGAATATAAGACTTATTACTTGATTTACTGCATACTGTATTTTCTTTGTCTGCAGTAACAAAAAGTAAAAACAAAGACTAAACAAATGTTATACATTTCTCTCAGAAGTCTCATGTTTTGGGTAGCACTGTATCGCCTCTAGGGTTTCCATTAGCAAAACTTTTGAGAGATTTTTGCGAAAGAAAGCGAAAATTTTTGTTTTCGTTGCGTTATATTTTTGCGCGAAAAAATAGCACTTTGCGCAAATATTCGCAAACTTCATTTCGCGCAAAATTGCTATATTCCGCTTTTGCGTTGTTCTGTTTTGCGCAATTTTGCGAAACACATCAAAAGGGTGATTTTAAGGGTGTAAATTGTATTAATCTAATCTAATCTGTACATCCAAGAAAAATAAATACAAGAGCAAAATTTGGCTTGGTTTGTAGGTTATTTAGCTCTATGTGCATAAAGAAATATATGCAAAAAAGGCCATTTAAGTTTCTCCCATGGTCAGATTTAGAGATAGAGTTTTCCAAACATCTATAAATTATCTTACAATCATGATAAACAGATTCGGTATAATTCGTTTAGTAAATTCTCCTGTTTGGTTTTTACTATTTTCCACAAAATCGACCCATAATTGTTAAGAATATGGCCTTTTCAGGCTAAAAATAGAAAAAATAATTTTTATCTTTGCCTCTCATTCAAAAACCCATAAAGATATATGCTGATCAAAATGTTGATTTTTTTTATCATGGCTTTAAGATAATTTACAAACGTTTTAAAATTTCTAGCACTAAAGCTGACCGTGGGAGAAGCTGAAATGTGCTTTTTGAACATATTTCTATTTGATAAATCTAAAAGACCTAATATTTGAGTAGTGCGTGAAAATGAAAATATATATATATACCTTTTGCGTAAAACTTTCGATTTTAATAATAACTAGCAAAATTTATTGCGTTTTATGCGAAAAGATGAGCAAAAGCTCGAAAAAAAATTGCGCGAAAATTACGCAGCTTTTGCGTAAAAAATATGGTCATTTCGTGGAAACCCTAATTCTTCCACCCTATATTAGATTCAAGGAATGCGCTTTGAATTATGATTGGCTCTTATTAGACAACTTCTGCCAATGTTTCTAAAGAAATAAAAACATTTGAAAATATCCCATTTTAAATAACAAGTTGACAAAACTTTTGCTGGTTCCGTTATGAATGGAAAGTTTAAAGTCATGCGGCAAGAAAATATTAATTGCTATATATCCTTTAATAAAAACTGTTTTATAAGAACTATCTAAATGCTCTAAAAAATATAAAAAATTACTTTTGGTTGCTTTTTAGTTGTGAAATTACTCTCATCTGGCTCATTTTATATTGACCAATTGTTAGAACTCTAAAAATATTAAGATAAATAATTGCAAGCTTCTAAAATATGTTTATTCATCATTCCATCTTGGATTAAATTGTTTGCTGGTTAAACAAAAAATCAGTAAAAATCCGTATATCTTTGCAATCCAAGGTCTTAAAGTTTAGTAGATACTTCAAACTATAAATTTTGTTAGATAAAAAATACGTTTCAAAAAGATATTCAAAATTCAAGAAAATTCAAGATTGCGGTAAAGACTCAATTTCGATATTAACAGAATACTAATTTAGTCTATTACAGAATTGCTTGTTTCCTAATTCCAATACAAGTTAATAAACAATGAAAAATTAGACTTTTTTCTTTTACCAAGAAAAAAATCATGAAAATCTAGAGCAAAATTTTAATTATAATTCTAGTTACTGTTTAGAAGAATAATGCAGACTGCAAACTAGTACTAAACTGGCACGATACTAAAGCAAAATAAATATTCAAAAATAATACTTTTACCAACCCTTTCCTCAAACTTTTCGCAAACCAGTAAAAACACAAGGAGTTTCAAAGCAAGATAATAATATTAATAATATAAGAAATATTTATAATAACATCTGTAAATATGAACATTAATCCAATTTATGATTAATATTAATTCATTTAAAATTAAGGTTTTTTTAAAAGTTGCACTAAACAGTTTAATTAAGTCAAAAAGATGTTTAAGGAATTTATTTTTTCATGCATCTCATAAATGATAAACCACTCGAAATATGAGAAAAAGTTAAAATTTATGAGATATTAGTGGTACAACTTGGCAACCTCGTAGCACCTTGGATTTTGCGCTCAAGTATGAGAAATGTAAATGAACTGCACACTACAAACTTATATTTTTAATTGACAATGAGGCGGTGTAAAATTTTAATTCAACGAGAACCTTCCCCCCTTGATCAGTGAAATCTATGGATTTCAGCGGGGTTTTAGGCCCAAAAGGTTGCTGANCCCCCCCCCCATTGGAGAAATTCCTGACTACGCGCGCCTGTACAATGATAATCAAATAATCAAAATCATCTCTAAACAAACACATGGTTCTGACAGTAAAATTAACAAATTAAAATATTTTTGAATTCTGATCTTTTTTAAAAAAAAGGTTGATTCTGTGTCAAAGAGGGACGGAATTAAATCAATTGGAGAGAGATCACTGAAATACCTTGCACACCCCGGACTAACCAGAGTTAGAGGCATTCGGTTTCTTCTTTTTGAAATAATACGCGTTTTGGTTTATATTTTAACAATCTTTGAAGTTACGGATTTCTTTGTTTAATACTTTTTATTGAAAACTTATATGCCAACAAAAAAGTATTTTTGAAAGAAGGCTGAAAAATTATGTTTAATAGGAGAAATTGGGATCGAAAGTCATAGCTTACTGGAATATTGACAGAATCATTAAATCCACGTGTGCAGCACCGGTTTAAATCCTGATTTACCAATTCAAAGTAAAAACTCATTCATACAATATAACGATGGATTTTCTACAATAGGTAAAAGTAATTTTCATAATAAAGGTTTATTGTAATTGGAAAATTTACATGAAAAACTGGGAAAAAATATCGATGTCGTCAGTTTCTCTTTCCACCTTTTTCTTTTGAAACCTACCCCAGCTTGTCAAACCTTAACAAAATGAAGATACTAAACTTTAAAGTTTATTCGTTTAACAATAGTAATACTACTAGTATTAAAAAAGAGATTTTTTTAACAATACAAATACTCAGAATATTAAAAAAAGGAATTTTTTTCACCATAGTAATACTCAGAATATTATAAAAAGAAATTTTTTTGTTAAACAATAGTAATACTCAGTGTTATATAAAGTGAATTTTTTATTTTTAAATAATTATCCTGATTTATAATCAGGCTGACAACAGATTTATAATCAGGCTGACAACAGATTTATAATCAGGCTGACATCAGATTTATAATCTGGCTGTCATCAGATTTATAATCAGGCTGACAACAGATTTATAATCAGACTGCCATCAGATTTATAATCAGGCTGCCATCAGATTTATAATCAGGCTGACAAAAAATTTAAAATTAGACTGCCATCAGATTTATAATCAGACTGACAACAGATTTATAATCAGGCTGACAACAGATTTATAATCAGACTGCCATCAGATTTATAGTCAGGCTGACAACAGATTTATAATCATGCTGTCATCAGATTTATAATCAGGCTGACAACAGATTTATAATCAGACTGCCATCAGATTTATAATCAGACTGACATCAGATTTATAATCAGGCTGACATCAGATTTATAATCAGGCTGACAACAGATTTGTAATCAGGCTGACAACAGATTTATAATCAGACTGACAACAGTTTTATAATCAGGCTGACAACAGATTTATAATCAGGCTGTTAACAGATTTATAATCAGACTGACATCAGATTTATAATCAGACTGACAACAGATTTATAATCAGTCTGACAACATATTTATGATCAGACTGCCATCAGATTTGTAATCAGGCTGACAACAGATTTATAATCAGACTGCCATCAGATTTGTAATTCTAACCGTTTTTAAATAAATATTAAAAGTTACCTTGGTTTTGTTTGTTCTCTGAACCAACTCTAAATATCCTTGAAGAACCCTGGTAAGGAGTTATACCTCTAAGAATATGCTTGTAATGACCAAGATGAACTATTCTATAATTACCAGGAACGGCATCCAAGGGAATATCCCAGGTAATTGTCACCTTTAATAAATACATTTTACATTCTTCATTCATTATCTGGATTTCAGAGAGCTTAACGGGACTGTAAACGTAATTTCAAGCGACACTCCAATAATAGAGGGTCATTGCTGATTCGGTGCCCTTTGAACATTAATCTGATCTGTAACTAGGAAAATATGCTCTTTTTTCTTGATTGAAAAGTGTTTAATTTTGAGAATTTACTTCATTGTTTCTAAAGCAGAAGTGCGTGCGCAAGTCACTTTATTAAGAAATCACAATGGAAAATATTCAATTTTCAGAGAGAGGGTGATGAATATCTCATGCTTTGTTGATCAGAAAAGTTGTTATCAATAGTACCGCTATAAGACAGAAACGCCATTAAAATGAAGAATCTTTTGAAATGAAGTTTACAGTCCCTTTAATAAATATTATTTTTCGACTAGTGTCTCAAACTTACAGTCCCTTTAATAAATATTATTTTTCGACCAGTGCCTCAAGCTTACAGTCCCTTTAATGAATATTATTTTTCGACCAGTGTCTCAAGTTTACAGTTCCTTTAATAAATATTATTTTCGACCAGTGTCTCAAGTTTACAGTCCCTTTAATAAATATTATTTTCGACCAGTGTCTCAAGCTTACAGTCCCTTTAATAAATATTATTTTCGACCAGTGTCTCAAGCTTACAGTTCCTTTAATAAATATTATTTTCGACTAGTGTCTCAAGTTTACAGTTCCTTTAATAAATATTTTCGACCAGTGTCTCAAGTTTACAGTTCCTTTAATAAATATTATTTTCGACCATTGTCTCAAGTTTACAGTCCCTTTAATAAATATTATTTTCGACCAGTGTCTCAAGTTTACAGTCCCTTTAATAAGTATTATTTTCGACCAGTGTCTCAAGTTTACAGTTCCTTTAATAAATATTATTTTTCGACCAGCAGATCATTGAATATTTTTAAGTTACCTCACTCGATCCCAAAATAGAGTTTGTTCTGAGCCATTGTAGTTTAGTTTCCCAATCTGAATCCACAGCTACAATCCTATATTCCCCCTGCCCCTCCTCCAACTCTACCCGGAGAAAGGTTTTCTCCAGCATCAGATTGTTCCTAAGATGTCCGGAGATAAAGGTTGCTGTAACCCTGTCTCCTGGTCTAGCATCTCCAGGTTCAACAACACAATCTCCGAAATCTGAACCTGCCGGAGGTTGATCATAAACTACTCCAGGTACAAAGGATATCTGTGCTCCCAATAGATCATCAGGTGGTGTTCCAGCAGGAAGTTCCTCTCCAACCTTTAAGGCTACTGCTAGTTTAGAGAACTGTTGCTGATACGCCAGCAGTGTGTTAGGTCCGTATATAGTAGAAGCTGCTTCATATCTCTGCTTTTGATATTCCTCGAAGGTTGTAATATAATGAGTGTATGTATTAGAAAGTCCAGCTATGACTGGAACTATATCATCTCCAAGGGGTTTAAGGGAATCTGCCACAGTTTCTCTAACCCGTCTACCAGCCATAGTTGTTAGCTCACCAGGAACAGCCAAAAGATGAACCTAAAAAAAGAGAATTTTTAATTTAATTCTAGCTATTCACTCTGAAATATAAATATTGTGTATTTACCATACTTGCTAATAATGCAATCTTTACACTGATTATTTGATAAATTTTGATAATAATTCATTTGCAAAACACTTGTACAAACAGTTTTTTCTATGCAAGCAAAGATAAAAGGAGATTTACGGAGTACTTAGTATAAAGACCATTTTCCGTCAGGCCTTTACGGAACCGAAATTATACGGAAAAAAAGGAAACCCTAGCTTAGAGGGTGGAAGGAGGGGTGTGGGAGTGGTGGCGGGTGGAATAGGGGTGTTACTAATTTTACCTTTCCAATCTTGAGTATCTGGGTATCCACTACAGTAGGATGCCATGCAGAGGGTAGAGTAAACTCTCCAGTATCCAGTAGAATAGGTTTAGGTGCATGACAAGCTTCCTGCTCAGGGGATGGATCCTAAACATTGGTTTTAATAATCAAGATGGATCTTTTAATGATAAAAATTAAATGGAATTGTAAAGATCAAATATTAGGTAACCTTTAGTAGTCCTGAGATAAAATCCCAGAACGGATTGCCAGTAATGACGCCTTGTGTGAAATCAAATTCTCCAGGTCCATCTGTAGTACCAGCAGCAAAACTATACCCCAGAGCAGGTTTACAGGTTGTGTTTACAGATCCGTCCTCTAGGGTAACCTCATATTTACTCATATCTATCCATTGATGAATATAATCCACAGATCCCATCAGTTCCTCAAATCCTAGGGTTAAAAGAAAATAACGCAAGGTAATGAAATAATGTCAATATGTCTAACTAAGTTTATTATCAATTAATCAATTAATTAATCAATCGACTAATTTCTTCCCACAAACTTGGATTTTTATTCCTATATTTTGAAAACCCAATGCTTGATATTATAAATTCGGTTAAAACAAAGACTAAGTTTAAATTTAAAGATTTACAGAATTAGGTTGCACAGATACACGAAGTAGAAATGGAACTGAGTTTTTGCCACAAACTCAAATTTTCTAACACCTTTATCTCTGCGACCGGAAGGTGTAACCCTTTGATTTTTCAAACTTTTATTATTTGATTTAACATAATTCATAGTTTGAAATATCTAAGGTCTATCACATTGTATTTAAAAGATATAGAGATTAGAAAATCAGAGTTTCTGGCAAAGACTCAAATCCTTTTAAAGAACTTGAAAAAACTCAGATACTTTAGAAACAATTATAAACCTAAATAAAATTAAATATTAGTCCATATGCTACAACCTTGTACGTCTTTCATGGAAAAAAATATTGTGTAGATAGTACGTTTCATCAGTTTAGATCAACATATAGAATAATATGAAACAAACGGAATTGAGTCTTATTTAATTATTACTCAATGACGTAGAACTTAGATATTTCAAACTATAAATCACCTAAGTTTAAAATATAAAAAGTTTACACCATCAGATTGCAAAGAAAAGTGATAAGAAAATCAGAGTTTGTGACAAAGGCTTAATTTCTTTAACGCCGTTAAAACATTCAAACCAAGAGTGAAAATATAAAAGTAAAAATTTCTAAGCGATACCTTCAGTGTTTAAGAAGAGTTGTTTGGATACTTGATATTGTCTGTCTGCAATAATCTGGGTTGATTCAAACATATCTTTTCCTGGACCTGATGCAATACACTTCTGTACTCTTCCATCACATGTAGAGTGCTCTAGATCACATTCTACTCCTGTATCTATACATCTGGGACCCTGATAAATACACCAGAATCATCAAATACAGGTAATTTTCATATTTTAATGGAGTTTCAACGTAATTTCAAGTGACCCTCAAATTAAAGAGATACATGCCTGATTAATAATACCTCTGTCTGAGTAGCAATATTAAAGCTATCGTTGTTTTTATTTAAAAAATTGTAAATTTAAACCTCTGTCTGAGTAAAAATATTAAAGCTATCGTTGTTTTTATTTAAAAAATTGTAAATTTAAACCTCTGTCTGAGTAAAAATATTAAAGCTATCGTTGTTATTATTTAAAAAATTGTAAATTTAAACCTCTGTCTGAGTAGCAATATTAAAGATATCGTTGTTTTTATTTAAAAAAAGAAGCTGATTATTTGCCCAAAAACTCTTGATTTTCTAATCTCTATATCTTTGCAACCCAATATCATAGATCTAAGAAATTTCCAACTTGTAATTCTGTCAGATAAAAAATTCAACCTTGAAATATCATAATATTTCACAATGCAGGTGCAAAGACACACGGATTGGAAAATTTGAGTTTGTGACAAAGACTAATTTTTTTTTTGGTAAATTTCCTATTTTTTTCTGTTGCCTATAAATCCGCAAGTCACTTTTAGAGAGGAATTACAATTGAACGTTAACAATTTTAGATAAAAAAAACAACTCTGTGTCATTTCTGTTCAGGCTAAGGGATAAAGGGTACCGTTGTGAATCAGGTATTTCCCTCTTCAAATACAAAGTCACTTTTCATAACAGTCCCTTTATTTACCATAATATTTGGAGAAATATCTCCAAGATTGGTTGATGCAAAGGCAGCAACGAACGGCCCCTGACCGGTCACATAATTAGGATTCATCTCCTTCTCAAACATCTGGCTGGCGGCACCCTTGTTGTCCCCGGAGATGAGAAGGTTGGTGTTGTTCATCGAGGTTGGATGAACCGCGAACCAGTTGAGTACTCCTAGAGCCTGACCAGCATCATTAAAGAAGTTTAGTTGAACCATCTCTTTATCCGTATTCCCGGAGTATTTAGCTCTCTCCTCAGCAGGGTTGGCATCATAGGAGGTGGGGCTCCTGTTGATATTCGCCTCCTCTACTATACCAGAGCTAAACGCAAAATATTTATAATATTAATAATTAAAAATTTGTAAAGTTGCTGAGTTTTTGCCACAAACTGTGATTTTCCAATCCCCATATCCATACAACCTGATGGTGTAAACCTTAGAAATTTCAAACATATATTATTTGATCTAAAGGAATTCATCGTTTGAAATATCAAAGGTTTGCTACATTGGGTGGCAAAGATAGATAAATTAGAACATATGAGTTTTTGGAAAAAACACTCGGTTCGTTTTAAATAAATATTTGCACTGCAAGATTCAAAAATTTCTTCGTGCTACAGTTTTCATAATTTTGTAGCTTGATAAAAATCAACGATGAAATTGTTGTTTCTCTTCTAAAAAATGTCTTTCTGAAATTTTCCAACGTTTCGGAGTGAGAAATCTTAAAGTTTTTACTGAGCCCCTCAAAATGTCAAGAGAGAACAAAAAGGTTAACAAAGGTTGGAGATGAGCAATTGATACCTTAATAATATGATTGGTTTTACATCAGGGACTTAAAGTATTTTTTTTCATTTCCCTGAAACCATAGTTTTCCATGTTCTTATATTTCTAATATTTGATATAGACCACCCTCCACGGACCCTTAAAATGCAGTAAAAAAACAAAATGCTATTTTAATGTTCAAGACGTTTGTATTACAGAAACATCGAACAGAAATAAAACTCAAACCAAACAAATTCATAATCCCATCCCATAAAAGACAGTTTACTTATCCTATTTTCAAATTTTATGAAAACTTTCTTGGTACATCAACCTATTAGATTAAACATTTTATTTTGAAGTTGATTTATTTTAGTTAGGTAGCTAATTATTAAATATTTTCCCAGCTAAACAAAAAACTGCAGTATTTTGTAGCAGCAATAATTTGCTTTTATCTTTTTAACATTTCACTTTTAACTATTAATTTTGCAGATAAAAACTGATTAAAGTAACTCCTGTTGGAAAAAGGGGTTTTATTTTCCTGGATAATAATTTTTGTGAATATGAATTCGTATTATTGCGTATGTCTTATACAAATAAGAAATGTTGACACATTAAGACACCTCCATTAAGGGTAAAAAACATGAGCATAAGCACTTTGCAGTGCAAAGAAGTGTATAATACACATTATACATTGATACATCTGTGCTCTCCTAATCTGAGATATATAGATCCTGGTACGAAGGATACATGTGCTCTCCTAACCTGAGATAGATAGCTCCCGGTACTAAGGATACATGTGCTCTCCTAACCTGAGATACATAGTTCCCGGCACTACGGATACATGTGCTCTCTTAACCTGAGATATATAGATCCCGGCATTACGGATACATGTGCTCTCTAACCTGAGATAGATAGATCCCGTCACTACGGATACATGTGCTCTCCTAACCTGAGATATATAGTTCCCGGTACTAAGGATACATGTGCTCTCTAACCTGAGATAGATAGCTCCTGGTACTAAGGATACATGTGCTCTCCTAACCTGAGATAGATAGCTCCTGGTACTAAGGATACATGTGCTCTCTAACCTGAGATAGATAGATCCCGGCACTACGGATATATGTGCTTTCCTAACCTTAGATAGATAGATCCCGGCACTACGTAGCATGGTACTACGGATACATGTGCTCTGTAACCTGAGATAGATAGATCCCGACACTACGTATACATCTGCTCTCTAACCTGAGATTGATAGATCCTGGTACTACGGATACATGTGCTTTCCTAACCTTAGATATATAGATCCCGGCACTACGTAGCATGGTACTACGTATACATGTGCTCTCTAACCTGAGATTGATAGATCCTGGTACTAAGGATACATGTGCTTTCCTAACCTGAGATAGATAGATCCCGGCACTACGTAGCATGGTACTATGGATACATGTGCTCTCCTAACCTGAGATAGATAGATCCCGACACTACGTAGCATGGTACTACGGATACATATGTGCTCTGTAACCTGAGAAAGATAGATCCCGGCACTGCGGATACATGTGCTCTCTAACCTGAGATAGATAGATCCCGGCACTACGGATACATGTGCTCTCCTAATTGCCTCAGTAATACCATCAACCAGAGCATCCATTGACTCCTGCAGGAAACCAAGGTTGGGTACGTTAAACAACACGTACTGCATGAACCCTGGAAAAAAAAAGTTTTATCAGAATACATGTAATTCCAGTACTCAAGCAGTGCTGAATAAAATGTGATATCTCGGGAAAAATGCAAGAAATTGAATTGCAAGAAATCATTGATTTTGAAAGAAAGCATTTTGTTTAATATTTATATTTATATCATAGTCCTATTTATATTGACTACCCTTATATACCTGCTGGTCCTGAATGAGTATGGGTTGTAGAAAGAACAATATTTTTCTCTGTATAAACTCCAGGAAACATGGTTTCAAGTTTCTTAATTGTATATTTCTTCACCATCTGTCCCATCATTCCTAGGTACATCATAGAAATTATTTCTGCAGCCAGCTTTTCTTCTGTCCTCACATTATTAAACTGTTTTTGAAAATAGTTATGCTCACCAACAAATGTGTTTAAGAATAAAAAGGAATAGAAAGGCACGACTGTTAGACCCGATTTTTAGTCCAAGGAACAAAAAACACAGATCCATTTGAAATTTAACTTGATTTTTAAGCTACGGGTAAAACTATTTGCTTGATTACAACAGTTATATGGGTCTCTGTCTTAGTAAGATTTTTACAACTTATTTCTATCTTGAAGAAAAGCCGGAAATCAACCGAATTGAATAAGTAAATCATCCGAGTTATCATATGTTTAAAACCTTTAAATTAATCTCAAGTTTATCACCTGATATTTAAATAAATATTATAGAGAATGTTTACAATGACGCAAATTATTCTTTATATTGACAATAGATGACCTGCATCAACTGATACGAACACAACTCTCACACCTGTCTCTGGATCCTTTATTAAATAATAATCAAACAGTAGACATTTTTTTAATCCATTAAATGCAACAGTAATATCATTTTGCTAATAATAATACTAATAATAATAATAATTATAATAATTGCCTAATTACCTCTATAATGAATGCTCTAGCATAAAGCCTAATATGAATGCCATGAGTACTTTGTCCTTGTTTAGCATATCCCATCATACCGATCTAAACAGTACAGTATTAACGTTCATACAATTGTACACTGTACACTGTACAGGTTCAAGCGGGATTTTTCAGTTTACGCTGTGCAGTACATATAAAAGGTACACTGTAAAAGTATGTACAGCGTATACACAGGAAGCAAAATTAAAAGTGTTCTTAATTTACCCCAAACATTTTTGGCTTGAAAAACATCCTTAGAGTAGTTTGAGACACTGAACGGGTGAAAATGGTAAAAGCAAATTATCATGATTTAATGACATTCTGAAATTTTATTATACATATTTTAAAAAGAATTGTTGCCATAAACTTAATCTTTAAAACTTGAATGGGTAAACTTATGATATATGTCAAACTTAAATTATTTTATCCAACAAATATCATAGTTTTAAACATCTCAGGCCTCCGATATTGGGTTGCCAAGATATAGGGATTAGAAAATTAGAGTTTGTGGCAAATGCTCAATTCCTTTGTTCAAAGGAATTGAGTTTTTGACACAAACTCAAATTTTCTAATCTCTAAATATCCTGATGGGTTGGAACAAATGGAATTAAAAAATCAAAGTTTGTGACGAAGACTTAATTTTTCTTTATTTCAGACATGCATGTTAGGGTCTATTAAAATTCTTGTCAAGATGTGACATAAAAGTTTTATGGACGTCAAAAAGCCACAATTTTAAACGGCAAAAAAATAAGAAGAATATTTGTAACCTCAGCAGCTGGACCAGTACAATCTGCTCTACCAGTTCCAACATTATATCTTCCTCCAGCAACCAGTCCTACGGACACAACCACAAACAGACTAGATAGAATAACATATTATGAATACCTTATAATTGATGTAGTAGTTTGGTAGAAAAATATTTAAATATATATATATATATTTATTGTGTCTACTACATAAAGCCACGAATCATGTTAACAAAAAAATGAAACTAATAAAGTTTTGACGTGAAAATCAGACAAAGGTTTATCTAGGGTACTGTTGTGAATCGGACATGTCACTCTGTTAATTAAAATTACGTTTGCTGAGAATTTTGTGGAAAATTACTCTAAAAATGTACATTGGTCATTTGGGAAGTTTTATCTATAGTTCTTGGGAAAATGCTTTAGAATGAATTTGGAATGCCTTAAACTAGGAAACTCTAAAATGAGATTAATCACATTTTGTTTTTGAGTTTGTTTTTAATATTCGTGACAGAAACAATCTCAAGAACTGACAAGGGTCAACCCAGACCGAAACATATTTTTAATAAATGTGGAACTAACATCTACTTTTTTTACTCAACAGAGGTTTGGTCCATCACCATCACCGAATTTTAAATATTAATCACACATTATGTATTATTGTGTATATACTTTGCACTTTGTTACTTATTTATCATCATTGTTTGAATAATAAACCTTGTGTCTGCTAAATAAAAGAAATCTGAAATGATTACGAAGTCCTTCTTAATGATCCCAGTTTAAAAAAATTGCCTTAAAAATTTGGATTTTTTAAAATCCACGAAAAAAAATCAATAAAAGAGAAAAAAATTAAATTTAAAAGCCTGGTATTGAAACAATAAATTATCTCGTTTATTTAAAATATTCCTGATATATATATATATTGACCTGGTCAGTAACATCTCTGCTAGATGACTGCTATCTTTAAAACATGCTTATCTCTTGTTCATTATATATATATAACTATATATAACAGTGGTCAGATCTAGAATTACAGGGACAGGAAATAAGCACGAGATCCAAGGGATTCAATTTTATAAAGAAATTGAGTCTTTGCTCCAAACTTAAATTTTCAAACTTACATCTTCGCAACCTAATCCTGCAAATCTTTGATATTTCATAGTTTGAATATCTAAGGTCTACGACATGGGGTTGCAAAGATATGGGGATTAGAAAATCAGACTTTGTGACAAATACTCAATTTCTTTGCAAAGGAATTGAGTCTTTGCCACAAACTCTGCTTTTCTAAACCCTATATATTTGGATTCCAATGTCGTAGACCTTAGATATTTCAAACTATGAATTCTGTTAGATCAAATAATATAAGTTTTAAATATCAAAGATTTACGACATTGGGTTCCAAAGATATAGGGATTATAAATTCAGAGTTTGTGACAAAGACTCAATTCCTTTGGACTTGATGATAATCTTATACAACCAGGACTGTAACTGGGGGGGGGGCAACGTGGCGCTTGTCCCCCTCTCTCCCCTGTATGATCAAATTCAATGTGAAGTTTTTTCTTACTGAGTTACGGGCCTGCGCCTTTATTTAAAATAAACAATGTTTCTTTAAAGATGGTGTTAAGCAACTAAGAGTTAGCAATTATATCAATGCTGACCATAATTGTTTGAGCGCTACGACATCTTGCTCTTTCGCCATCTGGTTTAGAAGGGATTTTTACTTTGCTCACTACGTCATTAGCTCTAAATATAATATATATATAATATTCTATTCTAGTCACACCGTTTCACATTGGGACAGGGGTGCGGATCAAAAAGTGAAAAATGTACTTTAAACAATTTTTATATTTTTTTCTTTTTCATATGAAAGGTAATATCCTAGCTAGTACAAATGTCTTGCAGAAACTCTAAAATACAATGAAAAATCAATTTAAAACTTTATAATTTTCCAAAAAAGGGGTTGCTTCAAAAAGCTTGCATTATTTAATGAGAACTGAGATGGAATTTAAAGAATTTAAGCCGCGGTTTAAATCCGCCAAAACCCGGTTTAGATTAAGCGCCGGTTTAAATCTTGAAACATTTGATACAATTTTAAGTAGAACCAACCATATTTAAACCGCGGCTTAAATTTAAGCCGCCGCTCAAATTCTTTAAATTCGGCCACAACTCTAGCAATAACATTTTTTAAACTAGTTTTAAAAAATTCCTGGTTATAAGAAAATTTCAAAAAAATAATTTATCTTGTTTTTTATGTATTTTTGTCAAGAAAAAACAACAAAATTAAAAGTAAAATTTTATTTTACAGTGAGTTTCTTATTCCCAAAAACCCATATTCCAATATATTAAATGAAGTTTCACTTTTTGACAATTCTGTCCTAGTGTACGTTCTCGGCCCATCTTGAACGCTACGGCCTATTTTAACTTAAAGGGCTAAAAAGAAAATACTATTGATAAAATCTCATATGTCCATTGTTCAAGCCGCAGAGCTCGACCCCAGTCATATCCTGCTTTCATACTGTTCCGGTTTGGCCTGATATTGGTTAGCCGGTGGTTAGCACACTAAACACGCAAATATATTCATCAATTCTTGCATAGATGTTTTATTCAAAACATTTAACTTAGAACACTAGAATAAATTTACAAATAATCTTGAGCATTGTAACTCTACTAACAAGTATAACCCGTGACAGAAGGTTCTGATTGGACGCCAATTTATGCAAATTATGCAAAACACTTAATTTTTTATTCTCAGAATAGTCCGAGTCTGAATGTCATCTTCAAGAAAATACTTTTTTTTCATATTAACAAAGACGATAAAGTTAGAAGTTAGAAAGGGTATTTATTTTAACTTTTAAGGAATAATTAAAAACTTTCTTTTCTTTAGTATCAAAAATTTTAAATAGATAGATTTTAGATTTTAAATCTGTACGTCTACTATCAAAGGAGCGGGGGAAGGCAGGCGGCCATGGGCCACCACTATTTCCCCTTCCGTGTTACATATTAGCTTTTTTCTCTTCCGGCAGCCATGAGCCACCACTATTTCCCCTTCCGTACCACCACATTTGACTCTTCCGGGCAAAACTACTTTTTTAAATGCTATATTTAGGGCCTTTAAAGTGTGATTTTAAAAAATCCAGCCGCGTCACGCAAAAAAGCACAACTCAAACCATTTTTTCAATTCTACTTAAGATTAATATTTTGTGTGTTGAATTCTTAAACTGTTTTAAAATGAAATTTTTGACAAATTTGACTGAGTATTCACTTACTAACTCATTAAATTAAATCCATCTCATTAACCAATAATCATTAGCCTTTGTGATATTTCAAGATGCAATACTCAGTCAAATTTGTCAAAAATTACATTTTAAAACAGTTTAAGAATTCAACACACAAAATATTAATCTAAAGTAGAATTGAAAAAAGAAGAGAGAAAAGCTAATGTGTGGCACGGAAGGGGAAATAGCGATGGCTCATGGCCGCCTGCCTTCCCCCGCTCATTAAAGTTAAAATTTAAAGTTATTCTTATTTATTAGATAATTTTTTTTAAATATTGGAAAAATTATGAAATCTGAAAAAGAATTATATATTTTGGCTGAAGTATAACCATTGGCCAAGCCGAGGTTACGGGGGACATAAATATACCTGTGTTGATCACTGAGTACACTCTTTAGTAGTTCATAATCCTTCAACAACTAAAGAGGGGAGGAATCCGAAACTAGCAGCTAATAAGCACAAACAAATCCAACCTATAGCTTTAGAAAAGATCTATGGGACGCTATGGTGTCATCAGATTAAGTGGATAATTATGATACTTTAGGAAAATCAAGTTTTTTATGCCTAGCATCAGTTTGGAAACTTGCCCATCCTGCTCATTCTATAGTACTTTCCATTATAGCCCCATCATCTCGTTAACTTCTTATATTTGATATTGAGTGGTAAAGGATTCACACTGGCACTATATCATAACTTTAATATGAAAAAAATAGCATCAGTGGTCACTGATAGGATTTTGTTAAGAAAATGAAAATCAAAGACTGTTGTTGACAATCTAAATTGCTCAGCGTTGTGGCCGTGGCATTTAAAAAAAATCTAATTTTGAAAAAAAATTTGGTTAGCCTATAAAGTTACCTCTTGGGTACCCATGGGAGTTTTCCTCAAAAAATGTCAGCCAATTTTATCCAGCCGTTAAAAGCATGTATATTTAGATAAAATGAGTAATTTCTTCAAGTAGGTTGCTCTGTTAACAAATACAGAATCATGGTAAAACAAACTAGCAGACGTGGAAAAGTCAGCTTTCTTGACTATCAGGTATATTTCAATATCAGCTTCTTGACTATCAGGTATATTTCAATATCAGTTTCTTGACTATCAGGTATATTTCAATATCAGTTTCTTGACTATCAGGTATATTTCAATATCAGTTTCTTTTCTATTAGGTATATTTCAATATCAGTTTCTTAACTATCAGGTATATTTCAATATCAGTTTCTTGACTTATCAGGTGTATTTTAACATGAGTTTCTTGGCTATCAGGTAATTATTGATAGTTATTATCTAGACTATCTGGTAACTATTGATGTTTTATTTACTACCAAATATTTTAATTATAGATCAAAATAATTTTTTCCTATTGAAATTAAAAGTTTCAAAATATAGTTTTTTATGTCGTCATAAAAAAAATTTGTTAAGTTATCTGTTTTTCTAAACATTTTATGAAAATAAAAAAAAATATTCTATTAATTCAGGATATTGAGTATACAGAAATTAAACCTATCCGACCAAACCAATCCGTCATACTCGCTGGTCTAGGTAAGGAACTATGTTTCAACAATTAAAGTTAATGTAAACAATGCTGCACTATACACAAAATATTCAATATACAGTGATACCCAGAAAACTATAGAATAAGAATACGACATTAAAGTAATATTAAAGTGCATTTGATGTTGCAACGATGCTAAACTTTACCAAAAAGTTATAAAATCACTTTTTTAAGTGAATGGGTATGTTTACATTTCACAATTGCCGTGCCCTAATGTTAATTGGATTATTTTATGTCAAAATTTGATTCTTAAAGTCGACTTCTTGTTCCAGAGTTTTCTAGTAATCACTGAAAACAAATAACCCGTTTCAAAATTATATTAGGAGGTCGGTTTTCATGTTAAAATCCTTGACCGTTTTCAGATATGGGCCAAATCTCGTTTTTGAACTAATGTACCTTGAAAATATCGTAGATTTTTATCTGATTTATTCGTGAATTTTTAAATTTTAAAAAATTCCACAAAAAAATTAAATAAACATTTTAAATCCTTATATCCAAATATTTTCCCTGTGACAACTTAACGACTGCTGGCTGCAGTCTAGCTAAAAAAAATTTGAATAAAAATAAAAATAAAAACAGCAAATTTAAAAAATTCAAGTCAAAATTATTAAAATAAAAATGGGGTGGATAGCAAAGTTAAAATTTGTCATCAGACCACTTCATCATTTAAAATGATAAAAAAATATTTAAAAATCACATTTTTGATAACATATTATATGTATACATATATATTATATTATATATAACATATATCTGGTCAAATTGAAAATTTTGATAATATTGATTTATTAAATTTGAACTTAATTGAACGCAATTTGAATAAAAGCAAAATTAAGTCTGTTCTGTTACCATAGAGTTCCACAAATTAATAAATACACGGCCTACCATTAAAACGGAAATAATTATAGTTAATCACTGAGCTAATTATTCACAATTACAGAAAACTTGGAAAACTTTTCCATTACACAAAAATAAAGAGAATTTAACTTTAAGAAAGAATCAAGTATTCTTTTTAAATCAATTTAAAACAATCGTATAACACTATAGTCAACCCAAAGGGGAAAAAATCTACTTGAAACTGTAACTGCTCTAAAAAGTTAGACTAAGTTTCAACACTGGATCGTTTTTAAGCTTTTGGGTTTACCTCACTAAACAACTTATACTTTTTGTTTTAGATTTATAAAGCATTTGTTATTAGCTATAGCTTTCAATAGGTACCTAGGAAAATTCTTATCGATTCTGCGTGAAACCTTGCAATCTTTAGATCACTGCGCTATGAAGTACTTCCTCATAGTATAATCTATATAATAAAACTAAATTCGCTCATATACATGTATAACTGTATTTTGGCTGGCCAAATGGAAGTACAAAATTGGCTGAAATTTTGTGAGGGGGCCATGGGTACCCTGAGAGTGACATAGGCTAAAAAATTCGATTTTTAAAATTTTTTTCTTCCAAATTCCATTTTTTTTTAATTCTATGGGCAACGCGGGCCCTTCAGCTAGTATAATATAATTACCACCTCTTAGAAACTCTACTGAATGATGGTTCAATCATAAATAATACATTTTTTACAAAACTGCTGAAAACCAAATTCCTGACTTTTATTTTTGTTTTCATGATTTTCCAATAAATATTGTCCAAGACTAATCAATATAAGTAATTTCTGTCATTTTCTATCGAATTCTGATATTCTATATTCATAATATTTTGTCGTCTTAGAAGGCCTTCTACAGAAACCCAACCATGCCATTCAAAATACAAAATTTTTAGTTTAAAGGGAGTGACCGGCTATATAAGGTAGTTGAACTGAGTATGCAGTGTTGTGGAAAACTTCTCTCGGATTCATTTGAGACATATTAAACTTTTTAAAGATCTGTAAATCCTGAGTTTAACATTGATTTAGCATTTTTAGTTTATGTTTGAGGTCTGCCCACAATTTGTGGTATGAATAACAATAACAAATAATTAAATGATTTACGTTACCATGCTACATTTCATGAACACTCTCTTTCAGGTATCCAGGGTAGAAAGGTTCCTGCTTGGCATAAGGATAGGGGATACAGGAGTACTCAGGTAATATCCAATATCCATACGTAGAGGATACAGGAGTACTCAGGTAATATCCAATACCCATGCGTAGGACTTACATACCTATTTTCATATCAAATCAAAGTTAAATTATCTAATTCTTAAATCTCTGCAGCCTGAGCCCGAATTAAAAAATTTGTGCCGCGGCTTAAATTTAAGCCTGGGCTCAAATGTGGTTGGTTCCACTTGAAATTGTATTCAATATTTCAAGATTTAGGCCGGCACTCAATTGAAACGGTTTTTGGGGGATTTGAGACGCGGCTTAAATTCATTAAATTCGGACACTGATATCGTGATGTTTAATATTTAAAACTTTGAATATCGCTCAATCAAATAGTCAAGGCTTGGAATTAATATTATCAGACTATTAAGAGTATTAGGGTTAGGAAAAATAAAGAAAAAGAAAATCTAAAAAGGAAATGCTTTTAAAAGCGGCTCATTTTAAATTACTTTTAAATCATTTTGTGAAACATTGTTTGAAATCACTTTCTATTTGAGAATTAACGATAAAATCTTTTATTTATATTTAAAGCTTGCATGATAGATTTTCTTGAAATAATCGTAAATTCCAACCTTGGAGACTTTATGTTTTCCCTCAGGATATTTTATAATTATTTATTGAGGGTAATTTTGAGCTTGCTTAGCACGGTATAATGAGTGCATTGAGGTTAAATATCCCTCGCTAGGGTTTACAGTGTAAGTATTCAAGTATACAAGAGTATAGAACCAAGTTTACAAGTACTACACAGCTAATTGGTGTAACTAATTCTAGGGAATAAAGTTTCACATTGTTTGTTCCAATTCGGAACTGATTGATTGCATTTTTGGCTGTTTTGGTTTTTTAATAGAAAATTAAAGCAATATTTGAGTTTCAGACCGAGCCTCCGAGTCTCAAGGTTTCTATCCAGGGGTCATTTCTAAGTTTCTTTCCGGTTTCATTCTAGAAGTCTTGTTTAAGTCTATTTTCTTAATTTCTTTTTAGACGGTTTTCATGGGTTCTTTCCTAAGTTTCTTTCTTGGTTTCTGGTTTATCTAAATTTCTCCTTAGGTTTTCTGCAAGTTTTATCAAACTTGTTCTCTTTAGATTTATCCAAGGTTTTCTCCACGTTTATCTTCAGATTTATCCAAGGTTTTCTCCACGTTTATCTTCAGATTTATCCAAGGTTTTCTCAAGGTTTTATCTATGGTTCTCTCTAGGTTTCTCCACGGTTGTTTCTATAGGTTTTCCTCAACGGTTCTCACGTGATTTTCTCACAAGGTTTTATCCAAGATTCATTCTAGGTTATATCCATGCTTTTCTTTAGGATCTATCCAAAGTTCTCTCTAGATTTTTTCCAAGGTTCCTCCAGGTTTTACGCAAATTTTCTCAAGCTTTTATCCAAGGTTCTCTCTAGGTTTCTCCACGGTTCTCTATATAGGTTTTCCTCAACTTGTGATTTTCTCACAAGGTTTTATCCAAGTTTTTTTTATGGGTCTTCTGCAAGTTTTATCCAAGGTTCATTCTAGGTTATATCCATGCTTTTCTTTAGGTTTTAGCCAAGGTTCTATCTAGGTTTTATCCAAAGTTTTATCTAGGTTTTATTCTAGATTCTCTCTAGATTTCTCCACGGTTCTTTCTAAGTTTCCTCAACGGTTCTCACGAGATTTTCTCTACGGTTATCTCGAGGATTTCTCCCAGGTTTTCTCTAAGTTTTATCCTAGAGTTTATCTAGGTTTTATTTAAGGTTCTCTCTATGTTTTAATCTAGTTTTTTTCTCTAATAGATTTTATCTAAGGTTTTATCTTGGGTTTATCCAAGGCTTTCTTTAGGTTTTTCCTAGGTTTTCTCTAAATGTTATCCAAGGTTGTATCTAGGGATTTTACAAGGTTTTCTTTAGGTTTTATCGAATGTTCTCTCTAGGTTTTTTGCAAGGTTTACTCTAGCGTTTAATCAAGGTTCTGTCTAGGTTGTATCCAAGGTTCTCTCTCGGTTTTAATCATGTTTCACTATAAAGTTTCTTCATGGCTCTTAATAGGGTTTTGACCTAGATTCTCTCTAGCTTTTCTCTCAGGTGTGAAGTACTACCTAGGCTTTCTTCACAGTTCTCCTTGCATTTTTTCTCTCGGTTCTCTCTATATTTTCTCCAAGTTCTTACTAGGGTTTCTCCAATGTTCCTTGAAACTAATTTTATTCCAGGATGCTTCATAGTTTTCTTTAGGGTTTCTCCAAGACTCTCTATAGGGTTTCCCTAAAGTGCTCTGAAGGTTATTTTTCATTATTCATTCTATGGTGTATTATAGTTTAATTCAAGGTTTTCTCTATGGTTCTTTCTAGGTTCTATCCAAGGTTTGCTCTGGGGTTTCTTCACGAGTCTTTTCCAAGGTTATTCTTAGACTAACGGTATCTTTTGGTTTCCCAATTCCGTCTAGAATTTCTCCAAAACTTTCTCTAGGGCTTCGCCAAGGTACTCTCTGGTTTTTTCCCAAGCCTCTCTCTAGAGTTTTCTTCAATGTTCTCTTTAGGCTTTCTTCAAGGTGCTCTCTAGGTTTTTCCCCCAAGGGTCTCTATAGGTTCTTTATATTTAAGGTTTACCTTTAATAATCTTGTAGAGGCTCTAATGTTCTATAATATATAACAATCATGAAGGATTTCATGCAATAGAAACATTACAGCAGAATTATTACAAGTAATCGATTAAAGTGTGCAATGTTGTAACTTTTTAAGCAATTAATTGCACTCTCTTTTACGGGTGTTATTGGCAGTTTATATGATACAATTTACCTCATTTTAACAACATTGATGTAAAGATCTCTTCATTTTCTATCTGAAACCTGATATATATATAAAGTAGTAATCTCTGTATGCCTGTTTATCTGTTTTTTTGGATGTCACGCTCATAACTCAGGGGACATAGTTCTAAAAATGGTTTATTGCCCATTTTTAACACTGAGTGTTAGAAATTGGCCGAATCGCGTTTAGGAACTAATATCCCCTAGGGAAAACGTATAAATACCCTGACTAATTTCCTAAAATTTTTATTGGGGAACTCAGTTGAACCACGGAAATATTTTTTATTTGGTTTCAAGTTCTTAATTTAGTAGGTTGACTTTTATAGTTTCCAGGTAAAGCTGGGTTCCTAAGCTAGTCTTTGATACAGTAACTTGTCCTCACGTCAGATTATTATCATTATAAGGGTTCTGATATTCTTTAATTGACGAGTCAGGTTGAGCGCCTCTTTGCTAAAAAAGAAACCTATATAAATTGATTACAGGGTGTCCCACGAAAAAGTTGTTGGGCAGTTTTTAATGTCTTCTTCCATAAACTGTATTAGATATTAAAGACTTTTTGCAGTTTATTTCATGAAAAAAAATCTTTCATTCAAAGATATTTCACTTTGAAATCAATTTTACTACAATATGAATGCCATATAATATTATTTGTTTTTCTCTTTGGTATTATACAACTTAACAAATTATGGACAAAACATTTAAAACTATTCACCAACTGTCATGTTTCGTAGGACACCCCTGTAATTGTTTCTAGGGTGCAGGATACAGTGATGGACTAGTTCTTCACTCTGCCAGACCTAGAACTCAACAGGTTCTCAATTATTTTAATTTTCTACATGGTTACACATCATAAATAAAATTTAAATGACGACCTATAGTAAAATTTTAGCTTTAAAATAATTTTCTTGCAATGAGTTTGCTGAACTACAAACTTTCAGAAGTGGTTAATTCCGCCTTACCTAGTTTAACTTCTATTCACACATTCATAAATGTTTAACTCTGTTCTTAATACTTCTTCTTCTTCTTCTCACTTTTCAGAACCTTTCATATTCTGATATTAAAGGTTTTTCTTCTCACTCCCTCATAGATTTTGATCTCTAATTAGCTTACGGTTATTTTATCACTTAAACATACATTTTAACCTCTTCTACCCACTTTTTCATAAAGGAATTGAGTCTTTTCCACAAACTCTGATTTTCTAATCACTATATTTTTGGAACCAAATCTTGCAGACCTTAGATATTCAAACTATGCATTCTGTTAGATCAAATAATCTGAGTTTGAAATATCAAAGGTTTACAACATCGGGTTCTAAAGATATTGAAGTTTAAATATTTGATTTTGTTCCAAAGACTCAATTCCTTTCCATCTCTAACATTAATGGTTGTTTTTCTCAAATAAATCATAAATTTCTATCTCTGATATTGACATCTTTTCCCAATTATTTATAAACTTTCATCTCTGATTTTAAAGTTTTTTCATTTTTTCATAAGTTTTCATCTCTGAAATGAGGATTGTTTCTTTTCACTTATTCATAAACATTTATCTGTGTTTTGAAGGGTTGGCCAGCTGCTAAACAAGTTATATTCCATATATCTTCCTCTGCTAGTGGAGAAGTTAGATCTCCTGCTCCAATCAAATCCATCCTTGCATCCTCTCAAGATGGACGTCGGGCTCAAGGTACATAATCTAGGAGCAGTTGAAAGTTGTTGTTTTGATTTAAATCGTACATATTTCAAACCATAATATAACTGAATTATCTCTTCAAAAATATCCTGGAAAGTCACAAAATTGTTTTATAAGATTTGGATGAGGTCTACCAAAGCTTGGTTTACAAACACTTGGATACAATAAGTCGGGTAGAGGATGGAGGTTTATCTAGGCTAGAGGTTAGCTGGACCAACCAATCAGAGGCCAGGTACACAATTAATAAAACTCCATTAAACTCAAAATTAAAAATATAGAAAATATAGAAAATTGTGGTTATATTTTAAGCTTTAATACAACCAGCAACTAATTTTCGAAGATTTTTCAGTTTTCGATGGCGGATTTCCGAAAATCTTTAAAATCAACATTTTCGGAGACATTTTTTTAAAAATTCCGATCGACCATAAATCTTCCCTGAGGTCATTTGAAATCCTACAAAACATTTGGATATTCAAACTAACAACCATGAAACTAACAGACGAGCTTATTATATTACAGAGGGAAGGATGAGAAGAGGTCTAGATCTTGTAGTGGAGGTAGATTATCTGCTAGAAATACTGCTTCCTCAAATATATCAAGACCTAGCAGTAGAACATCTAGGCCTACTAGTAGAGCATCAAGACCAAGTAGCAGAACATTAAGATCTGGCAGTAGAGCATCAAGACCTAGCAGTAGAGCATCAAGACCAAGTAGCAGAACCTATCATCACAAGACCTTGTCAGTACAATCTCAAGGTAATTCTTGTTATATTTTCTATAATGTAATAGCTTAGGAACCTAGCTTTGCTTGTAATCTAAAATCCATTTATAAAAGTCAACCCACTCCACTTAGAACTTTAAACTATAATGTAAAAACATTCCCGTGTCTCAACCAAGTTTCCTAATTAAAATTTGTGGAAACTGCAGTCAAGGAGTTCATGAGTGATGATCAGACATACAGCAAACAAAGAAAATTAATACTTTATGTATTTCTGAGTATTTTTGCATGTTCTATGTCGGATTCTATGTCTTATTCTATATCAGAGAATTGTTTGTTTAAGCCCTTTAAGTCTGAGTATTCTATGTCAGATTTTTAGTTTTATTCTGTGTCAAATTTTTTGTCTGATTCTAGGCCTGATTCTATGTCTGAGTATTCTATGTCAGATTCTTCTTTGTTTGATTCTATGTATGTATTATTGTTTGTCTGATTCTATGTCTGATTCTTTGTCTGATTTTATTTCTGATTCTATTTCAGAATTTTGTCTAATTCTAAAATATTGATCTTGTTTTTAATCCTGAATATCTTGTAAAACTAGAAGAAGAAGAGCAGGTAGATGACAGTGATGATGAACTGAGTATTCTTGGTGACAGTATTGTTAGGAATATTCAAACAAACAAACTCAATTTATCTTCTTATAGCTGAAGTGCCCGACGTTGCCCGTGGAATTAGAAAATAAAATTTTATTTTTTAGCCTTTGTTACCCTCGGGACACCCATGGGTTCCCTCAAAAAATGTCAGCCAATTTGGTCCAGCCGTTTGGCCATCAGTTAAATAGTTTTTATATAGATAATTATTGTTTCATATCTAAACTCTGAATGTTGTTTATTTGAAATACTGTGACAGGGAATCCTTAAATCATGTCCTCAAACCGGAACAAGATTCAGATTCAGTAAGAGTTAATATCCAAATCTTTTTCTAATATTTATGGTGGGACAATTTTGCACAGCCTTCACAAAAACAAACAAATTTGGGGTACCAGGGAATCTGCCACAAAATCAAATTTTGTATTTTGTAAACCTGTGATATTTTTTTAACTTAAAGGAATTGAGTCTTTGTCACAAACTCTGATTTTCTAATCACTATAACTTTGGAACCAAATGTTGTATACCTTAGATATTTCAAACTATGAATTCTGTTAAATCAAATAATCAGAGTTTGAAATATCATAGGTTTACAACATCGGGTTCTAAAGATATTGGGGTTTAAATATTTGATTTTGTTACAAAGACTCAATTCCTTTATTGATCTATTAAAATTAGTAGTTTAAAATATCTAAGGTCTACGACATTGGATTGCAAAGATGGAGGGAATAAAGTTTGCAGCAATATACTTTTCCTATAATCTGACAGACTTTAAAGAATTCAGTTGATTTATATGAATTACAATCGGATAGATTTTTCATATATGTTTAACAGATCTGAAATCTGAGAATCTGTATATTTCAGGATCTAACAGAATTAGCTGCGGAGCTGCTAGCTTCAGATTTAAGGGATGACCAGTTCACAGAGATAGATTATATTAGGTAATAGGTACAGGGTGTCCTAAAAACCAGTTCACAGAGATATATCACATTAGGTTATAGGTACAGGGTGTCCTAAAAACCAGTTCACAGAGATAGATTATATTAAGTAATAGGTACAGAGTGTCCTAAAAACGAAATCTGCAAACAATTTTATAAAGAATAAAATTCAAAATATATGCTCCTTAACAACAAATTAGCTAACGGAATTTTTTTTGTTACATTTATGGTGTGGATTATTAAATAATTGTAAAAAAAAACTTTTTTGTGGACTTTCACTTCTGATGAAATTTTACAAATGATTTTATGCTCTTTCTTAGAAATTATGAAACGTAAAAACGTCTCATGTTATTAAATAAATCCTAAGATTTTTCTCCATAATACTGCACTCTCGGTTCAAATATGTTGCCATAGCCGGTCTCTCCCTTTCAGTGTCGACTTCTTTATCGTCTTTATTCCGCGACATTCTTCCGTGAACACCATAATACTAGTCAAATTTAACCAAAGGAAATTCTTAGTCTTAGGATTTCCAAAATTTAGTCTGATATTTTCAAAATTGACATAGATATCTGGGAAATTGTTCAGATTTCCAATTATAAAAAGATTTTAAATTTGGAAAAAATCTTGTATCTCCGTCAGTCTAGAAGAAAAAAGACCCCATTTTGAAGACCTCATTAGAGATTACCCTCTATAACATTTTTTAATAATTCAAAGTCAAAGACGATGTTTAATGTTGTCTCTCTATGATTATTGGGACACCCTGTAGAAAAACAAACTGTATTATACTGGTAATAATGTAGAATATTTTTCTTTCTTATCTGAAATTATATATATATTTTTGGATTTAAATTTTTAAAAAAGCAAATGAAGTGGGTATTAAATGGATAGAGAGAATTGGTTGAAAGTTCAACTACTTCTATCTATTTTTTTATTCCGAACTATTGATACTTTTATATTTAGAAATTTTTAAAATTAATTACTCTAATTTATATTTCATTTTTAACTTATCAGTCGATTTTTAAGTCAGCAGCTTAAGCTCTGTTTAAAAATGGAAAGAACTGACATTTTTAAACTTATATGTCAAATGTTAAGTCAGCAGCTTAACCTCTGTTTTAAAAATTGAAAGAACTAACATTATTTTTAACGTATGTGTCAAATGTTAAGTCAGCAGCTTAACCTCTGTTTTAAAGATTGAAAGAACTAACATTATTTTTAATTCCATTTTAGGTCAGGGCTTGCACCAAATAGTGATGCTTTTGTAGAAAAGAGTTAGTGGACGGAAATATTATATTTACTTGTGATGCAGGAAATATCTAAAACACGTTGTTTTAAAATCAACATCTGATTGTTTACTGTTTATATTTATCTTATAGTTATTCTTATAGTTATATATTGTTGAATAAAAGTCGCCCTTTGTCACTTCTTCCAACCAATTTTATTGGTTTAAACTTATCATGTATATAACATAATGTATAATAAAATATAGAAAAATTATAAATTTATAAATGTTTTCTTAAATTTAGTTTTTATACTTTTTGTTAAAATTAGCAGGCTCACAATAAAAACAGAATGTTTTTGTGTACATCGATTGTACTTTATCTATGGTAGATCATAAACTTTTTCCCGAATAGCTTTTCCTCAAAGAGTATTTTTTCAAATGTTAAATCAAATCTAAGGGGGTGAAAATACAATTTTCGATAAGAAAAAATGTTGGAAGTGGACCCAGTGCAAAGAACATGAGCCTCTTTAAACAAATCGGGAAATAACATATTTGTCATTATTAGTAAAAATACCATTGAATAAATGTATTATCGTAACTGTTGAAGTAATTTTTAGCACTCCTCCATTTGTAGAGTGCGGCGGCATGACCGATTTTTCTACCTTAAAAAGTGTTGAATTATGAAAATTTCCTTCGTTGTCTCTACTGCATATATCTGGAAGTCACTTTCATAGAGAACCCGTAATTTTTAGATAAAAATACTAAGCTATATCCTTGATCAGGCTAAACTTTAAAGGACACTGTTCTAAATCGGACAGTTTGAAGTTTGGTTCTGTTATGGTATTCCTAAAGGTACCACCAAACAGGATATTGTGGATGACTTGGAAGAAGCTGATATTAAGATAACAGTTGGCGATATTGTGCAGATGTCTAAACCAAATGAAACATCAAATGTTATAAGCTTTAAAATCTCTGTTCCAGCTGAAGATCTTGAGAAAGCCTTGGATCCCACTGTGTGGCCCTTGCGAGTACGTGTCCGTGAATTTATCCATTATAGGAAGTGGTATTCTGATAGAAATGGAACCACAAGTGTAGAGAAGAATAGTGCTACTGGTGGCGCAACAGCAGTACAATGATGGATACTTTGTGCTTAACTAGCTATAATAGTGGGGGTATGGGAATTGATAAACAGAACTTTATAAGTTTGCTAGCCTGGTTCTCAGACATTTTATGCATTCATGATAAATATGTTATGTAGTGATTAAAAATCAATGTTTTCTATTTGTGCATAATTTTGCATATTTTTTCTCTTTTCTTTTGGAAATCTGTATTTTCAAAAAAAATTTATTTAAACAAATTTAAACTACACCATTTATATATGTATTTATATCTTTGTGTGTGAATAAATCTTTATAATATAATAAAAATTAGAATCTTATCTTAAGATCAATAAATACAGCGGCTCTGTAAACTCTTGCCAGCCTTAAAATTGGATGACAAATGTTTTAGTTATAGGGAGTGACCGGCTATGTAAGGTAGTTGAACTGAGTATGCAGTGTTGTGGAAAACTTCTCTCGGATTCATTTGAGACATATTAAACTTTTTAAAGATCTGTAAATCCTGAGTTTGAGCGCACATTCGACGTTCAAGACTCCTACTTTGGGGGTGGATACATTTTCAGATTAGTTTTTTTTAAATTATTAAATAACGACAACGAAAAATAAAGTAAAAATTATACAGTAATCTAATTGGATGGTTAGGAACATATTTCTCAAAAGAAATTTGTCAATAAATCAAGGCTAAAATCGATTATTTCGTTTTCATTATTATATTGAATTTCTTCGCAGATTTCTTCAAATTCTTCAAATGTCGTCTTTTCAATAATAATTCTAGAAAATCTGTGAAGATCTTTGTGAATAATGAGGAACCAGAATAATGAGAAAATAGAAACTAATAATTGAACAAGATTACTTATTTTCGATGATAAGATTAATTTTTATTTTCTCGACATGATCCTATACATGACGTCTGTAGTTTATTGTAGAACTTTTTTTTACATTTTATGTCGCCGGTATTTAATAATTTAAAAAAACTAATTCTGAAAACGTATCCACCCCCAAAGTAGAAGTTTTGAACGTCGAATTTGCGCTCAAACTCAGGATTTACAGATCTTTAAAAAGTATAATATGTCTCAAATGAATCCAAAAGAAGTTTTCCACAACACTGCATACTCAGTTCAACTACCTTAAAATTACATAGCCGGTCACTCCCTTTAAGAAAAACTTAGCAAGTTGGGATGTTAGAGAATAAATTTCTGATGAAATAAAAAATTGTAAATCTTCAAGTTGTTAAACAATTAATTCCTAGTTTACAGAACGTATTTACTAACTCTTCTTATTTACACAAAGATTTAAAAAAATTATAAATCTTTTATAATTTGTAGGTTTAGTCTTATTCCATTCTTATCAAATCATTGTCAAGTACGTTTCCCATGGTCAGATAAGAATAATTCAAGTAAATGAAATAGTTAAGATTAAATAAAAAAAATTCAATTTTCTTAAAAACCATTTTTATCCTTGTAGCTAAACATAATGTGCCAGTTATGTTTAAACATCATACTATATTTACCCCTGTATAATTTTAATTAACAATATCTTAACACCAGACCTTGCAAACATCTTAATAATAAAGATAATAGAAGATTAGCCACTGAGAAAAGTTTTTATTATTACGTAGAAAGTGTTCAGATGCTCAGCAACTAATATTTAAATATTTGCAAAACTAATAAATTTCAAAGATGAATTTAGCAGGATTGTTCAAAACAGGTACTTTAGTACTTACATAAATATCTTATAAAGATGGAATGTCTTGAGTACTAAATTCATGTGAGTTCAAAATGTAATATGCTTTGGTTGGTTCTTTAAAAAATCCGAAAAGTAATTAAGAGCTTTTGCCATAAACTCAAATATTCAAATCACTATATTTTTGCAACCCAACGTCGTTATAGACCTTTGATATTTCAAACTATGAAATCTGTTACATTTAAAAATCTAAGTTTAAGCCTTTAGGCTTAAAAAATATAGCGATTACAAATTTTGAGTTTGTGGCAAAGACTCAATTCCTTTTACAAAGTAACAAATTACTTTCCTAAACCTCTAATTTTCCAAAATATATTCCATCAAAATTTGATGGTTTCTACGGAATAAATTTGCAAAGATATAAGGATTAGAAAACTAGATTTAATGATGAATAGAGTTATGTAACAAATATAACAATGCTGTTGCTTAATAACTGAAATTATAATGTTCTTTCTTTAAATTTTAGGTTATGGAGCTGACATACTTTTTCAAAAAACCTTTTTTAAAAACTAATACATGAAAAACACTAATCTTTAAATTACCAAATTCTTTAATAAAATTGTATTCCTTATTTCTTAATTTCTCCTAGTCGGAGTTGTTTTCGGAGGCATACTTGTAGCCGGCGGTATAGGATTAAAGGTGAAAAAAAACAAGAGTTTATAAAACATTTTTTCGTTATATCAAGGATTTTTTAATGTTTTTTTTTCTTTAAAATCCTCAGAATAAAGTGAAACTGACACCAGGTTCAGCCGTTCCTCTCTTTTTGCTAATCTCGAGACTAACATAATCTCGAGATTATGTTAGTCTCGAGATTAAATATTTAGATCAACAAATTTGATTCTAAGAACGCCAGATTGGTTCGTTTTCTTGACTTGAAGGGCCTTCACTTAATTTCTCACCCATTTCTTTATTAATACATTAGTTAAAATTGGTTAAAAAAAGAATCTCAAATGTATTAATAAATATTTTTCTTCACCGATTAATTTACAATCTGGCCGACAAAAAATTCTTTATTTGTTAGAAATTACGGATTTCTCTCATGGGACAGAATTTTTTTTCAAGGCTGTCATTGGTCAATACAGTTTAGGAACTTTATTCCTGCACTCTCATTGGAGAAAACAATGTTAGGATATCCAAAGTGAGCGAAAGAGTGGATTAAGGACTAAAATCAAAAGTTTCCAAAGTGGATATTCGAATTAAGTAGTTGGGATTAAAGGGTATTCATTCTAAAGTTCCCACCTCCGGTAGGGTCCCCATGGGAAGATTAATGGAAGGTCATTATTCAATATATTTGTGGAAGTCCACAAGTGAACACAAAAAAATCTGCGAATCTTAAACTAGAGAAGCGCTTTAGAAAAATTTGCTTATGGTTCGCATTTTTCCTGTAATAGAATTAGTAAATCCGCGGGTTTTGATAATATCATTTTGAGAATTGTTTACTCTGTCATGAAACAAAGCTTAAAAAAGACTTATTTTTTATTACGTGAAAGGGGGTGGAGGGAAGGGTAGCCAACAAGTTTTAAAAGAGGGGTTCAGTATTGTATTTATATTTAAATTTAATAATATTATTTTGCAGTGGGGAATATTCCCTATAGTTGTTGAAAACATGATTTTGGAGCAGATCAAGCTTTCTCCAGATAATACAGAGATATGGGATACTTGGGTAGGTTTATGATCAAGTTATCTCCAGATAATACAGAGATATGGGATACTTGGGTAGATTTATTATCAGGCTTTCTCCAGATAATACAGAGATATGGGATTCTTGGGTAGGTTTATGATCAAGTTATCCCCAGATAATACAGAGATATGGGATACTTGGGTAGGTTTATGATCAGGCTTTCTCCAGATAATACAGAGATATGGGATACTTAAGTTTATGATCAAGTTATCTCCAGATAATACAGAGATATGGGATACTTTGGTAGGTTTATGATCACGCTTTCTCCAGATAATACAGGGAAACCGGAAACTTGGGTAGGTTTATAATCAAGCTTTCTCCAGATAATACATAGATACGGGATACTTGGGTAGGTTTATGATCAAGTTATCTCCAGATAATACAGAGATATGGGATACTTGGGTAGGTTTATGATCAAGCTTTCTCCAGATAATACAGAGATATGGGATACTTGGGTAAGTTTATGATCAAGTTATCTCCAGATAATACAGAGATATGGGATACTTTGGTAGGTTTATGATCACGCTTTCTCCAGATAATACAGAGATACGGGATACTTGGGTAGGTTTATAATCAAGCTTTCTCCAGATAATACAGAGATATGGGATATTTGGGTAGGTTTATAATCAAGCTTTCTCCGGATAATACAGAGATATGGGATACTTTGGTAGGTTTATAATCAAGCTTTCTCCAGATAATACATAGATACGGGATACTTGGGTAGGTTTATGATCAAGTTATCTCCAGATAATACAGAGATACGGGATACTTGGGTAGGTTTATGATCAAGCTTTCTCCAGATAATACAGAGATACCTGATACTTGGGAAGGTTTATGATCAAGCTTTCTCCAGATAATACAGAGATATGGGATACTTTGGTAGATTTATTATACAGCTATCTCTAGATAATACAGAGATACGGGATACTTGAGTAGGTCTATAATTAAGCTATCTCCAGATAATACAGAGATATGGGATATTTGGATAGGTTTATATAATACATTTTATTCTAGAAAAAAAATAGATATGGGACACTTGGCTAGGTTTATAATCCATTAAATCACAGCACTTTTTTAAGTAACAAAAATTAGTAGATTATATATGTTTAATTAATGTTATGGACATTTAATTTTTTTCTATGACCAAAGATGAAATGTGCAAATGCATAAAATGTTAATTTAATTTGATTTAATTATTTAATTTTGAAGATTGAGCCAACTGCTCAGCTTCCTGTTTACATGAAATTTACATTTCTAAATGTAACAAACCCTGAAGAAATCAAGGTAATTATTTATTAACACTTATTCCAAAAATTTATACTGTTATTATTTTATATTTGATAAATCAAAATTTCACTTTTCATCATGTTTTTTATAATAATTTCAATTAGCTGGATAAAAGCGAAAAACTTAAAGTTGCATGACTCACGGTCACGAGTAAAACCCCCTTGAACGTTGAAAAGTTTTAAACTTTAAAATTTAAAAAAACGATAGAATGAATTAAAAACTATTGGTGATTAACGAGAGATAAAGCCCTCTCCAATTTCAGATCAGAGCTATGTCAATAATAAAGATAAATGTTTGTTTTTAATCTAAAAATTGACAATTTTGAATAATGGTTTCTGTAAGAAACCGACTCATAGTGGTTCAGATAAATACAGGTTTCGCACAGAGAAAGGGTTTCATTGTGAATCGTACGTGAAACTCTTCAAATTAGTCCCTTTAAGTTAAAAATGATATATATTGTAGGACGGTGAGAAACCAATAGTAAATGAGGTAGGTCCGTTTGCATATAGAGAGGTGAGAAGGAAGGATGGTGTCACAATAATGGATGATTCTATTTCTTACGGAAGGTGAACAAAAAATGTTACATATATGTGATGAGAATTTAGAACAAGAGGTGGGATGGATTTTAATAAAAAACATTAAACAAAACATTTCGAAGGACTTATTTTTGTAGTCCTTTTGTAGTTTATGACAGTTTTTAGTTGGAGAGAGGGGGGGGGAGGGTCGGTGTTAAGATGTATCCTTAAATATTCAGTCATTGCTAAGCCAATTTTAATCCAAGTTTAACAACAAATATTTAGTTATATCAGTTACGAGCTAGATGAGAATGAGTCCTGTCCATCCTGCACCGAAGATACAATGGTAAATTACATTTAAACCACACTGAACTAGACAGTAGTAAAATGTCAATTTTATCCGAAATTATTGGCCCGAATTGTTGGCCTCGTAGTTTATTTAGTTTTAATATTACGCACAAGTAAGAGAAAAGAAATTTAAATTAAATTTTATTTCTAATCAATCGTTTTATAATAAAACGAGTTGGTTTAAAACTGACGTGCAATTTACTTGAGTATGACGTAAAATTGTTTGTGAAATATAAAAAACAGGTTTGTGGATCCTTTCATATGAATTAAAACTATCCAGATTGTTCTATGAACAGAAACACTGAAGATACACTCTACAGAACAGCCAAGATGTACAAATAGAGGAGGAAATCTCGAGGATCTATGAGGACGGAATCTATCGTCCTCCAGATATGATTGAGAAACCAGGAGGTTTATGGATCACAGGATCTAATATGAGCCCTCTGCGGAACGCTGCTCTTAACTGGCAGCTCCCCAAAAACCAGTTGTGGAAACCTCAGACTCAGATTCATTGTTAGAAGAACTCCTAAGAGATACTCCGGAACATAGGTACTCGTCCAGTTCAATCTCCGACTCCAGAATATCCTGTAACTCCATGAGCAGCTAGGATAACTGAGGAAGTATTTTATGAAACAGCAGAAGATATGGAAGATATTGTTGATGAACATACAAGCTATACTTGAAGAACGGCTGCATTGGTTAAAGGATGATATTTCATCATCTGAATCCTGCAATCCTAGGACTCCTAGTCCAGATATAGAACTAGAAGACTTATCTGAATCTGAAGAAGCGGCTCAGAGAGATCCTACTCCTGAGCTGCTGAACGAAGTATTCGAGTTAAGAGATCCTGAATTAGTACAGTTAGATGAGATGGGCGAAGCAGAGGAAGCTGTTCAGGGACATCCTGGTCTGGAACATCTAAATAAGAGCTTCAAGTTTAGAGCAGCCAAATGAGAGATCTGGATTCCGATAAGCTGCTCAGACAGACACTGAACTGGAACAGTTAATAGAAGGATTCCCTGAAAAAGAGGATTTGAGGATTGCATATTGGAAGTATATGAAGACTAGACAGATAATTGCAACAAATGAGGAGCAGCTCAGAACTTATGATCTTTACTGATTTGTCTTACTTCCGCTGGATTTCTTTAAACCACAGACTGGAATGGCTGGCTGGAGTATTGGAGGAGCTAAATATACTCAAGGACCTTATAGATGGACAGAGGACTAACGTACTGCATCTAGCTGAAGTGTGGTCTTCTACAAACACATACAAAACTGATTAAAACAAGAATAAACATAAACAGATGTATTTAGACAAATAAACTAATAAGCCGATAAATCACATTCATTCATACTCTGAGAGATATATCTATACATATAGAGAGAGAACATCTATTGGGTTTATGAAGCAAAGTACGGAAATCTAGAGAAAGACATTTGTACACGCCCTAAACAGATGGAGCAAATGATCGATCTCGAAAATCCCTAAGATTTATATCTGTAATTGTAATCAATAGAATAGTGTTAATAATTACATTAGCTGGTAAAGCTAAAAGTTTCGCTAACAAATAGAATTGTTCATAAATTGACTTCTTCCTTAACTGTAGTTATTAACATCTACCAAACAACAAAAACATCTCTGAAACAACAACAACAAAAAATAGATTAATTTAACACATTAATTTTTCCTTCATGTATTCTGCAGATATAACCAGAAAATTTTTAAAAACTATTATTTGTTTAGATTACAGTTATAAACCCAGCGCTAGCCGGAATTGTAACTCTTATAGAGGTAGGTTTTGTAAAAAAAAAAACACATATATAAACAAACTTTTTGAAATTTTGTTTGTTTGTTTAGGATCTTGCAGGGGATATAGAAATTGATTTAGGTTATGGGTAAGATTTTTATTAAGGTGACATTAATCAAGAAAGGAATGGACTCTTTGCCACAAACTTAAATTACAAAGATAAAAGGATTAGAAAATTTCAGTTTGTGGCAAAAACTTAATTCGTTTCAGAACATTCTCCTACAATACATACATTTGTAGAATCTTTTTGAGCTTAACTTAAAACGCTATATTATAAATTTTGTCTATTTATAAATGATCTTATTTTGTGCAGACCTCAAACTGTGGCCTCCCTAATTCTGAGTATAATTGATGCGGTAAGTTCATGATTAATTCCTTGTTTTGATTTCTAGTTTTATATTAATCGTTTTCCAGGCTATAACTGAAAGACATGGAGAATACGAAGATGACCTGTTTACTACTGAAACTGCAAATAAGGAAATAGTTTGGTTTAAAAACAACTAACTGAATTGAATTAGAACGGTGGAGTGTTACGTTTTTGGCATATGCGTTTTGATTCTTCAATTTGAATTCAATTTTTATTTTGGTCTTTAATTCCACCATCTTCAAATTAACAGAGCTGTCTTTTCATTTTTTTAACTCTAAACTAACTCTATAGAAATAAAAAAGGTGAAAAAATTATATGTTTAATATGTCAAATTATAAACAAAGGCGTGCTTACAAGGATAAAGACCGAATCGTAAAATCTGCGTTTACTTACACTTACACAGACATTTTCATCGCTCTACCAAATATAAAATACCCTCATGCTTCATTGAGTGTAAATATTTTCAATATTGCCCATCTTGTCAAAAATAATTCTCATCTTGTCCTAAATATTGCTCACCTTGTCCTAAATATTACCCACCTTGTCCTAAATATTGCTCACCTTGTCCTAAATATTACCCATCTTGTCCTAAATATTACCCATCTTGTCTTAAATATTAATCATCTTGTCCTAAATATTAAATATTACCCATCTTGTCTTAAATATTAATCATCTTGTCCTAAATATTAATCACCTTGTCCTAAATATTGCTCACCTTGTCCTAAATATTACCCATCTTGTCTTAAATATTAATCATCTTGTCCTAAATATTAATCATCTTGTCCTAAAAATAAATCATCTTATCCTAAATATTGCTTACCTTATCCTAAATACTAATCATCTTGTCCTAAATATTGCTCATCTTATCTTAAATATTGCTCACCTAATCCTACATATTGCTCACCTTGTCTTAAATATTACCATCTTGTCCTAAATATTGCTCACCTTGTCCTAAATATTGCTCACCTTGTCCTAAATATTAATCATCTTTTGTCTTGAATATTACAAAATTTAAAACAATGCTCCCCCATCAAAGTTTACTAGGAAGGGAAATGAATGTTCCCTGAATTTAGTAAAATTGCATGATGTTTCAGAAATAAAAAAATAAAAATTTTTAGCTTGAAAACATCTAAATTTTAAACCAAATATATGTACCGGAGAAAATCAGATAAAAAGAACCCAAAATTCGTTGTCAATTATTAAGATTTTTCATTCCCCCCCCATTTCCTGTTAGAAATGCCCCTTTTTGGTCCTTTCTCTTTGATTTCCTGGACACATTTTTGCTATATAACTTTTGATTTTTTTTATGTTAAGATTATTTAGCGCTTGCAGAGCATAAACGTATATTTAGACACCCAATATTATGCTTTGATAATTTTCTCTCTTTAGAGTAAACCTAATTTCCTTACAATTAAAAATTGTCAGAGAAATTGTAATTTTACATTAAAAACTATATTTCTCAAAGTTGTTCAATGTTAATATTGACAATGATTATCCAGTCAAATACAAGCAAATACCTTCAAGTGACTAAAGCCCAATTTGTACCAGCTTAAGCTAAGAAAAGTGTTTTATAAAACAGATACTTAGATATCCATATAGTTGATATTTGAGCCTACCTAAACTAAGAAAAATGTTTTCTAAACCCAACTATATGAGATGTCTATTTGATATTTGAACCTATCTAAACTATAAAAAATGTTTTCTAAACCCAACTATATGAGATGTCTAATTGATATTTGAGCCTTCCTAAACGAAGCAAAATGTTTTCTAAAACCAACTATATGAGATGTCTATTTGATATTTGAGCCTATCTAAACTATAAAAATGTTTTCTAAACCCAACCATATGAGATGTCCATATAGTTGATATTTGAGCGTACCTAAACTAAGAAAATGGTTTCTAAACCCAACTATATGAGATGTCTAGTTGAAATTTGAACCTACCTAAACTAAGAAAATGTTTTTTAAACCCAACTATATGAGATGTCTAGTTGATATTTGAACTACCTAAACTAAGAAAAATGTTTTCTAAACCCAACTATATGAGATGTCTAGTTGATATTTGAGCCTACCTAAACTAAGAAAAATGTTTTCTAAACCCAGCTATGATTAGTTGATATTTCAACCTACCTAAACTAAGAAAAATGTTTTCCAAAACCAACTATATGAGATGTTTATATGTTCATATGAGTTGATAGTTGAGCCTACCTAAACTAAGAAAAATGTTTTCTAAACCCAACTACGATTAGTTGATATTTGAGCCTACCTAAACTAAGAAAATTTTTTCAAAACCCAACTTTGATTAGTTGATATTTGAGCCTACCTAAACTAAGAAAAAAATTATCTAAACCCAACTTTGATTAGTTGATATTTGAGCCTACCTAAACTAAGACAAATTTTTTCTAAACCCAACTTTGTTTAGTTGATATTTGAGCCTACCTAAACTAAGAAAAAATTTTCTAAACCCAACTTTGATTAGTTGATATTTGAAGGCTATGAGCCTGGTGTATTGAAGTTTGTTCTATATCTAGTTAATGCCATTGAAGAAACTCCAGAGGAAATACTTTTCCCCGTTGAAGGTAAACATGTTAAAGAGACAATTCACGTAAAATCCAGTGCCCCATTTAAAGAGTTACCTACCCGATTCGGAAACGTCCCCTTTAACCCTGTATATAATAAAAAAGATGGAGATCTCATTGTTTTTCTTTGAAAAATTATTAATTTTCAATTGCAGTTTCTGAAAAAATGTGACTTGCAGAGGAAGACTTGCAAAGTAGAAAATTGATAGAATTTATGTGTTTTCAAGATAAAATAATGACATCTTCCTCAGATGAAAGCTTACAGTCATAAATGTGACAAAAAATGTCTATATTTTTATTGTTAAAACGAACACATGATTTAATTGTTTGTTTAGATCTTCCGCCGATTGAAATCCCGGATATAATAGCGGATGGAAAATTCGCCTTTTTCAAGGTTATATAAAACATTTTATTAATTGAATAAATTAAAATTTTAAATGAAATTGATTTTATTACTTCCACAAATCAAATAATATATGTTCTAGGGTAAGAATGGCACAGCAGATAATGGATGGTACAAAATTAATTCTGGAATTTATGATATCAGCAAAGTAGGATATTTGTATAATGACATCTTATAGTAAATGAATATATACATTTGCTTCGAAGCGAATAATAATGTACAGACTTATCTATATATTTTAAATGAAAAGTTATTTTTTTGTATATTTTTTAGGACGTTTAAAGCTAAATTTTTTAAAGGGATTGGACAAGTAATTTTAAATGACAATCCATTTAAAATGGCCTAGCTCCCACGACATTTTAAACCTTCGTCTGATCAAAAATATCGTCGTTTTCCAAAACAAAACATTTTAAAATTGTGGTTTCTCTACAAAAATGACTTGTGGATTTTATGCAGAAGAGACATAAAATTTAGTTAATAGGATTCAGCATTTTTTAACATTTAACAACGACACTATCTTCCCCTTAGTTGCGGAGACAAAAATTTGAAGGGTACAGTTGTGAATCAGGCATGTCACCTCTAAAGGAAGGGTCACCTCTAGGTTTACTGGGTTCCTTTTAACCATTGACTGAGTTTTAAACAGTTTCCCTGAGATCTTGAAATGTCCAAACTACAGAGCAATTCTGTCATCTTCATTCTTTCATTTTCTGTTTGATTTATTTCAATTTATCTATATTTTCTTTATTTAGTATCAGAAGATCCAGGAATACAATGGTTTAGATCGTCTACCTGAATCTTGGTGGGGAACCTTGGCCAGTACTCCTAGTGCTAACAGGTAACCCTGGCCAGTACTCAAAGACTCACCAACGGTTAGGTTATCATAAAGTTTGCAGCCGCAGCGCCCAGCCCTAGCCTGTCAGAGTTGCAACGCTAAGCCTCCTTGTCTGTCTTAGCCTCAGCGCTAGGCCTCCTTGTCTGTCATAGCCTCAGTGCTTCGCTGTCCTTTAGTTTAATTAAAATAATTTCTCTTTTAAACTATTGTTAATTTAAAAGTTAGTCAAAATAAAAAATTTGTCCAAACAATCGATTATAAGTTCTATTATGGATGAGCCAGAGTTATAACATTTAGAAAAAATGTATTAAAAAAGTGTTCCAAGGAGCTTATTTTAGATCTGGTGTTACTGGTTACTGCCATGAGTTGGTTGGAACAGATGGTACACAGTATCCACCCTTTGTATCAATGGTAAAATTTATTTTTATTTTTAAACACGGGTAACAAACATTGCATATTTTATACCAATCAACTTGAATTGAATATCTGGCGGTCAAGGAATCTTGTTTTCAGAACTAACCTGCTACTTTTAAAAAGAATCAGAAAATAGGTTTATCATTTTAGACAGTTTTGTTTATTATACATTTCCAGGATAATGATATATGGCTCTTCAGCTCTGATCTGTGTAGATCTATCTATTTATCCTTCTATGAAGAGCATGATATGGACGGGATCAACACTTATCAATTTAGGTCAAAATTCAAATACAATATAGAGGGTTCCCAGAAAGAATGAGACTTTAAAGTGACCGTATCACTCGTCTCTGAAGTGAAACTGTCTGTTATGGAAGTTTTGCAGAAATTGAATTTTTAAAATACTAATGACATAAAGTTTTGATACTAAAAATGGTTTGATTTAAACACTGATATTTTTACAGTTAGGCCCTTCATGTTTCATGTTTAATGGAATTCTTCCTGTTTTTAGGGTAAAGAAAGAAGTTCTGAGTTTTGATAATCCTGACAACGCGTGTTTCTGCCCCAATGTTGAGGAATGCGTAGAAGTGGTATTAATCATTGATACATACATTTGCTTTGTCTTCTGTTTTGTTTGTAAATTTATTGGTCTCACACGTTGGGGTTATTTTGTTCAATTTCATGTTTTGTAGACTTAGAATCTTGCTAACAGATCTAATTTTCTAGTCCTTTTATATATGCAACCGAAGTCGTAGACGTTTTGGATATTTCAAAACACTAGGTGTCATTGTCAAAATTTGAAATATCAGGTTGACACCATCAGGTTGCAAAGATGTTTAAGGGTTTGTAAGCTAAAAGTTGATGCAAGTGTTCAATTCATTTAAAGCTCAGTTTTTTTTTGACCTTGAACAAACAGAGAATATAAAAGCAACGTCGTCACTTCCCTCTTTACAAGCTCATTGATTCAAGGAAAAGATAACAATATGATAAAATGCATAAATGCAAACATGAGAGATAAGAAAAATAAGAGATAAGAACAATGAGAATTAAATGGAATTTTTTTTGTTACAATCTCTGATTTTTTACAATGTATATTTTTGCGACCCGAAGCTTAAAATTTCAAAGATCTACACAACCAGGTTGCAAATTTTTAGGGATAAGAAAATATAAGTTTTTATATCCATAAATACCTTTAAAATTTTTATTGATTATCAAGAAATATTATTGCTGGACACATATGTAATATAAATATTCGACAAAACCCTATTGCTAATTTAACAGAAAGTAACAATCATCTAACCCTTAGACTGTTATTGAGCCGTATACAACAAACTTAGTTGATTTCTTAAAATCAAAATATGTGTTAAAGTGTGAATTTTATATATTAGGTGAATTAGCATTCTAATAGGAAAGAAGTATGTTAAATAATTAAACGAATATATTTTAGACTGAGGATAAGGAAACGAATATATTTTAGACTAAGGATAAGGAAACGAATATATTTTAGACTGAGGATAAGAAAACGAATATATTTTAGACTGAGGATAAGGAAACGAATATATTTTAGACTGAGGATAAGGAAACGAATATATTTTAGACTGAGGATAAGGAAACGAACATATTTTAGACTGAGGATAAGGAAACAAATATATTTTAGACTGAGGATAAGGAAGAATGGGATTTTTCTAATTGTACTCACTGTAAAAATGGAATGCTGAACCTAATGGGCTGCCAGGGTGAGTCATTATTTATTAAAAATCTAAAATTCCGATGACGAAGTAAATCGAAGCATTTTAATGAATCTATTATAATCTAAATATCATTATAAAGTTTGTAGATTTACAACCACGCAAGGACATCAGATATATTTATAGACGTGGTCTTTTGACTGCTCAGCATTATGTTTTAATTGAATATTAAACTAGGAGCTCCTGTTATAATCTCCTTACCTCACTTCCTTGATGCAGATCAAGATGTTGTTGATGCTATTCAAGGAAACTATCATCTTTATTCACATTTTCTTAATCAAATCTTTATTTACATTATGTCATTTCAATCTTTATTTACATTGTCTTGTCTCAATCCAATCTTTATTCACAATGTCTCAATCCAATCTTTATTCACATTGTCTCAATCCAATCTTTATTCACAATGTCTCAATCCAATCTTTATTTACATTGTATCATTCCAATTTTTATTCACATTGTCTATCCAATCTTTTTTTACATTGTATCATTTCAATCTTTATTTACATTATATCATTCCAATTTTTGTTCACATTGTCTCAATCCAATCTTTATTCACATTGTCTCAATCCAATCTTTATTCACATTGTATCATTCCAATCCTTATTTACATTGTATCATTCCAATCTTTATTCACATTGTATCATACCAATCTTTATTCACATTGTATCTTTCCAATCTTTATTCACATTGTCTCAATTCAATCTTCATTCACATTTTATCATTCCAATCTTTATTTACAGGTTATACTTATTTACATTGTCTTAATCCAATCTTTATTTACATTGTCTCAATCCAATCTTTATTTACATTCATTTTATTCAATCTGTATTTACATTTTATATCATTCCAATCTTTATTTACATTGGTTCTATTCAATCTTTATTTACATTGTCTCATTCAAATCTTTATTTACATTGTATCATTCCAATCTTTATTTACATTGTCTTAATCCAATCTTTATTCACATTGTCTCGATCCAATCTTTATTCACATTGTCTCAATCCAATCTTTATTCACATTGTCTCAATCCAATCTTTATTTACATTGTCTCAATCCAATCTTTATTTACATTCATTCTATCCAATCTGTATTTTCATTTTATATCATTCCAATCTTTATTTACATAATATTATTCCAATTTGTATTTACATTATAGTTTTCCAATCTATATTTACATTGGTTCTATCCAATCTTTATTTACATTGTCTCATTCCAATCTTTATTTGCATTTGTCCCTTCAATTTTTATTAACATTGTATCAATCTTAACTTAACTGAAGAATACGTTCTTCTCTAGTTTTCAATACAATTACAGAATTTAAATTTAAAGAACAAAATCCAAATTTTGCTGATAATATGTCGATGAAACCATACCATTAAAACGAAATGTTTTTTAAAATGATGGTATGGTATAGGCATGAACCCGAACCCTGATTTACACACAACCTTTCTGAACATTGAACCTCTGACAGGTTATTATTTTGTGAATAGAGTTTAAAATATTAAATATTTTTATTGATTTATCATACAACTAGCAAGGAACCCAGCATTGCCCAGGTTTCTCACAGTCCTAGTCACTCCCGCCGTTTTCCCGCACTTGGTCGATTTTACCGGAAAACTAAATATTTGCTTATATAGTCGATCAACTCAACAATTATACCCTCAAAACCAAGCTACGAACATTCCAGTGGGTCTTCATAGTTCCCCGATCAAAATTTGAGGCAAATCAGTCGAGATATTTTTGAGTTATGATCGGACAAACAAACAGACAGACAAACAGAGATTAAAACATTATATTGATGACAACAAATACTCGATCTAGAAATAAAAAGTTTTAATATTTAAAAAATGAAACCTAAGCAATAATGTTGTTTATCTAGCCGAAGCAGAAATGAACAAGTCACTTCAAAGATAAACCATTTCCAAGATAAACCATTTCCAATGAGAAAATTATTGATCCATCTCCTACATGTTGATCAGACACAGTTTAAAGGGGAAATTATTGATCCATCTCCTACATTCTTGATCAGACACAGTTTAAAGGGGAAATTATTGATCCATCTCCTACATTCTTGATCAGACACAGTTTAAAGGGGAAATTATTGATCCATCTCCTACATTCTTGATCAGACACAGTTTAAAGGGGAAATTAAGTCTTTGGAAATTTCATTTACGATCCCTGTAAAGAAAAAAAAATGCAGCAAACAAACCCATTTTTATTAAATTACGAAATTGTATGTTCAGGAGTTTCACTAGACGCTCACAAGAGAATTCAAGTAAATGTTCCTCTGAAGCAAAATGATGCAATGACCTTACTCAAGAATGTGAGAGAGGTAAAATAAATCAATGTAAATGTAAATGTCTATAGACTGAAATATTTCAATCTGTTCCTAAACTTTAAATTAGTTTATAGAAGCGGTTTTGTTACATTTTTCATCCTGGTTATAAAATAAATTTTAAACATTTGAATATTGAGAGCAAACCTCCGGCCCTGAGTCCAGAATGATCCCTCTTTGTAATTTTAAAAGAGTGAATTTTCGGTCTTATGCAAAAGGTTGACAATAAATCATGATAATTTCTATATAATACCTGCACTCCTAGTTCAACTACCATGCTTAGCCAGTCACTTCCTTTAGACTGGTTTCTAATTGAATGAATGCTCCAGGCTATTTTCCCTGTGGTTTGGGTAGATGAAGGAGCAACCCTTGATGGAGAGAACTTGGATAAACTCAAGGCACAGCTGGTAAGTTGGACACATATAATTTAGAGTACCGAAATTATAGATTCTTTCATATGTACACTATACAGGGTTAACCACAAGAATGAGACGACTGTCTTGCATCCCTATATTCATAATACCCTGGGCATCTGTAAACTTGTTTCTTTCTTTTCCAAATCATGAAACAAACCACTAAAAGGCTAAATTTAAGGCAGAAGTCTCAATTTAACTTAGAGTCGTCATATTAAGAACTTCATGTCGTCTCTAAGTCTCATTTTTTATTAATAACCCTGTAAATGAAATATTTAATTCGACAATTTCTAATTATTTTAGAATAAATTTGGTTCCGTAAAAGCCTTATAGGGAACATTTTCTGAAGCTGTTAAAAATGATTAACGATTAATAATACTTGGAAAATGATGGCGGAACCTTTCTTGACCGATTTTTCTCTACCCCGAAAATACAACATAGAGCTTGGAGTGACATGGTGACATGGTGACATGGTGACATGGTGACATGGTGACATGCCTTCCGGAACGTTTATTCCATGTACTGAATTAATCCGACATAATCGTCCAATAAACTTTTTTCATCATTTCACACCTAGCTCTGCGTGTAGCGTCTATAAGAGTTAAATTTATTCATAATTCTATTAAGAAAGGTTACACTATACCGAAATAGTTCTGTAAGGAATTTACGGATCTGTAAAAAAAGTAAACCCTACGAAAAACATTAATATTTCGCATATAGTTTTAAATATCATATACATTGCTTATTGCTCAGTGTTGTTCCTCATAAGAAATGTATCATTTACTCTCAGTCAAATTAGAATCAATGGAAATTTAAACCCCCCAAAGGAATCAAGGATAAACCCGAGGGCTGCATGCAGTAAATGACATTCCTTTGTAAAATATTGTAAAATATATGTAAATAATAAGTTGATTAAAAGGGGCTGGATTAAATGAAAATTGTTGCATACCAAAAAACCAGCTTTTATAAATGAATGGTTATTTACGTGTTTGTTTCCAACAAGTTAAAAATCCCTTGAAGAAAAAAGTTTTAAAATAATCAAAGTCTTGAATTTTTAGGTGACTCCTTTTAAAGCTGTTGATATCGGAGTTGGATTTATGATTGGACTTGGAGCTATAATTATTATTGTTATATCTCTCATTTCTCTTTTATGCGGAAAAAAATAAACTAAATAGTTTCAAAATTAAACAAAAGAAATTCACCTGATCAAAAGAAAACTTTTATGAAGAAAATACCTTTTAAGCGAGCAATCTTAAATAATCTAGTGCGTTTTAAGTTTACATACACATTTTTATATACATAGCGGGGACCCGTTGCAAAGGGGGGGGGGCGGGCAGGGGCACGTTCCAATTAAAGGATGCCCCCCCCTACACTAAAACTCTCGTACGCCCCTGAAAGGTGGATTCATGGGGCAGATTATCTGAGACAAGATGAACAATTATACGGAGAAAAGAAAAGAGAAGGAAAAGGAAAGAAAGGATTTACGAGTCACCCAAAACAAATTGTTCAAGCATTTTTTCTGTTCATCAAATTTTATAAAGGAATGGAGTCTTTGTCACAAACTCTGATTTTATAATCCCTATACCTTAGCTGCACCCAATGGCGTATATGTTTCAAATTAAGAATTCTGTCAGATCAAATAATTTAAGTTTGAAATATCTGCAAATGTTTACGCCATCAGATCACACAGATATTGGGGTTAGAACATTTGAGTTTGTGACAAAGACTCAATTCCTTTAGTCATTTGAGTTGAGTAGGGTTTCCACGAAATGGCTAAATCTTTTGCGCAAAATTTGCGATATTTTCGTGCAAAATTTTTTTTTGGCGAACTTTTGCGCTATTTTTGCGCATGAAACGCAATGAGTTTTGCGCTATTTTTTTGCGCAATTTGCGCAAAACCGGAAATATTTTTTGCGAAAGTTGCAAATGAAACGAAATTTTAGTTTGCGCAATTTGCGCAAAACCGCAAGTTTTAAGCAAAATGTAACTTTATAGGCAAATTGTCAAAAATTGATATTCTAAGCTAAAATTAAACAACTGAAGATTTATTCCATACATAAAAAAAAATATTAACATACCAGTATTATAAAGATTATACTACACTCAATTAGTTACTTCCAGTTACAAAAAGTTTAAATTAAGGGACCAAAATTAATAAAATAGAAATTAGAGAGTGTGAAACTTGGCAATATTTTAATCCTATTAAATAATTTCAAGTGACCCTTAAAAGCTTTGCCTAATCAAGTATGAATTATATTCTTAAATTTTTTAATCAATTCTTAAATCTTTTTAATCTCGAAGAAAATAATGAAAGAAAGTAACCAATGCGTGAAGAATCCAATTTAAGGAAAAAAGCATGTCCAAAACTAAAATTGTCGAGAAAATTGTAAGATTTTTTTTTGTAAAAGCATGACCAATAGGAAGATTTTTCCAGAATTGAATTCTAAGAAACACACACCGTCCCCAACCGTTTGATTTTTACGAAATTGCGAAATTGCGCAATACTCTAGTTGGGGAATTGCGCAAAACTTGAGTTTCGCAAAAGCGGAATAGGGCAATTTTGCGCGAAATGACTTTTGCGAATTATTGCGCAAATTGTTGTTTTTCCGCGCAAAACTTATACGCAAAAAAAAATTTGCGTTTCGTTCCGCTAAATTGCGCAAAAGTTTTGCGAATGGAAACCCTAGAGTTGAGTGATCAGTTCATGAAATAATAGTTTATTTTTTATCGTAGGCTCGTATAGAAACATACGAAATTTTTATGTAGGGTGGGGAGAGGGAGATGAAACGCGCAGAAAGGAATTTCGATTCTTTGCCACAAATTCAATTTTTGTAAGCCTTATATCTTTTCAACCTTTGATATTTCAAACTTCCATTTTTTGATCTATCATCATTCATAGTTTGAAATATTAAAGGTCTACGACAATTGGGTTGCAATGATATTGAAATTAGAAATTAGAGTTTGTGGCGAAAATTCAATTCCTTTGTTATCCGCATTGCCCCCCCCCCCAAAAAAAAATATCGAATACTGAATAAAAACTATAAGCAGAAGCCCAAAGGGTTACGCGCATGCCGCGTAGTGCTATAGAACTAGAGATAGAAAAAGGGTAATGTTACAACGTCTATACGCAACATCCTCTATACTGAACTTCCGACCTACTAACTTTCTGACCTATTGCAATATCCGACCTACGACAGCTGTAGGTCGGTTGCACATTTTAATTTTTTTATCCGACCTACAGGCATGATTGAGGTCTAGTCATGTGCATGGAGCGAGGTCAGATGTACACTTTTTGTAGGTCGGAATACTCAATTTTTGTAGGTCGGATGTGCACTTTTTGTAGGTCGGATGTACTGTTTGTAGGTCGGGTGTATACAGTTTGTAGGTCAGATGTACACTTTTTGTAGGTCGGATGTACACTTTTTGTAGGTCGGATGTACACTTTTTGTAGGTCGGATGTACACTTTTTGTAGGTCGGATGTACTCTTTTTGTAGGTCTGATGTACACTTTTTGTAGGTCGGATGTACACACTTTTTGTAGGTCGGATGTACACTTTTTGTAGGTCGGATAAACTGTTTGTAGGTCGGATGTACACTGTTTGTAGGTTGGATGTACACTTTTTGTAGGTCGGATGTACACTTTTGTAGGTCGGATGTACACTATTGTAGGTCGGTTGTACACTTTTTGTAGGTCAGATATATTCTTTTTGTAGATCGGATGTACACTTTTTGTAGGTCGGATATTCTCTTTTTGTAGGTCGGATGTACACTTTTTGTAGGTCGGATGTACACTTTTTGTAGATCGGATGTACACTTTTTGTAGGTCGGATGTACACTTTTTGTACTACACGTGGTACCCATGAGATAGTTCAAACAACCAACATCAAACAATTTTGTTTCATTTTCATTTGAACTTTTTTTTTGTTCATTTAACTACTTTTCATTTGAACCCCAAATTACCTGTAAAAATAGTTCAAATGAACATAAAAATAGTTCCAATGAACAAAAAATATTTAAAATTAATAAAAACTGTTCAAATGAACATAAATATAGTTCAATTGAACAAAAAAATAGTTAAAATGAATAAAAATAGTTAAAATAAAAAAATAGCTCAAATGAACATAAAAATTGCTCAAATTAACATAAAAATAGTTCAAAAATAATTAAAAAACCAAAAAAAAGATGTTTTTAAAATAAATTCAAATAAATTTATGAGTCTAAATGAAAAATAGTTTGTAGGAACAAAAAAATTTGTAGACTATTATTTTGTTCATTTGAACTAATTTTATGTTCAAATTTGATCTAAAATGCAGCCGCGCTCGCTCAGAAATTGTCTAAAACTTGGCCTAACCCTGAAATAATACACATTTGAGCTATTTTTATGTTCATTTAAACTACTACCCAACAAACAAAAACCCGTGAAGAACACAAGATTATTTGGTGTATTTCACACAAGTGACCCGTCAATATCTCGTGATAATTCACGTGTTGTCAAGGTGAATGTCGACGATTTGATCACAGGTCTAGGACGAGGGAGGGAGTCCAGAGTTCCTCAAATAGTAATCACCGCCACCCAAATCTGTTTTGCGGCAAGCGCGCTCCTCAATTGGTAATCTCCACCACCTCAAATAGTGATCACCCCAAAAAAGCATAAAATTAAATCGTTTATTTCTTAGAAATAAGACCATATTGACCTATTTTAATGGCCCTATGGTGTACAATATTGTTAAAGCTTTCTTTATTGCTCATTAGTTTCGAAAATAAATCAATAAATATGCCACACTAAGTGCTAGAAATATATTACGTTTTTTAGTTTCAAGTTTCGCTTTAAGAATATTTGCGACATTTTCCTCTGAATGTTGTTTTAAACTCCTTATATAGAGAGGAAACTTTAACCCATTATTTGTGGACTAAATACTTCATTTTTAGTAGTGGGTGTGATGAGACTAATTTTTCAAAATTTTATGTTCTTTCTATGCATATAATTAGTTTTGTTGTAGATGTTGAACTCAAGTAGGCGAATAAAAAAATCTAAAAACTGTAAAGGTTTTTTGAAAATATCTTTTAAATGGAGATGGATATTACTTTGGTTGGGATGAGATAATTTTTAGTAAATTTTAAGTACTTTCTATGCATATAATTAGTTTTGTTGTGGATGTTGAACTCGAGTTGGCTAATACAAAAATCTAAACACTGTAAAGGTTTTTTGAAAATATCCTTTAAATGGAGATGGATATTACTTTGTGTGCGATGAGATAATTTTTAGTAAACAGGCAGCCCAACCTTTTTTGTATCTTGACGCCAATCATAAAATGCAGTCATTAAAGTGGCCAATTGGATCTAAGATTCGGTTAAAATGAACTGTGCCTTGATTCTCAGTTTTTGTTGACCAAAAAAATCTGAAAATAATTTGAAAATTTAGTTTAAGTCAATACAGATGCCATAAAACCCCGCGCGATAGATGTCGAAAATTGTGTTAAAAGTGCATTAAATTCAAATCACATAAAACAAAATTTTATGGTGATTACTATTTGAGGTGGTGGAGATTACCAATTGAGGAGCGCGCTTGCCGCGAAACAGATTTGGGGAACTCTGGACTCCCTCCCTCCTAGGACCGAGTTTTTACACGGTGAAAACCTGAGTTTATTTCACAAGATGAACATAGGATTTTTACATGAGGAAACTATTTTTCTCCCATCCCATCTACTTAAATTACATTTTTTAAACCCCACGGGAAAGGGGGGGATATATAATTAATTTCTGATATATAAATATATTATAAAATTACAAAATGTTTAGAAACTAAACATTTTAGTTTATACATTAAACATCTTGAACAAACTTTAAACTATTCTTATCACAAAGTGATATTTCAAGTCTAAATAATGTTCAGTTATGTTAATGTTTTCATACTTATAAGAATGCTTCTTCCTATATATATCTAAAAGGTCGATATTCCAAAAAGGGGTTGTTGAAAAATACAATACAAAATTCAATGTGAAACTTTTCTATACTCTGCTCATGCCTCTTATAATCTGAAAAATTTATGTCAGTTAAAATATTTCATTTTACTACAATAAACTTTTAGTTTCTAAAAGATGAGCAGAGACCCCAAGTGATGTGATTTTGCAACTCTATTAAACATGAAACATGTTGTTCTTCCCGTGATATTTACGAGAATTAAAATCTAAAAATTCTGGCATTGCATTACTTGAGTTTAAAACGATAGGATTAATATGCATGCTCTTGCACTGATTTATTTTCCTACGTCTACAACATGATATTATGTATATTATTAACATGTATTATTTCAGGGTTAGGTTAGGTTAAGACAATTTCTGAGGGAGCGCGGCTGCTTTTAGTTCAAATTTGAACATAAAAAAAAGTTCAAATGAACAAAAAAATAGTCTACAAATTTTTTTGTTCCTGCAAACTATTTTTCATTTTGACTTATGAATTTATTTGAATTTATGTTAAAAACATCTATGTTTAAGTGTAAATCCAACCTACAATCCATGACCATCCGACCTACAAAAGTGTACATCCGACCTACAAATGCATATATCCGACCTACAAAAGTGTAAATCCGACCTACAATCGATGACCATCCGACCTACAAATTCATATATCCGACCTACACAAGTGCATAAATCCGACAATCAATGACCATCCGACCTACAAATGTGTACATCCGACCTACAAATGCATATATCCGACATACAAAAGTGTAAATACGACCTACAATCGATGACCATCCGACCTACAAATGTGTGCATCCGACCTACAAATGCATCCGACCTACAAAAGTGTAAATCCGACCTACAATTAACGACCATCCGACCTAAAAATGTGTACATCCGACCTACAAATGCATATATATCCGACCTACAAAAGTGTAAATCCGACCTATAATCGATGACCATCCGACCTACAAATGTGTACATCCGACCATATTATGATATATCAGACCTACAAAAGTGTAAATCCTACCTACGATTGATGACCATCCGACCTTCAAATGTGTACATCCGACCTACAAATGCATATATATCCGACCTACAAAAGTGTAAATCCGACCTACAATCGATGACCATCCGCTACAAATGTGTACATCCGATCGACCTACAAATGCATATATCCGACCTACAAAAGTGTAAATTCGACCTACAATCAATGACCATCCGACCTACAAATGTGTACATCCGACCTACAGTAGGTCGGATCAAACAAAAGTTTTTTTAATTACGGTGCAACTGATCCCTATAGTTTAACAGACTATACAGCAGCTAAAAAGCAGCTGGAAAACCACGTGCAAGTAGGTCATAAGTGTAATATAGAGGATATGCGTAGGTCGAAAAATACACCACTCAACTAAACTTAAATTCTATGAGAAGAAAAAAGGACAACGGTCCAGAAAAGAATTGACCTTTAAAGTTTCTGTTGTGCAAAACAAGTATATAGGAGTACAATTATAATCTATAATAAGCTCTTCGTTCATTTATATGTGTAATAGCAATGAATGCTAGTGGAGGGCACTGCCCCCTTTCCCCCTGCATACGCCCTTGCCCTCCCCTTTAGTTACTTCTGACTCGTGAGTCTCGTAGGTCGGTTGATTTTGATTTTGATGAAATCTCAACGAAAGGCGACATTTTAACGTTTCCCCGAAATATCAGCTGAGAGGTATGATGTAACTACTGTTTCAAAACAAAATCAGCTGTTACCGTAAAATCTACATGGATATTCGGTTGAGAAAATAATAATTTAATTATTAATATCCGAGACCGACATCCGTCGCATGGGTCGTGTAACTGAAAAATGTAAAAAACGTCCTTAATCGATCTTTAGAATAATAAAATAGTTTTTCTCTGATACAAAAATGAGTTTGATTCAAAGAGCTATTGCTCAAAAAATATGCAGGTACGGTTAATATCCACCCAGCCCAGAAAGTGTCTAAACTTAACCTAAACCGCGGCCGCAGTGCTCGGCCCCCTAGCCTGCCCTAGCCGCAGCGCTCTGCCCAGAAAGTGTCTTAACCTAAAATAACCCTAAATAAATACTAATTCAATTGAAAATTTTTGAAAAGTGGATAGGAGGGGGGGGGGGGTCCAAAAATCGTTCTCTAGGACGGACCCCGTTTATTAAAAATTGGAAAGGTGCTTAGGGGTGGGTATACAGGCAAACAGGGTGCTCAGCCTCCCCCAAATAAATAATATTTAAAGTGCCTCTCATGTGCTATCTAAATTCAGGGGACATTAGTTCCTAACCTAACACTTGGCCCATTTCTAACACTGAGTGTTAGAAAAGGGCACAAATTGAAAGTCTGGGTGTTTGGGATCCCGGCCCATACCCAGATTAAAAGTCGATGATAAAAACTATATAAGCAACATTTTATAAAACATGAAGAGGACATCATATTCCCAATCTTAAGCTTTTTTAAAAACCAAATTTATAATAGGAGTTCTTTTTATATTAAAGCTCTTGACCGTTTTCAAGACAATGCCATGTCAGGTTTTCTATTTTCGAACATATCCTGAATTTAAACATTGTCGCGTTTTCGAGACAAAACCCACCCGTTTTTGTATATAATCTGCAATTCAAAACAAAACATACTATCATAATTGACAAAATAAATCACTGAAAACAAAAATTATCTTATGAAGACTAAATTAACTCCTGAATTATTTCTAGAATCTAAATTTCCACATTTTATCTGTTAAATCTTTATCGATGAATTTATTTTCAAGCATGTTAAACAAACAGTTTCCTGCATTTCTAGCTAAATCTATATTGTAAGAACAAAAGATATTAATATTTTGATTTCTGAATGCTGTGATGATTCTCAAATTTTAAAAGAACAGTGTGTTTTTATTTTCTATTTTTTTAATATTTTACATAATAAAAAAATCTTGTTTTGTTACGCAAGTGCGTAAAATGGACATTGATATGAATTCCTGTAATTGTCTCAAAACCAGGATATGTTCCGAAAACGCTAGATGAGGTGAAATGCTGTAATTGTTTCAAAATAGGGATATGTTCGAAAATGAAGTCAAGAATCATCAAAAACTAATTCTCACACCTTATTATTAGTTTTAAATTGACATTTATTGTTTCAATATATAGTTTCAGCCATTTTTTTATAAACAAATGGTGTAATTTTGTTCTACTCGTCCAGGATTTAAAGAAAAAGAAAAAGATAACTTTGCAGATTTGGCTCACTGAGTGTTAGAAATGGGCTATAGTGCTAGTTTGGAACTAATATCCCCTGAAATTCTAACAATTAACCTCTTAATATACAGGGTTGCCCACTAAGGATGAAACCTCTTGAGACGACTGTACAGAATGTGTTCTATCTGTTTACTAATATTAATGATTCCCTAAAACTGTAAACTTCTTTCTTTCTTTTCCTTTTCATTAAATAAGTTCTAAAAAGATTTTTTTTCAAGACAGAAAACTTAATTTAACTTTGTAATCATTACATTAAAAGAGTTTCAGGTCGTCTTTACAGTCTCATCTTCTGTTCCGTCCTGCTGCCACCTATCTTACCATGCCATATGTGATACATTATACACAAAACAAAATTAAGATTTCTTTTTCAAATTTATCCAGGATATGCATTATTCTTTTAAATACAAAATATTGTCTTATTCGATATATATATTCGATATATATTCGATATACATTGGATATATTATCGATAAATATTCGATATATAATCGATAAATATTCGATATATATTCGATCTCATGTAGTAGGTTTGCCTGTAAAAGCATAAACAACCTTAAATTCTTCCATGCATCACCCTGTTCCTGGAACTCTGGTAAATTCAAGAAAATTAAGGTAAATAGTTAAGAAATTTTAAGTAAACAAAAAATAACGGCTTTTAGGTAAACTTTAGAAAATATTGATAGTTAAGATGAATTTAGAGAAGTTAGGATGAATTTAGAGAAGTTGAGATGAATTTAGAGAAATTGAGATGAATTTAGAGAAATTGAGATGAATTTAGAGAAGTTGAGATGAATTTAGAGATGCATTTAGAGAAGTCGAGATGAATTTAGATAAGTTGAGATGAATTTAGAGAAATTGAGACGAATTTAGAGAAGTTAAGATGAATTTAGAGAAGTTGAGATAAATATAGAAAGTTGAGATGAATTTAGAGAAGTTGAGATGAATTTAGATAAGTTGAGATGAATTTAGATAAGTTGAGATAAGTTTAGAAAGATGAGATGAAATTAGAGAAGTTTAGGTGAATTTATAGAGGTTGAGATGGATTTAGAGAAGTTTAGATGAATTTAGAGAAGTTGAAATGAATTTAGCGAAGTTGAAATGAATTTAGCGAAGTTGAAATGAATTTAGAGAAGTTGAAATGAATTTAGAGAAGTTGAAATGAATTTAGCAAAGTTGAAATGAATTTAGCGAAGTTGAGATGAATTTAGAGAAGTTGAAATGAATTTAGAGAAGTTATGATGAATTTAGAGAAGTTGAGATGAATTTAGAGAAGTTGAGATGAATTTAGAGAAGTTATGATGAATATAGAGAAGTTGAGATGAATCTAGAGAAGTTGAGATGAATTTAGAGAAGTTATGATGAATACAGAGAAGTTGAGATGAATTTAGAGAAATTATGATGAATATAGAGAAGTTGAGATGAATTTAGAGAAGTTGAGATAAATTTAGAGAAGTTGAAATGAATTTAGAGAAGTTGAGATGAATTTCGAGAAGTTGAGATGAATTTTGAGAAGTTGAGATGAATTTAGAGTAGAGAAGTTGAGATGAATTTAGAGAAGTTGAGATGAATATAGAGAAGTTATGATGAATACAGAGAAGTAGAGATGAATTTAGAGAAGTTGAGATGAATTTAGAGTAGAGAAGTTAAGATGAAGTTAGAGAAGTTGAGATGAATTTAGAGAAGTTGAGATGAATTTAGAGAAGTTAAGATGAATACAGAGAAGTTGAGATGAATTTAGAGAATTTGAGATGAATTTAGAGTAGAGAAGTTGAGATGAAGTTAGAGAAGTTGAGATGAATTCAGAGAAGTTATGATGAATATAGAGAAGTTGAGAAGAATTTAGCGAAGTTGAGATGAATTTAGAGAAGTTGAAATGAATTTAGCGAAGTTGAGATGAATTAAGATAAGTTGAGATAAATTTAGAAAGTTGAGATGAAATTAGAGAAGTTTCGGTGAATTTTCAGAAGTTGAGATGAATTTAGAGAAGTTTAGATGAATTTAGAGAAGTTCATATGAATTTAGAGAAGTTGAGATGAATTTAGAAAATTTTAGGTGAATTTACAGAAGTCGAGTTTAAGAATAGAGAAAGAAATACAAAAATTGGCCACCCTCTGGACAAATTCCTGATGCGCCCTTGGACGAACGCTTACAACTGTGGAAGATGAAGACAACCTTTATACTCAAGTTTTGATTTTAAAAAGTCCATTGAACAAAAATTACCGCAATTGTGCAGTGCACCAGACCTTGGCTAGTTTCATTGAACAAGTTGATTTTTAAGCGAAGTTGCTTTAAGGTATTGTGGCCCTGCTGGTTCAGCATTGTTCTTATCGGTTCTGGTCGGACGCTACCTGTCTGGGTTGCCCGAACTTCCTGTAGATCTCATCTCTTATTACTCTTTTTACATTGATTAGTTGATTTGTCCACCTATTCGACATTTGCATGGGTCCCACTGTATAATATTTACAAAATCCTATATATCTATTTAGGGACATCCAGATTCTTACTTCCAAAGAAAATCTGTAGTTGAGCCGGAAACTAATCCAAACTTCCTCTTCAGTAGAGAATACTTAGGTTAAGTACAATTTATAATTAAAATAAAACCAATGAAATAACAGATTTATAAATACAATACTGGATTAATATGAGAATTAATATTTGACATCAAAATCGTCTTTGATTTTCGATAGTTGATGAATGACAAAATGTGTATAAAAATGTCCTTTGATCGTTTTATAATGACAGAGATATTAGTTGTTTCGATAATTTTTAATTTAATTTGATAAATAGTGGGTTTCAAAGTTAATGTTTTATCTGGTATACTACTGAATTTGTGTTTACGATTTAATTCGCTGGAATTAAGAAGATATAAGGATTGTCACTTAAAGGGACTGTAAAGGAAAAATTAAAGGGGGTATAGGCTGAAACCTGAGAATCTCAGGAGTTGGTTGAGACCTATGTACTTCACTTCGTTATCAAGGATTCTATAAGTTGGTTTGTCATGTAGTGAAATTAAAACTATATATATATATATATTAGTTTTAATTTTATTTAATATATATATATAAATAGATGGCGTTTTTTCTGTGAATATTTTTTAAAAATTCTTTTTGTTTACAGATAGAAGCATGGAAAAGATACACTCTAGGTAACACATTTTATATATTAGAAATACTTAAGGTGTTCATAATCCATGATTAAAAAAAATCATAGATGAAAATAAGAAATTAATTCACTAATTTATTTTGATTACAATCTTAAAAGGAAATTACAAATTAATGTCAGGTAACGGGGCAATATTAGATATGTTAGGTATGTTGTTTTGGAACATTTAAAAATCAGTTGAAAGTTTTTATTTCAATAATTTTTTTTTATTTTTGTAGTGAAAGTCGAGGATTCTACAGTTTTCTAAACAACAGAAGGTGTTCATTGACGGAGGAGGAGGTCGGACTCAGGGAAAACGTCACCAGGTTTTTAGATATATTTTTTCGGAGGAAGGGGGGGCTGGGGAGGATATGAGCGGATAGGAGAGGGGGGTTTCTACTCTACAAATATCTAACTTTTTTTAATAATAGGTCAATTGTTAATCATAATACCCCAACAAATATTTACCAATTTTAATTATAGCTTGACATTGAAAAAGGGAATCTCCTAAATACACGAGACTGTTCATTTTAAAACCACGTCATGATTTTGTATTAAATTGTTAATTTCATGTAAATTACAGTTTAATTTTATATCTATGCTGGTCAAACTTAAATTCCTAAAATTTTTTCTTTACTTATTTGGAAAATTCGATAAAAAATTTCTTTACAATGATACCCTATGATTAAAGAGGAATTAGGAAAGAATATGTGTGATGTTAATAATTTTTTTTCTAGAGACTGGAATCATATCAGTGATACTATACAGGTGATTTTATGTCAAAAAATAACTGAATTTTCCCTGTATTTTTGGCTAAATATTGAATCTGTTTAAAACAAAACACAAAAAAAAATTTTCTTTAAAAAGTTAAGTTTTACTTGTAGGATCTCGGAATCCCTGAGTTCGCAGATGTTGTTGGAGGATTAATGTTTGCTGGAGGTCATCTTAGGTACTTTTTCATTTTTTGGGATAATGTCTTAGTTGTAACTTTTTTACGGAATATTTTAGTGACGAGGATATTTAATTCATTTATTTCAGACAAACGACAACATGCTGTTTAACCTTACGTCTAGCTGATCATATTAGTTTGTTAAATGATGAAGAACTTAAACTGTGTATCAGAGATACATCAGGTATTATAAACAGTGTATCAGGGATACATAAGGTGTGTTAAACTATATGTATCAGAGATACATCATGTATTTTGAACATCTGGTACTTAAGCTTTGTATCAGGTATTATAAATCCGTATCAGAGATACATCATCTAGTTTGAAGACTTTGTGAATAAATAAATCATATTCTTAATATTCGTTTATATTCGTTTATATTCGTTAATATTCGTTTATATTCTTTTATATTCGTTAATATTCGTTTAAATTCGTTTATATTCGTCTATATTCCATTTATCCAAAAGTTTATTTGGTGATTGACAACGGTTGAGGTCCAGGACTTCACTTTGTGGCAGATTTTATGGACTCAGATGCTATTTTTGGCAGATTTGAAAGGCTTATGTGCGACAGATTGTTGAGACTGAGACTAATTTATGTATGGCAGATTTGATCTGTCTAAATGCTTTTTAGAAGCATTTTTGGGAAGTTATGTGTTAACACAGATTAATTCTAGATGATAAATATCTAAAACTTTACTTCATTTTAACATAATTTGGCAATTTTTTTGGATTTACATGATGATAATTTCTTTGTGAAGTGCTGTCTGTGTGAAAAATGATTTCATCTGTTAGGCTGGCCCAGCGATGTTTCTAATTCAGAGGTGTGCGAAGCAGTTTTTAAACAAATTGATCAGGTTTCTATATACTTTTAAAAAGAATTCATAGAAGTATTTATGTTTGTCTTATTTCAACCAAGAATATATATATATTCATGATCTAGGTCTGTAGTTCTAGATTTCAGAATTTATATAGTATATACTATAGAACAGCAAGTGGCAGCATTTGGTTTGGGAAGTGTTGGACTGTGAAGATTATGCAGTACAATACATAAATGTCCAGATGCTCAGTAATCTTGGGAAGGGGGGGGGGGTGGATTTTGAAGATTCACTTTCCAAACTTTCTCCCAAGATGGTTTTAATGAAACACAAAAGTAAAAGCATGTAATCTTGTTCTTTCCTTTAATTTATAAAACATGTATTTTTAAAACTGTTTCAAAAAGTTTTATTCCTAACAAAATGCGAAACAGAAAACTAAACAAAATGGAAATAACTTCGACCCCCCCCCCTGGTCCTTGCAAGGCCAAACGATGTTACCTTAAATATTACCAAAAATACAAAATATATATTTTTTCACTTTAAGATGGCCACAGCACTTGGCTAACAAGACTTCTCTGCATTCAATCCAGAACTTGAACTTAACTTAACCCAAATTACCGAGCAACTGTAATTACTCATTTCTTACTTTAAGGTTTCAAATTTCAAAATTTGCTTTCGGCAACTTTAAAAACGCAATATCAGGGAGTTTGTGTGGGGGGGGGGTCCACGGCCCTTTTTACAAGAAACTACCAAAGTTGTAATTACAAAAAAATTAAGTAAAAAAGCATGGCAGCAGAGGTTGCTCTTTTCTAAAGAATTTGTTGAACAATTTTTTTAAATAGTATTAAATTTAATTCTGATTCCAGTATATGTATATCTTTAAAAATTGTGGACTGTGGTGGAGGTAGAAGAGGTTTATTTAGTTTTAGAACAGGTATACTCTGAGGTAGAAAAGATTTACTCGCAGAAGTACTCTGATGATGAGCAGAGGACAGCTGTCGATGACTTTAAAGAATGTCTAAATAAAATATAAAGGAAATATTTAACTAAAGTTGTTTAGCTCTGAACCTCCCCATATGGCATAAAGATATTAAACCTCTCGTAGTACTGTGAACAATGAAAAACAATGCTGTTTTCTCGTTAAAAAGTGCCTCACGGATTTATACTACAATTTGAGGGAAATTGCAAGAATTCAACACGTTTTATGATACATGATATATGATACATGATACATGATACATGATACATGATACATGATACATGATACATGATACATGATACATGACGATATCTTTAAAAATTTTACTCGGATAAAGGTTTTTCACAAATAACACTTCATGTTCCCCGGGTCCAGAAACTGCAGTCCTGCCGTAAATTCAGTTCACTTGTTTTCCTTCAATATTTCATTCCAGAATGAAATCTTATATTAAATGTTTAATTCGCTCCACAATTTAACCCTGAACACTGCGCAGTACATCATGATTTATTATACTGTGTAATCAAATCAAAAAAATCCCCCCAAATCTACATGTACACAATTACATACCAATACATGTTCACAATATCATACCAATACAGGGTATTTCGGGAAACTTCCCAAACCGAATGCTGCTACCTGGTGTTCTATAGTATATATATTCTGAGGTCTAGATGTTCTACCTAGAATATATATATTCATGATCTAGGTCTGTAGTTCTAGATGTTCTACCTAGAATATATATATATTCATGATCTAGGTCTGTAGTTCTAGATGTTATACCTAGAATATATATATTCATGATCTAGGTCTGTAGTTCTAGATGTTATAACTTGAATATATATATATTCATGATCTAGGTCTGTAGTTCTAGATGTTCTACCTAGAATATATATATTCATGATCTAGGTCTGTAGTTCTGGAAGTTCAACCTAGAATATATATTCATGATCTAGGTCTGTAGTTCTAGATTTTCTACCAAGAATATATAATTCATGATCTAGGTCTGTAGTTCTAGATGTTCTATCTAGAATATATAAATATTCATGATCTAGGTCTGTAGTTCTAGATGTTCTACCTAGAATATATATATATTCATGATCTAGGTCTGTAGTTCTAGATGTTCTACCTAGAATATATATATATTCATGATCTAGGTCTGTAGTTCTAGATCTTCTACCTAGAATATATATATATTCATGATCTAGGTCTGTTGTTCTATATCTTCTACCTAGAATATATATATTCATGATCTAGGTCTGTAGTTCTAGATGTTCTACCTAGAATATAAATATTCATGATTTAGGTCTGTAGTTCTAGATGTTCTACCTAAAATATAAATATTGATGATCTAGGTCTGTAGTTCTAGATGTTCTACCTAAAATATATATATTGATGATCTAGGATATATATTCATGATGTAGGTCTGTAGTTCTAGATGTTCTACCTCTAATATATTTATTCATGATCTAGGTCTGTAGTTCTAGATGTTCTACCTGGAATATATATATATTCATGATCTAGGTCTGTAGTTCTAGATGTTCTACCTAGAATATATATATATATTCATGATCTAGGTCTGTAGTTCTAGATTTTCTACCTAGAATATATTTATTCATGATCTAGGTCTGTAGTTCTAGATGTTCTACCTGGAATATATATATATTGATGATCTAGGTCTGTAGTTCTAGATGTTCTACCTAGAATATATATATATTCATAATCTAGGTCTGTAGTTCTAGATGTTCTACCTGGAATACATATATTGATGATCTAGGTCTGTAGTTCTAGATGTTCTACCTAGAATATATATATATTAATGATCTAGGTCTGTAGTTCTAGATGTTCTACCTGGAATCTGACCGATCTCCTAGAATATTCTCTTCTCTCCTCTACCGGACATTATATGTATTAATTAAAAATCTATTGTTCTGTTAAAGCAAGGTTTGAAACGAAACTGAAGAAGATTTATTTTGTTTTTACAGTAAGATTGTGTCGTCAAAATAACCGAAAATAAGAATTATTTTCTTCAGATTTGGCAATTTTGGTTTTTTCTAAAACATTTTTCCGGAATCTCAAAATACTCTAAGTGATTTTTGAATCTTATTATTTACAATTATCGTCCGATATCTAGAACAAATCAGCAAAATGGTGGCAGTTAAAAAATAATTTTGATATTTTTTATTTTTATTTTAGATCTAAAGAGAAACTTTTTCAAAAATCCAGTCTTACTCACGCCACTCTTCAGCTCAATAATCTAAGGAATGCTCAAATTAGACGTTGCTCAGATATTTTAGGACGCTTATTTTTATGGTTTTTGTTGGACTGAAAATAAAAAAATTGGATGGATCCTAGTCTTCGAATAGGACGGAACTACTGGACAAATATTTCTGTATGATTCGGGTTTTTAAGATTTGGTGGGGGGGGGGGGGGGGGGGGAGGGAGGTCACTAAAAACACAGTAATTTATCTTAATTTCCGTGACTAAGTTTGTTTATTAATTGTGAAAGGTTTTAATGTTATCATTTCCTATACTTTTTAATTTTTGTTTTTTCATTATTTGAATATTTAAATATGTAGTCTTAGAGGCACGATGTTATATCTTCTGCTATGTAGTTATGAATATAACATTGCAAGGTAAAATTTACATGATAGAACCGATATTGTTTGGACTTTAGAACTTTCAGGCCGAAAATGTGGAAAGACATTTAGGACTGAAATATTTTTGACTAAAGGACTCTTAAGACCGACATTGTTTAGACAAGATAATTTCGTGGTTGACATTGATTTTACTTTAGGACTTTTAGGACTAACATTGTCTAGATTAAATGACATAATGACATTGTTTAGACTTAATTGTTCATATATTATTTTGTTAAAGAACCGTAACACAGAATACTATCTAACAATATTAATAAAAAAAAAATACAATTAACCCCCCAATCTATCATAGTCCCTTAGATGAATAATTAAGATTTCTTCTAGAATGAAATAAATACCTGTCTGACACCCCATCATATTACTTTAGTGAACTAAGTATAAGTGAGGAGGACGGAAAGAAAATGGAAAATACACTCATTAAAGGATTTAATAAGTTAATAGGTAAGAACTTCTAAATACAGGTTTACTCACAAAAAATGAGAAAATATTAAGTTTTATCCAGTCTTACTCTTACGTAGTAACTTAATTTATTTCCTACCTAGAACAATGTACTATGACTTATATTCAACAATAACTGTTGTGAGGTGCGCCGCACTGAAATTTTATTAGAAAGGAATCATTGAGTTTTGGCAGAATCATGTTAACTTTTTACTTTATAGTTTATGCTCTAAAGTAGGCACACTTATGCACAAGGATTGTACATTTTTTGTTGTTTTGTTTAGAAGTGGAGTGTGCACTTGTTTATTCAGCTCTAAAAACTGGTCTTAGGTAATAAATTGTATATATTTTTGATAATTATTATTATATTATTATTTTTAAAGGGACTATAAAAATTATTTCAAGCGACCCTCCATTTTAAGAGGCAACTATTTGACTATCAACTAGGAAGATTTGGTTGTTTATGTAAGAAATGCTGCATAAATCTGCACTTTTAAAAAATCGCATTTTCTATTTTAAACTTTCACTCAGAACATCAAGGACATCTATGCCATTTTTGTTTACATGTATAAAGGTAAACTAGGCGAGGAACTATTTTTATACAGGGTTACTTTGTACTTGAAATCACGTTGACAGCCGTTTTAAAGACTTGTCTACCGTTTTCAGATACGAACCAGCACAGCTTAAATCAAAAATAGAGTCAACATACGGATTCAGATTGTGAACTACTAGTAGACGAATAAAAAAATATGTCAAGTGTATTATTGCGAGGAGTTCCTTTGAGCCAGCCAAGAGAAGCTGCCCAATGCCCATCATCCTGGTTTAGAAGTGGAAAAGACCAAATTAAACGAAGAAGAAGAGAATACTTAACCAACTATACAACAACAATACTATTCCTGGGATATTTTAGTGAAATTTCGTTACAATCTGTTCTTTTGAGCTGTTTTGCTTCCTTATGTGTTTCTGAATCTATTTTTATTTCTAACTGTGAATATATTTTCTTTTAAAATGCTGTTTAGATATTTGATATTTGCTCATAAAATTGCTGTCGGTCATATTCTTGAAAAATCACGATTTGACTTCTGCACTTTTCATACTGTCGCTGATAAGATTACTAACAAATTATATTTTTTCATCTTTGATCAATGTTAATAAAAATGAAAGATTGAATATCTATTTTTTAAAACAATTCTGCGCTGTGAGAAATTTCCTAATTGCGTTGGATGTTTTGTAGGCTGTTAATAGATTTTCAGTGTATCATAAGACAAACAAACAGAGTTCTTTACACAACCTTCGATTCTTGCAACCCTCCTTTGAAATCTAAAAATATGAACTATGCTAAATCAAATATTTTGGTTTACAAAAGTTTACTTCATGATGTTGCACAGAGATATAGAAATTAGAAAGTTTGAGTTGGTGTAAAGAACTTAGTTTCTTTACCATTTTCCTTTCGTCCTGAATGACAATTTTATCATCTAATAATTGTTTTTATTTTCCTTTTATCTTATTATTTGATTAATGTTTTATTTTCCTTTCATATTATTATCTAATCATTTTTTTTCCTTTCATCTTATTATCTAATTAAGGATTTTTTATTTTCCCTTCATCTTAATATTTAATGAAGGTTTTTTTCCTTTTCATCTTATTATCTAATTTTTTTACTTTCCTTTAATGTTATTATCTAATTAAGTTTTTTTATTTTTCCTACATCTTAATATTTAAAGGTATTTTTTCCTTTCACGTTATCATCTAATTAATGTTTTGATTTTTCCTACATCTTAATATTTAATAAAGTTTTTTTTCCTTTCAGCTTATTATCTAATGTTTTTACTTTCCTTTTATCTTATTATCTAATGTTTTTACTTTTCTTTAATATTATTATCTAATTAATGTTTTTTTTTATTTTCCCTACATCTTATTATCTAATTAATGTTTTTTTCTTTTCATCTTATTATCTAATAAAGGTTTTTTTCCTTTCATCTTATTATCTATTTATAAATGGTTTTCTTTTGATCTTATTATCTAATTAATGCTTTTTGCCTTCTATCTATTATCTAATTAATGTTTTTTTTCCTTTCATTTTTTTCTTTTAGTGGGGTGGGGTGACTAGTGGGGTGGGGTGGCTAGTGTGTGATACCAATTCTCGTTAGATCACTGAAGTTAAGCACACTCGTCCATAGCCAGTAACTGGATTGGTGTCCAGACTGGTGTTCACGGGTTCGATTCCCGTACTCCACACTAACCGACATATGCTTATCCCCTCCCTGTACATTATAATGAATCTTATTTATTTATTCTCAACATACAGGGTTACCCACAAAGGATGAGACCTCAGTGACGACTGTACTGAATTTAAACTGTCAATTTCCTGATAAACAAAATTCCTGGTTTCCAGCAACTGAGAACTTGTTTCGTTTTTGCAAAATCATTAAATAAGACAATAAACGAAGAAATTCAATGCAGTAGATTTAATTCAACCATAGAGTAATCATATTTTAATAGTCTTTACAGTCACATCCTTGGAGTAATCATATTTTAATAGTCTTTACAGTCCCATGCTTGGAGTAATCATAGTTTAATAGTCTTTACAGTCACATCCTTGGAGTAATCATATTTTTATAGTCTTTACAGTCCCATCCTTGGAGTAATCATATTTTAATAGTTTCAGATCGTCTTTACAGTCCCATCCTTGGAGTAATCATATTTTAATAGGTTCAGATCGTTTTTACAGTCCCATCCTTGTACTAATCATATTTTAATAGTCTTTACAGTCACATCCTTGGAGTAATCATATTTTAATAGTCTACAGTCACATCCTTGGAGTAATCATATTTTAATAGTCATTACAGTCCCATCCTTGGAGTAATCATAGTTTCAGATCGTTTGTACAGTCCCATCCTTGGAGTAATCATATTTTAATAGTTTCAGATCGTCTTTACAGTCCCATCCTTGGAGTAATCATATTTTAATAGTCTTTACAGTCCCAACCTTGGAGTAATCATAGTTTAATAGTCTTTACAGTCACATCCTTGGAGTAATCATATTTTAATAGTCTTTACAGTCCCAACCTTGGAGTAATCATAGTTTAATAGTTTCAGTTCGTCTTTACAGTTCCATCCTTGGAGTAATCATATTTTAATAGTTTCAGATCGTCTTTACAATCCCATCCTTTCGTGTGCAATCCTGTATATTAAATCTTTCTCATTTTATCTCCCCAAACCCTACTTTTTTCCATCTAGTTATAAATTGTATATCGTTGTTCGCAAAAATATCAAATTAAAAGATCAAATGCCAAATGATCAAATGCCGAATTATACAGTACAAACGCAGTACATTTCAATTAGGTCTACAATCTAGAAATGTAAACAAATCTGGGTAAAATCATATAAACTGATCAAACTGCATTGTTTATCTCAAAACCGGTTAAATTTCCACAACAAACTATCACGAGAAGAAAGAGAAGAAAAAGAAGAAATAAAAGAAAGAGAAGAAAGAGAAGAAAGAAAAGAAAGAAAAGAAAAAGGGGAAAGAGAAGAAAGAGAAGAAAGAGAGAAAAGAGAAGAAAGAAGAAAGAGAAGAAATAGAAGAAAGAGAAGAAAGAGAGGAAAGAGAAGAAAGAAAAGAAAGAAAAGAAAGAGAAGAAAGAGGAAAAGAGAAGAAAGAAATAAAAGAGAAGAAAGAGAAGAAAGAGAAGAAAGAAAGAAAGAGAAGAAATACTTATGCATACCCTAAAATCATTTCTATATCATTTTTATTTCTAAAAAACATCAAGAATATGCTGAAAAAGTCTGTATGCAGTTAGAATGTGTTTTAATTAGGAGCTGACTTGTTCTAAATATTGCTTACATTTTTATTGTTACCACAATTTGATACTTTTTCTCAATCAACTTTTTAAGTGCAAGGAATTTATTCCTGAAAGAAAAATATTATCAAAAGTCTGACTATAGATTTCTTTAAATAGCAGGTTTATGAAATTGGAGATTATGAGAGTGAATAATGAATACATTTAATATCATTCATAACAAAACAAATTTAAACTATACCATTAATATATGTAATATGTAATATATGTATGTATATTGAATATGTGTGAATAAATCTTTAATAATAATAATAATAATATTAATAATATTATTTATTGATTCGTCTTTAAAATATAACCTTACAAATGGAGGGTTAGTCAACGATGATCGTGGTATATATCCCTGATTTTGTTCCTAAAACAATATTTATCCCGTTTTCGTTTATTCTCAATAAATTCTTTCATTTTTACTTGATATTCTCGCACTCTTATTTCCTTGTATTGTCTTCCTCCCCCCCCCCCCCCTCAGCGCCTGACATCCTCCCCTCCCTTCCCCTAAATCTGAAGGTCATCTTTTAAGCGTCTCTGCAGTGCTTGAATCTACCTGCGTAGTGCGTATACAATGTAAGTACATGATACAATATATATATATTATATAATACTTATACTTATATCAACCTTCCAACACTGGGCTTAGAATACAAACCAATCATATACGCAATTTATGTCATTTTACAGTATTTAGATATATTGACCTAATACCATTATACGCTAAACATCCCATTGCTATAGTTAATCAATATCTACTCAGGTAAATTAGAAAGGCAATAGGTATCAAAACAGATAGTTCGTAGTAACTAAAGGGGGGAGGGGGGAAGGTTCTTCAAAAAGTGCAGTTTCCTTTATTGTTTTCAGGTTATCATGTAAATAATCTCGAACTTAACAAAGTTTTAAAATCGTTTTTAATGTTTTTGTAATATTTCATGTAAATTATTGAAGAATAACACCCTGCCGTAGTTCTAGGCCCTAAACTCTATATTTACACTAGTGGTTCCTTTACTAATACTATGCTATTCTAGTCTATAGGCAGGTATACAAGCAACAGTCAAGCTTTCAGGCAGTTTTATCCAGGTCTATACAGGCAGTCACATAACTGGTTAAAAGTAACCTGGACGCCCAAGCTGAACCAAAACAATCACAACAGTTTAAAAAGATATAATTTTATCCGTCAATGATAGATGAAGTGAACTCAAAGGTTAAACAAGGTGAATTCTGATAATAATAATAATAATAATAATAATAATAATAATAATATAACGTTTATTGCTAAAAATTGTTAGTAAATATGTTATATACATTATTTTAAAACCAAACTATATTTTCTTCCTGGTCACCGTCAAATAGCTAAAGGATGCTGCCTTTTTAAATTCTATATCCTAAAAAAATACGTATGACGGTGTGAGACCATAAAAACATGTATCTGTAATCTGTATATGGGTAAACCCAGATCAGGAGTTTTGGGAATGAATTTAAGACCCATATATAAATAATGAAAGCTTAGAAAAAGTAGAGAAAGAACCTTTAACATACTTTAATTTGTTAAATCAAATATGAATCTAGGTTTTATCTTGTTAGGCTTTCATTAAAAATAAATCTGGAATGCGTGACCTAGAACTTAAAAACCGGTTTAGAAAATTTATTGAAAAAAACCAGGATGTATAAACAAGAATAGAAACCAGTTTTTTCGTTTTTCAATCGTAACCTATACCAGTCCGACAACATTTCCTCAATCTATTCATTCATGTTTTAATTCAAAACTTTTGGAAAAATCACTTTTTATAATTAATAGTATTTGTTTGGTGTAAAATTTTTTTGAAAAAGCTGAACAGACAATGAGGTTGAGCGCTGCGGAAAGGACAAGGAAAGATGCTTAGATGGAGTCGATCGATCTCATTGATCTTGGAACATAATTTGAAAGAAAATATTTGCCATTTGAAAATTTTCACTAAACACAAGCGTATTTAAGGAATTTGTGATCGCAACAAGTTTTTTTGAGGTATTATTATAACGAGTTTTAGTCTGTACAGGCGAAAGTAAAAAAGTTCCAGTATTACTTGAGATTTATTTCAACAGATTTGTAAAATAAAAATACTCCCACCGCCTTGTGTTAAAGTAGATTCTTATTTGTGAATGAACTTGACAGTTCCGTTGATTAAATCATATAAAAATGTAAATATGGTGTATTGTATTGTATTGTATTGTATTTTATTGTATTGTATGCAGTTTTACCAAATTGTTTTTATACTATTTATTATTAAACATTTTAAAATACTTATTTTCTTCAAGAAGAGCTATAATGTAACTGAAACAGATGATAAGAAAATATAAAAATGTTCTTTTAAGTTTAAAAAATCTAAAATTGATCGACTTAAATATTTGCAACTTGGTGTCGTAGATATTTGATATTTCAAAAAACAATGCTGCTACTTCAAATGGACAAGTTTAAAAATAATTCACCACTAGGTTGCAAATATATACGTATTAGAAATAACCTACCAGAAGCAAAAATTAAATACAATTTTAAAAGGAAACATTATATTAGACAGAAAAAAACGAATTTTCTTCTTTGCAGCGGAGACTAGCCGATCCCTTGTTGGAACAAAACTGCATGTTCTTGTTATTAATCTTTTATAAGTTTAGGAATTTATTTTTTAGACTAGGTCATGTGTTGCACTAATAGAGGAAGAGAGGGATGGGTAACTGCTCTCCTACTCCTAGGGGTAATATGCTCTCTAGGTAATCTTTTAAAATTAATAATAATTTTTGTACTTTTTAATTTAAAAATTTTTAAGATCTAGTTCAGTCTTTAAGATAATTTAGCATTTTTTTTCTTCAAATTTTCCCCACACCATGGGCAAGATATCATATCTAAGTTTTAAAAACATTCATAACATAAAAAAAATATTATTTTAGGAGTGGCTATACCTATGCTGTTAATCACCTACCCCGGAGATGAATGCCTACTTTTTACAAGGTAAAAAAATACAATTTTTTAAAAAGTTTTCCCGCCAAAAATAACAGATTTTTAAATACTACATCGGTATCAGAGGCAAACATAGAGATTTATTTAGAGAGAACTACAATTGAAGCAGGAGGCGGGGTTTGATTAAGTGGGACAATTTATAAAATCTTGCAGAATTTAGCAATAATTAAAAATATTCAGTGTGCGCGGAGAAGCTTTAATCTATGGTCATCATGCTGGTTGCATTTACGTTACAGGTTAGTAAATTGTATTATACATGTACATTGTAGATACTTGTAATTGTACATCATTGTACGATGCTTAGATAATTGTATATTGTATATGATTGTAGATTGTACATCTTTATACATTTTACATCTTTCTACATTGTACATCATTGTACAATGTACAGTGTACATCATTGTGCATTGTACACAATGTACAACTTGTTGTTTGTAAAAATAAATATATTACAGATGTTCCGAATAATTTTTTAATTTTACCTTTTAAATTCAATTTTTTTGTTTAGTTTCTCATTTCCTGATGGTCGTGGCTTCTCTCTTCTTCTTTGTCATGTTCTTCTGGAGCCGGGCGCAGGGGAGCCGCCAGGATGGAACAGCTTCAAATAGGTAGGACGGGTGCAACGGCGCATATAGGTCATTGAGAACAGTAAGGTTTTATTAACTACACAGATAAATTTTATCCAACTTTTGACTTTATTTTTCATATTAGAAATCTCATACGCACAAAATATGTAGACTTCATAGAAAATGTTGATCTCAAAAGTTTATTGGAAATGTTTACACTTTTCGAATAACATGTTTTAGGTCTCTAAAGCTCTAAACCTTAACTTTTGAGTTATCTACTTAGGGTTTAACATCTCTAAACCTTAACTTTTGAGCTATCTACTTAGGGTTTAACATCTCTAAACCTTAACTTTTGGGCAATCTACTTAGGGTTTAACATCTCTAAACTTTAACTTTTGGGCAATCTACTTAGGGTTTAACATCTCTAAACCTTAATTTCTGGGCAATCTACTTAGGGTTTAACATCTCTAAACTTTAACTTTTGGCTATCTACTTAGGGTTTAACATCTCTAAACCTTAACTTTTGGGCAATCTACTTAGGGTTTAACATCTCTAAACCTTAATTTCTGGGCAATCTACTTAGGGTTTAACATCTCTAAACTTTAACTTTTGGCTATCTACTTAGGGTTTAACATCTCTAAACCTTAACTTTTAGGCTATCTACTTAGGGTTTAACATCTTAAAACCTTAACTTTTGGGCTATCTACTTAGGGTTCAACATCTCTAAACCTTAACTTTTAGGCTATCTACTTAGGGTTTTACTTCTCTAAACCTTAACTGTTGGTCTATCTACTACTTTTGGGCTATCTACTTAGGGTTTAACATCTCTAAACCTTAACTTTTGGGCTATCTACTTAGGGTTTAACATCTCTAAACCTATATTGTTCTGGTATAAACCTCTAATCCTTTATAAGTTGAATGTAAACCTTTTTTGATTTGATCCTTGTTTTTTTTTCAACCTAGTTCAAAATATTTAAACTTATTTAGACTTTAACATGTCTAATTAAATTAGTTTTAAGTTTCCATAACCTCTAAAACGAATTTTTACTAAACCTATATGTTTCAGATCTTTACGAGGGAGTGTGGCAGGTTTAAGTCAAACGATTGTACGAACTAAGGAAAACAAGAAAACAATTTTATTTCATATTTTTAAAAATGTTATTACATCATTATTCTTAAAAGGCCATAATATTTACACAGCTATATAATATAAGCATAGAATACAACAACAAAAAAGCATTGGGGAACAAAAAATAAAGTTTTAAATAAATGTTTAATATTGTTTAAATTTTTAGCCCGCACTAAATAAACAACGAGCAATGATTAAGATGAAATAAAATTACAAAACATCAATCTTACCATTTCTCCTCCAAGCCTTCCCTACCCCCTCCCCCCCACTTCATTCATTTCGTTTTCAGCTAAATCTAACTATTTGGAACAACTACTGCGTTAATATTTGATAAATAACATTCTTGTCTGTAGATTACACTCTCTATCCTGGTTCTCTCAATTATACTGACAATATTCGTCTTTCTCACAGCAATCATCATTCTCTCAGGATATATTGTTACTTGTGGGTAAGTACATTACGCGGAACTAACTTGAGTTTAGCATGTCATGGCTGTATCCGGATATATTGTTACTTGTGGGTAAGTACATTACGCGGAACTAACTTGAGTTTAGCATGTCATGGCTGTATCCGGATATATTGTTACTTGTGGGTAAGTACATTACGCGGAACTAACTTGAGTTTAGTATGTCAAGTCTGTATACGGATATATTGTTACTTGTGGGTAAGTACATGCACGCGGAACTAACTTAAGTTTAGCATGTTCAGGCTGTATCCGGATATATTGTTACTTGTGGGTAAGTACATGCACGTGAAACTAACTGAAGTTTATCATGTCTGGATATATTGTTAAGCTTGAAAATAATCTATTGTTTAAATAAAAACAAGTTTATCTCATTTAACTTCTTAAGATACTTAAAAGCTACACAAAATTATATAAACGAGGAAAATTATTCTAAAGTATGTCAAAAGTTTGTTAAATATATTATCCGGTCCTTTACTTGGAGATATTCCAAATTAAACATGATACTTAATATTTTTAGAATTTTTTTCAATTTATTAAATGTTGTATTGTTTACGAGTTTTCTCGTTTAATTTGTGTTAATTATTTGTAAAAAATAGTAATACTAATTATTATCATTAATAATTAATAATAATAATAATAATAATAATAATGATAATATTAATAATAATTGTTTTAAGAGAACTACAGTACGAGACACGAAGACAACTATACGGTCGAACTACTCTAGGTTCCCCTGTTAAGGTTTGCTTTATTCATAGTAAAGAAAAATCAATTCTCTTTCGTGATTTTTTCTGAACAGAACAATGCTGTCCATGGAATAAAAACAGATAATCTGATAATTCCTAAACATGTTTTAGAATATTCACCAACTAGCGAAATAAATTTTTGGAAAAAAAAATCCGTACATTTTTTTAAAATCCGTACAATCAGTACAATTTTCGAAAAAAAATCCCTGCAATCCGTACATTTAAGAAAAATAAAACCATTTTTGAAAATATTATTCAACACTGTCTCAACCCCCCCCCCACCATACCGATGATATGGATATTTAAAAGCTTTGAAGTCCTTGTTTAAGGCCTGAATTTTTTTGGATTATATAATGATGTTTACGTATTTTTTTGTTAAATCTAGGATGTTTATATAACCTGCTGGTCGCTGTTTCGAGATGCAGATTTCCACAATAGATTCCACTTTGATCATTATGAGTTGGCTGGTCAATGGCATGGTGAGCAGATATATATTTATTTATGTGTTTAGATAGATTCATTAGTCATGAGAATTGTTAATACTCTCTTTTGGATTCCCAGCTGGGTTTCGACCAATGAGAGTGCTCTCATTTATTGTACGTGAAATTTCCCGGCTTCTGATTGGCTGTTTTGTTAATGCAAACGACACTCTGGATGGTTGAATTTTAAATACTCTCTAAAATATCAAAATTAAGATTACATTAATCTCTAGATTAACAAAAAGAGGAGATCTAGCATTGATCTCGATATCCACAATATTCTATAGTTTAATCCTATACCTTGAAGAATATGTACACACATGATTAGAATGTCTTTCCATTCTAATAGTGACATGTTCTATTTAAAACGTACCCTTCAAAACCTTTGTCTGATCATCGATGGCTGAAAAATCTGTATTTTTCACACTGAAAAAGGATTTAATAGGAAAACAAGTTTAAACTTGTGTTGTGTGTACATGATGAACTCCATGCAAATAGCTTAACATGTTTCATTTATTGCAGAAACTCATTGGATTAAAAATATCAAAAATTGAATATTCTTAATGAATTTTTGTTTATAATCAATCTCCTTTTTGTTCAGGACAATATACTACGTACAAGCACGGGAGACCTAATACATGGTCCGGGAAACATAATCATCATATACCTATAGCTGTAGGTAGGAGAGAATAAAAACAAAATCAGAAATAAAATCCTAAAAGGAATTGAGTCTTTGCCACAATCTCTGATTTTCTAATCACTATATCTTTGGAACCAAATGTTGCAGACCTTAGATATTTAAAACTATGAATTCTGTTAGATAATATCAAAGGTTTACAACATCGAGTTCTATAGATATTGAGGTTTAAATATTTGATTTTGTTCCAAAGATTCATTTCCTTTGTCACTAAAATAGTCCTGTGGAATAAAGTCCTTCCATTTGAGATTCTTATTGTGAAAAAGGCAACTACGGAAAAAAGGGCTAGTTATCAAAAACACCCCCCTGGCTATATTGAATATGCAGATGTTTAGAAGAAAAGTCCTTTTTATGAAAACGTCTCAGACTTGACCGAATTTTCCCAAGACTTTTTTCCTTGTTTTTTTTCTTCGGACATATTTTCTTCAGGACTTTTTTTGCAGCCCCCCATATCATTTTAGAAAAAAAAGTTCCAGGAATTTACTTCCAATCACATTTTGTCCAATGACTTCAGAAAATTGGGACTTTTCTACCAAAGATTTTATTTTCATGTTACTTTTCCAGGAACTTTTTTTCCCGTGACTTTCTTACAAAGATTCATACAAATATCGTCAATAGAATAAAGTTTTTGCAACAAACAAAAATGTTCAAATCTCTTTTGCAACCTGATGGTGGAGACCTTTGACAATTTAAACTTAGACTATCTGATCTACCAAAAATTAAAGCCTGAAATTTCAAAGGTCTACGAAATCTGGTTGCAAAGATATAGGGATTAGAAAATCGGAGTTTGTGACAAAGACTCAATTCCTTTGCGTAAACTAACAGATTTTCTTCTATACTCTAGGAATGGAATTAAGCCTGGCTTGTTCTTGGCTCTCTGTTGTTATCTGGGTTGCCATAACATCTCTCCTATCCCTGCTCAGGTACGATATAGATTTTTATAGATTTTATGCTATATTGTATTGAAGAGTATACATGATACATCACTCTGAACAGAAATATGCAAGCTCTGACGCTTAACTAGATTTATCCAAACTAAAAAAATCACTTTGCATCTCGGAACTTTTATATCCAGGGCTTCAAAACGGTTTGGTATAAACCAAGGACAAGTGCCTGGTATAAATGTCAAACCAAGGACAAGTGCCTGGTATAAATGTCAAACCAAGGACAAGTGCCTGTTATAAATGTCAAACCAAGGACAAGTGCCTGGTATAAATGACAAACCAAGGACAAGTGCCTGTTATAAATGTCAAACCAAGGACAAGTGCCTGGTATAAATGTCAAGCCAAGGACAAGTGCCTGGTATAAATGTCAAACCAAGGACAAGTGCCTGGTATAAATGTCAAACCAAGGACAAGTGCCTGGTATAAATGTCAAACCAAGGACAAGTGCCTGGTATAAATGTCAAACCAAGGAGAAGTGTCTGGTATAAATGTCAAACCAAGGACAAGTGCCTGGTATAAATGTCAAACCAAGGACAAGTGCCTGGTATAAATGTCAAGCCAAGGACAAGTGCCTGGTATAAATGTCAAACCAAGGACAAGTGCTTGGTATAAATGTCAAACCAAGGACAAGTACCTGGTAAAAATGTCAAACCAAGGTGGCGGCACTTCAATGTCGGTCCGGTCTGAAAATGTAAAGCATAATTTTCATAATCTTGTGACATATTTTTTTTTCTTAATTAGAATATTTTTACATCTTTATTTCATTTTATGAATTTGTAAATTTATTAAGAAATCCTTAAAGTTGGATCCTTCCTCTCAAAGTGCATAAAATGTAAGTGGAAAAGAAACAGTTTCCTCTTAATTACATGTGCTAATAAGCATATTGGAGTTAAACTATTGATTTCGGAATTTTAATGATGGTTAAAAGTAAATATAAAAAGATTGTACTTCCCAAGTATGTATTTCTAAACAAAAAGAAAAGTTACTGATATCCCATTCTTAACAACACATTTTGAACTCTTAAGATATAATTTTTTTATTGAAAGTTTAAAATTTAAGACTACTATAATTGTGTTAACTTTCGAAACCTTAATAACTTAAGAACATTTTGATCCTGTTTTTATTGAGATATCCTGAACATTGCTCTAGTTTTAACTAAAGCTGCCTAAACGTTTTTATAAATACAAAAGTTCTATCAAAACCAAGATGTGTAATTACAAGGTTTATTTTTTTACAGGAAGCACGTGAAAGCTTTAAACCGGAAAGAGATTGCCGAGTCTATAGAAGATGCAAGGTAGTTTACTAAATCCAGATCCGGAAGTAAATTTCACGATAAAGGAAAAGAGGACAAAAAATGACTTATACTATATAATTGTGATTATAAAAAAGCTAAAGTATTTTTTCTATGTGAACTTACTACTTCTAGGGGTAAATTTTCCTTTTCGCTCTTTTACTTTTGGCGAAAATAATTTGACATACTTTTTCTTAATTTTGAGTGAAATAAGAAGATGAAAAAATCAAAGCAACCAATTTTCTGACACTTACATATTTGCAACCTGATGTTGTAAACCTTTGATAATTCAAAGTTTGAGTTTTTTATCTAGCAGAATTCAAAGTTATAAATATCAAAGGGCTTCGACATCAGAAGTCAGAATTTTTGTGTTGTTAATCTTAGGATCAAGCATCACGCACCTCTGCTCTTTTAGTAAGAGTAAATTCAACCTATATGAAGCAGAAAGTCTGACCGCGTAAACTTTGTTGCACCAGCTAGTCCAGTTTATTGTCTTCTTTACTTTAACCCAATGTCGGTGTCTTGCAGTACAAACTGGGACCGGAAAGGTTGACCCGGATCGGAAATTCAAATGTACTACGGCTGCCCGTGGCATTGATCTTCATCTTCTACGGATTTAATTAATTTTTCTTCTAAATTCCTTTACAGTAGTACTTCGCTGGAATAGCTTTGATTGAGGGATCAAACATTTATCCTCAATGGATATTGAGCTTTAACAGTCAAAATTAACGATACTCAACACAAATATTCCGATCTCAGGTTGCAAAGGGACTAACAAATTATAGTATGCAAAGTATAAAAAGTTCCTTTGTAGGATTTGGGCAGCTGACATGGCAAGTGTAGGAGGAGGAGGAGGGGGTACTAGCTTACATCAATATGAGATGGTAAACAAGAATAAACATTACGATACAATCAGATCAGTTCGATCACAGTCAAGAATGTCAGGTAAGCTTTAAATAAAGATACAATTATTATACAAGATACAAAAACACACTTAAATGAAATGACTACAGAGCGTCCCATATCAAATTAGATTATCTCCAAGTTTTAACACCAAAACAAACCCATAATACTCGAAAAATCTAGCATTTTCCGTAAGAAAATTTTTATATTAGCCTTATTCAATTTTTTAAAATGATTCATTCTTCTTGAATTATCTGATTAATCGTAATTTTTACCGATTAAAGATCTAATATGATGTGGGACACCCTGCACATTAGTTTTGATAGTTATTTAATGATATAGGGGAAAAAAATAACTCTTGAGCTTTTTCGAATGTGTTTATTATCTTTGAATCTCTGAAAATGACGATTATGTTTTTTACCACATTTTTAAAATCCTGGAAATAGCAAAATGGAATGTTCCAGAATTATTTCAGTATTCAGTTACATGAATGCATAACGTAAAGATTTCAGTTGTAATTTTATTCCTAGTTTTGTTAAGTTCTTTATTATAAATTTTAATTTAAAACAAAGGACCAACGAAATGTTTGCACACTACACACTAATTATGTTTTCTAATTTTCTTTTCTTTATAAAATACAGCAAAGGAATCTTGATTATGTTATATAAACTTATACAGGAATAAGAACACTTTTTAAAGGGACTGTAGACTGTGGCATTCCATTGACAAAGTGACATTTTAGTTTTACCCTTTAAACCTTTCACTGATTATAACTTGACGAACTTGTAATTAATTTGTCCACCAAAACACTTTTAATGGTTGATAAAATTTGCAAGATATATTACTAACTACCATTTAATAAATATCTACATTTGAATTTTCAAAAGACGCATTTGAATATTCGGTATTTTCCATAAATGTGTAAAGTCAACTTGGTTAAGCTCACACTGTGCGTTAAAGATTACGTTAACTCTCTACAGTCCTTTTAAACGTTTGAACATTATTTCGCTATTTCGATTTACATTGAAAATCTAATGAAAAAAAGTTTTTTTTCCAGTTATTGAAAAAAACTTTTTGTTTCGTCCTAAACAAAGTTTTTCACATTAATCCGTATTCAGGTGCCCCTTCTGCTATTACCCAGCAGACCCAATTACCACATGCAAGTACTTTAATGGAACATCAGGTATACAATATATATACATCCAAATATTCATCTGATGTTAATAATTCTGTTGAGTCTTCTCAGTCAAATTATTGTCCCGTGAAGTAACAAATTACCTTTTTTGAGTTTTCGAGTTTACGTTTTTCTAAATATTTATTTAATTTTTCTTTTTTGTATTATTAAAAACAAAATCATTTAGGAGGTGATTGCAAAAACACATGAAGATGGAACGTACTTTATGACCTCTGACGGAAATTATGTACAGCTGGTGAATGGTGTACTGACTAATGTCTCCGTAACACCAATGATGCAGGTATAATTGAAATTAATTATTAAATTACAACCTATACTATATATGTCGAATTCAATTCGAGGCATCGGTATACAGTTGATACTTCATAATATCTTTTATTATTTTGTGCAAGATTTACTTTAAACGACAATTATTTGGCCGCTAGGCGTCTCTGCTATTGACGTTACAGGGGTTCTACGTGAGAGAGACACACAAATCGCCATTTAAAGTACATTGTATATTAAAAGAATAAGAAATATTATGAGATATCAACTTTATAGAAATACTTCGAATCGAATTATATCCGACATTTACAGGTTGTAATATCTGAATGATTAGTTTTGATTAAATTATTTACAATCTGGTGAAATATTTGTATGGGTCCTACGTTCTTCGGTATGAGTAGTGTTAAACCCTTTTCTCCTAATAGACACCACAGATAAAATCACCATCTAATTCAATTCGACGTTAGCCTGTACCACCTTTCATTTTTCGCAAACACTCCCTTTAAAGAATTATAAAAACATTCGATTTTCATCAAGTTTTATTTCTCCTTCTATTGTTTGGGTATTAAACTATCCCAGCGAAACTGATGATGAAGTTTGTTATTTTGTTCTGATGTTTTAATTATTCATCTTCTTTTACAAAGTTTAGATACCATGTACCCTGTACCACATACCAAGTACCCTATACCTTGTACCTTGCACCTTGTTCCTTGTACCTTGTAGCTTGTACCCTGTATCACATATAAAGTACCTCGTACTTCGTACCATAAACCGATATAATTACCTTGTACCTTAAAACTTGTGCCTTTTACCTGGACGATAAATATTTCTAAAATATATATTTCAGGGTACAGTACAGTATTCAAAGCTATATTCTATATTTCGGCTTGTAGTACAGTACTCAGAGCTAACATTTCATATATTTCAGGGTGCAGTACAGTACTCAGAGCTAGTATTCCAACCTCAGGATTCATCAGAGTTAAATACTAAACTCAACCAAATTCACAACCAACAACAACAGGTTGTTTACCAACAAATACAGCATCCTAATCAGCTCAACCCACAACATCTTCATCAGCAGCAGCTTCAGCAACAACAACTTCAACAACAGCGGCTTCAAGAGCAGCAACAGCAACATCACCAATACCAACTGCAGCAACAAATTCAAATTCAACAGCAGCAGCAACAACAGCAGCAACTTCAACATCAACAGCTACAGCAGCAGAGACTGAAAGAACAACAGGAGCAGCAGCAACTACAACAACAAAAACAAATTCACCTGCAACAGCTACAAATGCAAAGGCAACTCGAGGAACAGGAAGCACTTGAACAACAGCTACTTCTTGAACAACAGCAACATCTTGAACAACAGAAGCAAAAACAGGAAGAGGAAGAACTGAAGAAGCAGCATCAACAGAGAATAAGACATGAACAAATGGAGCAAGAAAAACAGTTACAAATGAAACAAAAACAACAGCAACAGTTTCAAAGACAGCTGAACGAACAGCTTTCACAAAGGAGCAAACAGCGGCCGAGGAGTCAGCTGACAGTTCCCCTGCTGTCAGGTTCCCCCAGCACTACTAGACGGTCTGTTGTCAGCAATAATCAAAGTCATGTCAGCAATCATCAAAGTCATGTTAGCAGTACTAGTGGAAGAAAAAGTCCCGGTGCAAGTACAAACAGTCGCAGAAGTCAGATTTCCAATGGACAAACTGCGGCGGTAAATATATTTTATTATTTATCCACATGACACCCCCACCCCCCTAGTAGAACAAACAGGACCTTCATAGCAACAAATAGCAAATAGCAACAAAAAAGATACTTGGTAGCCCCCCCCCCCCCTCTGCATATTCCACATTTAGAAGATTTGTATTTAGTTTCTGTCAAAAAATATTTTTGCCAGACCGGAACTTTTTCATGATAATCCATTTAGAGAGCATTAATTCTTATATTTTGTGGATTAAGTCAATTCCTCACAAAAAGGCTGTTGCATAGGACAGGACTAAATTAAATATTAAATTTATTATTGAATTTTCGTAGTTTTAAAATTAGGTTGAATTATTTGGCCCTCATTAAATCTCGAACTTTATATATTATTAATTTCGACCAAAATGTAAATTATTAAGAAACCATATTTAATTAATGACAACTAACAATCCTACATTGCAACCAGGTTCTATTCATGAATACTAACACCTCGTGTCGACCGGCCGGCGAGTGGTAAAAAGATAGATTATTGATCTAGGCTGATGAGACCCCGAGTCAGAGTAAACTAGTTCTAGAGTTGCATTTAAGCAAAAAGGTTGAACCGTCCCTCACCTCTGGAAGTAACTAAGCCCAGGATGGATTAAAGTATAAACATGTTGCTAGGATGGGGACGGGAAGGTGAATACCAGGATGGAGATGAGAATTCAACATGATCTGGCAAACAGTGCTGGGATCAAGTGCAGCCAGTTCTGAGAAACTTACAGCGTGTCCCATAAAACACGATGATTTAAAGACGACCCATTATGACATTAAAAAAGCATTTCAATTTAAATATCGTGTAAAATATTTGTCAAAAAAGTAAACACATATTTATTTTGTACATTTGTTTTCAAAACTGAAGCACTTTAAACATGTTCAATATTGTAGTAGTATTTAAACTTTTCTCTTTATTGGGACACACTACATCTTATTTTCTCTTTATTGAGACACACCACATTTTATCTTCTGTTTATTGGGACACACTACATCTTATTTTCTGTTAATTGGGACACACTTCATTTTATTTTCTGTTTATTGGGACACACTACATCTTATTTTCTGTTAATTGGGACACGCTTCATTTTATTTTCTATTTATTGGGACACACTACATCTTATTTTCTGATGCATTCGTAACTAGTATAATTTTGTTCATTTCTAAGAGATTGCGTTACTTGACTCTTTTTCGCAAACTCTGATTTTCCAATTCCTATATCTTGGAACTCCATGTTTCAAATTTTGAAATATTAAAGGCTGGTACCACCAGGTTGCAAAGATGACGGGGATTAGAAAATTCAAGTTTGTGGTAAAGACAAAATTCCTTAAATATCTTTAATGCTGGTTGTATTAAAACGAAAAGATTTGATTTAAATGTATTCAATGTCTAAAATATGTTTGTCGTGTGTTAATCTTATGGGTATTTAAAACGAGTAGGCTATTAGTTACTGAAGTAGTGCTATTTTATTAAAACCTCAGTATTGTTAATTTTTATTTTTAGACACGACAATGCTTTTACATTAATCCCAATTTAATAATTAACATTTATTCAAAAGCATCATTATCGTCATTGATGTCGTAAATAATTTATAAAAATGATAGATAATTGTTAATTGTTACAGATTATATTTATATATTTAGGGACATTTTTATTTTCATATTTCTTGAAATTAAATAATTTGCTACTTCTCTGCCACTGTCCGGAGCTCTCTACTATTCAAAATATAAATGAAATGTTATATGCAGTGAATATTAATAAAAGTATTGTAATTTTTAAAAATTGATATTTTATGTCTGTTTAAAAAGGTGTACAATCGCTTTAAGACAAAAGATGTATCTCAATCGTCATCTAATTGGTACATTTAATATATAAATATATATATTTTTTCTTTAAATATTGGATTGCTAAATAAACCAAGGTCAGCGTGATTTTTATCTAGTTTTAGCTTAGACGTGGTTTAAATTATTTTTGTTAAATGAACTATGAACATTTATATTTTCCTTCCGTTTTCCTTCCTCCATAGAGCCGAGAAGAATCCCATAGGTTTCCCTAATAAGACCCTAGGACACCCATCCTCCTGTATCCTCCCTTCTCCTAGATAATTTCATACATAGAGGCTCAATTATAGAAAATTTATATTTTTTTACATTTACATAAAATTTCTGATAAAATACAGTGGTTGGCGTACATATCAATACAATACAGACGACTTTTCTAATACAAGTAAGCAAAAAGAGGCTGTTAATTGACCATATTTCTCAGCTTCAATGTTTTTGTGTATCTATAATGTTGTTTGAAAGCTTGGTAAAAATCAAAATTTTTAATAGAGGTTAGAAATTCCAATTCCAAAAGTAAAACTGTGAATTCAATATTAGAACTGTTTTTTTATTAAGGGATCTCCGTCTTCCATGGAAATAGTTGATTATTTGGTGTTTAATGAGATTGGTTTATCTGCTGCGAGATGAGTTTGAGTTAAACGTTCATTTTGGTAATTAAAAATCCCCCGCTATAAACACAATTGAAGTTGAATTTCTCTAATAGAAAAAGTTTTAAACTTAAATCAATTTAGCCTAGAGGTATGAACGCAGCGGGAAAGAATAAACTTAATACTTTATTTTAAAACATTTTGAAAGACCTAGCGCACTAAAGAGTAGAGACATTCAATATTACCTTCAGTGTTAAACATGGATTTCAGCGTAAATCAAAATGGTGGAGTTTGATTTCGTTTAAACCTAACTTTTAACTTGGATCCCCCGACATACACTTACATGCATAAATGCGTTTAGACATTTCTTAATACACATAAAGTACATATAGTACATACATATACATTATACAATACATGTGTACGGAGTTTTCATTGTACAGGGCTCTGGTGTGAGTGTTAAAGTGTACTCTGAGGTATGTACTGTGATACTTTATCTCATAAATGTCTATAACTGTCCACTTTTGCACTATATTAGGTGTACTGTATAAATCTTTGGACAATTGTAATTTGTACTATATCTCAGAGGTGTAATATACGGTGGTAGGCGAATATATCATTATAATGAAGACAACTTTTGATTTCAATTTTAATTTATATACACGCTTTAAACAGGAATAAACAAATACATTAAAACAAAGAGAAGCTGTTAATTAACAAATCTACTCTTTAATTACTTGTAAACCTGTAATTCGAAAAAATCTTGTTAACAATTAAAACTTAAATACAAAAGTCGTTTTCATAATATTGGTATGATCGCGTACCACCGTATGTACTGTGTACTATAAAGTTACCTAAAACAATAACTCTATCGTACTGCAGAATATTGACCAGCCTATGAACTATTGTGATGATTGTACAGTTTGGCAAATTTTCTAAAAGATTCCTGAAAACATATAATTAAATTTTTTTTCTAATTATATATATAATCTACAAATTAGGACTTTTTAGTATTTTAATATTAATATAATGGTGTATATTCTGGTAAAAGTAAACAAGAGTTGAAAGTATTAATTATAAAACAAAGATAAATAGATTATTTTGGGGGAGATTTTGCTGATATAAAATTCATGCAAGTTATTTTTGAAAAATTTTATTTTAAGAGTTCATTTTAAATTTTTTTTGTGTACCCACCTGTATATAGTGTTTTCTAAGGAAACATCAACACTGCTTGTTGCTTCATCGAGAATTAGCAATTTCGGTTTCCTAAATCAAGAAAAGTATTTAGGATTTCTTGAATCAAGAATTAGTAATTTAGGATTTCTTGAATTAAGAATTTGTAATTTAGGATTTCTTGAATCAAGAATTAGTAATTTAAGATTTCTTGAATCAAGAATTAATAATTTAGGATTTCCTGAATCAAGAATTAGTATTTAAGGATTTCCTGAATCAAGAATTTGTAATTTAGGATTTCTTGAATAATTTGTAATTTAGGATTTCTTGAATCAAGAATTAGTAATTTAAAATTTCCTGAATCAAGAATTAGTATTTAAGGATTTCCTGAATCAAGAATTTGTAATTTAGGATTTCTTGAATTAAGAATTTGTAATTTAGGATTTCTTGGATCAAGAATTAGTAATTTAAGATTTCCTGAATCAAGAATTAGTATTTAAGGATTTCCTGAATCAAGAATTTGTAATTTAGGATTTCTTGAATCAAGGATTAGTAATTTAGGATTTCTTGAATCAAGAATTAGTAATTTAAGATTTCCTGAATCAAGAATTAGTAATTTAGGATTTCTTGAATCAAGAATTAATAATTTAGAATTTCCTGAATCAAGAATTAGTAATTAACGATTTCCTTAATCAAGGATTAGTAATTTAGGATTTCTTGAATCAAGAATTAGTAATTTAGGATTTCCTGAATCAAGAATTAGCAATTTAGGATTTCCTGAATCAAGAATTAGTAACTTAGGATTTCCTGAATCAAGAATTAGTAATTTAATTCGAGTTTGTGGAAGGTTTTAATAAATATAACTCAATGCTAAAATATTATTTCAAGGCTAGAGATTAGTCTTCAGACTAATTTATCTCTGATTATTAAAACAGCAGAATTCTGAAATGTGACAACTAATGAAATCTCTTTGTCCCACTATAAAATTGGAATAAGTGTGCAATTACCTAAGATAGCAGCGTGCAATGCAAATTTGTTGTCGCAGCCCCTGTGAAAGGTTATTACCTCCTTCGTTTACCTTCAAATAGTATACTTATTATACAATACACAGTGAAATATATGTATTTTTTTAAATTAAAATATTCGTACTTTCTCTGATTACTGGTAATCAATTGAAACTATGAGAGAAATAATATTTTTTAATTGTCTTTTGAAATAACAGGAAATTTTTAAGATGGAATGTAAAAAATCGTTTGCAAATTTGAGCAAGATTTTCGAATTTTAACTATAGTTATCTTTTTTACATTCTTTTTAACTTAAGACAATTTAGCCAATGTAACAAATAAAGTTTATTATTTACTTTAAATTTAAATAAATCAAATTTTCCAATAAGCATTGTTTATTCGGGTAAACAGGAACCTGATCGCCTATTTTATAATACCGAATATTCAATGTCCAAATCGATTTTTCAAAAATTCGAACATAAACATTTATTTTCTCCGACATACTTAGTGAAAAGTTAAAACGGGCAATGTTGTTATAAATCCGTCAGAATATAGTGCTAACCGAAAAATAAGAAGTGACTTTTGGACTCAAGTTGTGACTTTCTAGTAAAGCTTTTTGCTTTGTAACAATATCAAATGCACTTTAGTATTGCTTAAATGTCGTCTTTCTATTCTACAGTTTTCTGGTTGTTACTGTATCACTTTAAATTCCGTCTCCTTATAGTCCTGTCCCTTTAAGCACTGTAAGCAGGTTTTTATCTCATGCTATTTCAATACAAAGGTTAAGAAAATAAAAAAGGAATTGAGTCTTGGCCACAAACTCGAAATTTTCTAATCGCTATATCTTTCCAATCTGACGTTGTAAATCTTTTATATTTTAAACTTACATAACTTCTAACAGAATCCATAGTTTAAAATATCTGAGGTCTACGACACGTTTGGTTACAAAGATTTAGCAATTAGAAAGGCAGAGTTTGTGTCAAAGAACCAATTCCTTTACGCATTAAAGTTTAAAAATCTATTTTAGTATTCTGTGTAAATACAAGAAAAGTTTGTGTTCCCGAAGCTTACAGTTGAATCTAGGTTATGCTCCAGAAGTAGAATAGAGTTCTTTAGTCCCAACTTTTCAAGCTCTAACCACATCTCACTAATAAAATATGAATTTAATATTTCCAAAATATTGAAGAAAAAAATATTTTTTTGAAATACTTAAAAAACAATGTCTGACCTGTCAGTGAATCGTTCTTCTGGATCAAGATTAGACCTGACGTATTCAGAAAATAAAAAATAAATTGAATTATATAAAAAAGGCTTTTAGGGCGATTAGCGCCTATCTTTTATTTCCATTTTTTCTCTCTCTCTGTAGAATATAAAACAATTACAAAAAAGATTGCGGAATTAATAAAATTTTCGTGGATTTTAAAATTTGTTTTTCAGAATTAAAAAAATTGTGGAGACACAGTTTGGGTTTAATCGGTTCAGCTGTTATGAAGTCTATTGGACACCCAGACAAGCAAAGTATAAATATATAAATAATATGGTGACCTGATAGTACCAGAGAAAACTGCAGCTTCCTGGTGTACAACACAAACAAACTCTCTAAACAAGTTTTGTATTTATTTTCTAATTTGTATTAATTTGTATGATTTATGCATTTTTGATAATAATGAATTATAAAAATGGGAAAACTCATCGTCCCTTCTCTTAAAAGTTTTGTTACAATTAGCAAAAAAATGAAAACACTATTTTTAAAAATAATATTTCAAAGTTGAAAAAAATAATTTGAATTGTATACCTAACTGTTTTAAGGGGAACTGAGTGGATTGAGATTCCGTCTATAGTAATATTACCCTAGAAACAATAAGTTTAATTTTGTAAAACAAAAAACTACTATGAATTTGTTTTCTATGTGTGGTGGAGGTAATGAAAAGAATTGTTAAATAATCAGGGATCAGATTTAATGAAAAGGAGATAATAGATGAACCACAGAGACGTAGTTGAACCACTTCTCTTAGCTTGAGGGGTGCACAAGAGAAGATGTTCAACTTATTTTGTTTTGAATCTTCAAGCAGTTACAAATATCAAGAACTGAAGAAAGTCAACCACGACCGAAATATATTTTTAAAAATGTGGAACTAAAGCTTATATTTTTTACCCTGTGAGGTTTGGAGCATCACCAAATCCTAATTTGTAAACAACTTAATCTACGCGGATTAGCTTTATCCACAGAACAGGGAGTACAATTCATGTAAATGTTTACAAATTACCTGGTACATCACAATAATACAGTTTGATCCCTTGACATTTCCGTAGCAATTTCTTCTTTTTATAAAAATTATGCTGAAATGAACTTGGGAATGCATGACAGGTTGTCAGATAATTGATGTAGAGAAAATTAAATAATCTTTAAGAAAAGATGTTCCAGGGCCCAAAAAATGATATAGCACAAATGTTCGAAGTACAGCTGTTTATGGAAACAGTACAACAAAAAGGAGGTTTTACATTTCTTAAGCACGGATTGACATAGGCTGAACAAATTCGACTTTTTTTTTCAAGAATCGGATTTTTTTCCTTCAAAATTCAATAAACAATCCACGGGCAACGCCGGGCACTTTAGCTAGTAATAAATAAATATCGTCAAAACTCAATACTTACACTATTTGTTTAAAACGATTAAGTGCTTAAACCGTGAAAAACAGCCGAGATCGTGTAACATGCGATTGGTCGGAATTTAATGTTATCCAAAAAGGATTCACGATCTATCATTGGCCGAGATCGTGTAACATGTGATTGGTCGGAATTTTAATGTTATCCAAAAAGTATTCACTACTCATAGGACTGCAAAAGATACGTTTTACTGCTTTCTCTGAGAACTTTAATAACCGAAGTTCCGATAACTAAACACAAACCTGAATTGTTTGCGCCATTCTTGCTAATGCCATTGCTATGGTAGACTTTCCGCTTCCACTTCTTTAAGAAGAATAATATACTTTTAAAGTTTTTTTTTCATTAGTTCAAAAGTTACAAAAGAAGTGAAAGGATGTTTCAGTTTTTAAATTACAAAAGTTTGATAATCTCCAAATTAAATTCTTTTGTATTTTAAGAGAATGTGATCTATTTGCATTTTACGAGATATTTAATTATATTAGAATTGCACTGCAGTTTATAAGCATCATATATTAAAGGGGAAAAAATCGTGGTCTAATATAAAATAATGGGATTTATCTACTTTTTCATTTTCCAAATTTAAAGTCTCAGGCATGTGGTATTGACGTTACCTGCCGCACAGAGCAATCTTTTGTCCTTGAGGTATGCAAAGGTTTAGGTTAGGAACTACTGTTCTAGTCTCCAGGTGGTAGCCAAGGTACACATTCTCAAACTATAAGTAGAGTTAAGGAACACATTATTATACTACAGTTAAAGTTTAGATACACATTCTCAAACTTTAGGTAGATTTTAGGTACACATGTTCTCAAACTATAGGTTTAGGTTAGGCACTACTGTTCTAGTCTCCAGGTGGTAGCCCAGGTACACATTCTCAAACTATAGGTAGAGTTTAGGAACACATTCTTATACTACAGTTAAAGTTTTGGTACACATTCTCAAACTATATATAGGTAGAGTTTAGGTGAACATTCTCAAACTATAGGTAGAGTTAAGGTAAACATTATTAAACTAGAGGTAGAGTTTAGGTACACATTCTTAAACTAAAAGTAGAGTTTAGGAACACATTTTTAAACTATAGGTAGAGTTTAGGTAAACATTCTTAAACTAAAGATTGAGTTTAGGAACACATTTTTAAACTACAGTTAGAGTTTAGGTACACATTCTCAAACTATAGGTAGAGTTTAGGTAAACATTCTTAAACTATATATAGGTAGAGTTTTGGTAAACATTCTTTATCTATAGTAAAGTTTAGGAACACATTGTTAAACTATAGGTAGAGTTTAGGTACACACTCTTAAACTATAGGTATATTTTAGGCACATATTTACCTGTATTCGACTAGACTTGAACACTTGATCTTTATTTTGTTGAGGCACTAAATGTGTTTCACAAATTGATTGATTTATAGATACTGTCTCTATATCCTTCTCTTTATCTAGAATTTAAAGTAAAATCATATCAGACCGAATTATTACAATAAATGGAAAATGAAAATTCATATTACGTTAATTTCATATTATTAAAAAAAAACAAGATTGTACCGTTGTGAAACCGTAATTGTATAATTTCTTTAAACTTACCAATTTTGATATAGTCCAGTACTCTGTCAACAGCATTCATGTAGTTCTCTATATCCGCTTAATCAGAAAAATTAGTTTTAAAATTGCAAAAATATTGCAAAACTATTGCTGGTTTTGCAAACATGGCAATTTAACTTTTTTAAATCCGCCCAATATCCACGTCATAAGTTTACTATCTAATTTATGTAAAATTTTTCGTCGTCGTTGTTAAATGTATTCTCCAAAATAGACAATCCAGGAGAAATTCAAATATCAAATTTCAGCAATTATACACCGTTAAAATGTATGTGTCAGCTCAAATGATTCCTATAAATTTGAAGTGGCAAGTGTAACCGTTCACCCCCTTAAAATAGCGATTAACCCATACAACTTTGTTTTAAAAAATCGAATAAAAGCAATTACGGTTTTGCAACAAACTTAAATTTTATCAACTCTTTATCTTTTCAACTGAGGTACGATGGTACCTTTCATATTTCAAACTTAGACTTGTTGAATTCAATTAGCTTGAAATATCAAAGAACTATGACATGTGGTTAAAAACTTACAAATTAGAATTTGTGAAAAAAAAACTCATTTCCTTTAAAATATTTGTAAAAGATTCTAACCGGTTGTTTACCTACAAACTTGATAACCCAGGCTAGGTAGATAGGAACCAGCATAATGTAGCTCATACTTAATCCCAAGGAGGCAGATATACCAGGGTCTAAAATAAGGTGGTTGGCATCTTTCCAGTAAAAAGTTTTAAAATTTTAAAACCACTAAATGATTTCTCTCTGAAAGGTCGAGTGTCGACAGAAGTTCAAGTGACTCCATTTCAAAAGGTGAATGCCCGAATCACAAGGATACCCACACAACCTTCTACTGGGAAGATATTGTTTTTCTGCTCAAACATGAATAATATTTTATCTGTGGTTTCTCTGTTAAATTGACTTCTTTGGTACTATGATAAAACTTTTTAAAATAGAAAAAACAAGGATTTCTTCCGGTTCAGAAAAAGTTGTTTAGGGTACCGCTGTGAATCGGGCTTAAATCCCTGTAATTGCAGGGTACCATTGTGAATCGGGCTTTCATCCCTGTAATTGAAGGGTACCATTGTGAATCGGGCTTTCATCCCTGTAGTTGAAGGGTACCATTGTGAATCGGGCTTTTATCCCTGTAATTGCAGGGTACCATTGTGAATCGGGCTTTCATCCCTGTAATTGAAGGGTACCATTGTGAATCGGGCTTTTATCCCTGTAATTTCAGGGTACCATTGTGAATCGGGCTTTTATCCTTGTAATTGCAGGGTACCATTGTGAATTGGGCTTTCATCGCTGTAATTACAGGGCACCGCTGTGAATCGGGTTTTATCGCTGTAATTGCATGGTACCATTGTGAATTGGGCTTTTATCCCTCTAATTACAGGGCACCATTGTGAATTGGGCTTTCATCCCTGTAATTGGGAGGCCCCTTGAAATTTCGTTGATATGACCAAACAAGGGCTATTTTAGTGCAAATCAAGTCTATATGTATAATTTAATATCATTTTGGGTAAAAATAAATACTAAAAATTCAATTTCTAAAATTAAAAACCAAAAACCTAAAAAACTGCTGGTAATCAACATACAATTTGAATAAGAAAATGTTAGTCCCAAATGCTTATGCGATTATATTTTCTTGATCTTTTTGAAAACCAACATTAATATAAATTCCCTTTTATAATCATTGTAACAAGACGTTTATTCTTTATTCTGTATATTTCATACTTCAAGAAAAGAATGGAAGAAAATTGGAAAAAAAATCGAAATGATTTATACTGATTGAACAATGTCCAGTTCAATCATGAAACAAAGGAAACAAACTCGGATTTTTAAATCCCAATTTCTTTAAAATCAAATATCGTAGACCTTAGATATTTCAAACTATAAATTTTGGTGGATCAAACAATGTAAGTTTGAAATATGAAAGGTATGCATCATCTGGCTGTTGAAATTTCGGTATTATAAAATTGGCATTTGTGGCAAAAACTCACTTCCTTTATCTTTAAATTCTCAAACTTGTTATCTTTACATCAAACCTCAGTCTATTTATTAGAATTGAATTTTTAAGATTAAATATCATTTATTATCAAAGATAGAACTGAAACAAAATTCTAAATGTTCTATTAAGGATGAATTATTGCTGAATTTCTAAATGTTGTATGAAGGATGAATTATTGCTGTATTTCTAAATGTTGTATGAAGGATGACTTATTGCTGTATTTATAAATGCTGTATTAAGGATGAATTATTGCTGTATTTCTAAATCCTACCTTTAGAGCCTGTGGATAATATTGCGGAGATAAAGATAGAAATAAATACAATCATAGCTCCAGTCAGATCCAGAGTCAATCCCAACCATCTAAACATTTGCTCAAACTAGTCATCCTGTTTTTATCCTGCTAAGCTATTTCTTTTTGGTAATCTATAAATATTTTCCGTTTATATTTAAACTCTAGAATTTTTAATAATTTAAAAACTACCTGCATCCACTCTGATGTATGAGAGAAGCGGCAGAATGTGAATCTATTTTTTCACACAATTCATTTATAAACTGGGGCGCAACACGGAAAGACCTAAGCATTAAAAAAAAAACATTTTTATTTCAAATACTTCTGCAAGTTAAAATAAATTTTGATTCTATCTAATTTTTTATAAGAGAGTAACATTTATTTGCTGAAATAATTATAAATTAGAATATTTTATTTTCGATGGATCTAATTTGAAACCGGATGATCAAAGACAAAATTATTAACTATCTAAGATTTCTGACTAAACTAAAAATATCATCTGATGGTTTATACAATTTTGTAAAAAATTTGTAAAAACCAAAATTAAAAAATAAATGTTTTAACAAACCATAAAATCAAAAGTAAAATACGATAAATTATTTTTAGCGTGTATTGTATCTAAAATGTTGTAAATTATCCCAAAAATGTGGCGCGATATTAAAAATATGATCTAACCTGATTGTTACTAAACCTGCGAGCGTATCTGATATGTGAGAGAAGATTGGAGCATTACTGAAACATTTGGAAAGTTTTAGGAGCTGTCGTGGTGGTTTCAAGTGACCCTCAATTTATAGAGTAAGATGTCCGATTTACAACGGTACCGTTAAAACATTTGGTTAAAAAAGGAAAAAAGGAAGCTGAACTTTTTTGTATATGCAACCAACAAATATTTTACTTTCAATGCTTGTTTCTCATGTAAAAGTGATTTGCAGATTTATTCTAAATATATCAAAATAGTATAAACCCGCCTTTCCTATAATTATAGTGTCTAATCCAATCAGGGTTTAGCCCAAGGAGTATAGAATATAATGGAGAAATGATCGACCCGGCCCGCCCTACCACATGTTTATACATGCTTTGCAGACGCTACTCCATTTGAAAAAAATTGCTTTCCTTAACTGTCTGATGTACAAATACCGCGTACATGTATTCAGAATAGGTTATTGTATACATTACACAGGGGAAAAAAGTAGGCTGATCAACGCAAACATATTGTCAATACAAACGTATTTTTTATCACATAAAAAATTGTTTTTAAGTAAAAAACAAATTACCAAAATTTAAAGACGACCTTTAAAAACATTTTTTCAAATGGAGTACCGTCTGCAAAGCATGTATAAATCATATGGTAGGGTGGGCCGGGTCGATCTTTCTCCATTATATTTAATACTCCTTGGTTTAGTCACTTCCTTGATGACTATTCAGAAACAATAGAAGTTGCATTGACAATAACATCTTCTATCTAATCATCCGATTAGAGATTATTAAAAGAACCTAAAAAAGAGTACCGTTGTTAGAAGGATATGAATGAAGGGTTAACTTGAAATTATGTCTACAGTCCCTTTACATTCAAATTTTAAACAAAATTCCTCAAGTTAAACCTGATACTTTCTATTCTCTGGAGTTCTCTACTTGAACATCTGTAGAAATGTTGAATCCACCAGTAGAAAACTAAAATTTAATCAAAATATTTAAAATCTTTTAGAAATTTTTATTTAATTTGATTGATCTTTATTATGGTTTTGAACTTACTTTTCTTATACTAAAATCAGTATTTTGTAAATGTCCTCTTTTTATTTTCTTGTTAAAAAATATAGAAATTGAATTAACCTAGCATTTTTTCTTGTTTACAGAAACAAATATGGATACCTAGCATTGGTAGACAAAAGATGAGGAAAACTGGATTCTATAGCACCCGGATATATGAGCAGATTCTAGTTTATCTAATAGATTCAAAATAATATTTTCAGAAAAATTATTATATTGAAACTTTTTTGTAAGAAAGGGCTAAATAGTTTTTAGAAATCTTTCTTTCGAACTTTTTCTAATTTTGTAAAAGTAGTTTTATATAAGTTGTATTAAATACATGTGAACAATTTTGTACAATTAATATAATCTCAATACGGAGATAATAAATATCTAGATCTCAAAAAAAGTTTTATATAAGAATTAGATTCTTGGTATACATTTTACACCGGCGAACTCGTTTTAAGTATTGTATAGTGTACACTCGACATAATTTCAAGTGCAGAGAAGAATTTGAAGAAAAACATCTATAGAAACAGGTTTTTCATAAACCTCATTTGCTAATATATGCAAACCTTTCATTTGCAGATATATGCAAACCTCATTTGCAGATATATGCAAACCTTTCATTTGCAGATATATGCAAACCTTTCATTTGCAGATATATGCAAACCTTTCATTTGCAGATATATGCAAACCTT